TATAAATAGTTTTCGAAAATAATAATAATGAAATAAATGTTATGAATGATTTTAGTTCTGTAAATGGCAAATGCAAGACTTTGTACTTAGTATAACAATGTGATTCAACATTGGGTTCAGAAAAACTGGGAACAGATTCAAGTACAATTTTATCAAATGGAAGTTTGATTTCTTCAATAGCTATGATTTTTTATTCTTATGGAATAACAAGTCCAATGACAATTAATTCATGGTTAAAGCAAAACAATAGATACTCATCTAGAGATCTTTTTATTTGGTTTTCAAAAAAGGATTTCGGATGTATTTATCTAAAAGTATTTAGGTTCTTTAGCTAAATGTATATAAATTAGATTCGATCAGCAAGATTCGATGATGGAAATCATTTAATTTTAAGTGTAAATGAAGAAGCTCATTATGTTTTAATGACATCTATAGTTTCTTAGTTAATGATCCTCCATATTAGAAACAAATTATCCAGATAATGAAGCAAGTTTTGGTGCATTTTATTTTTATGACAAAATTAATTCTTTAAAGAATCATATATTAAAGTTACAATGAATGATATGATAAATAAAATTATTTATTTAGAATAGAGTAGAAAATAATTTTGTAATAATAATATAATCGAAAGTTTTGTCTGATAAATTAGAAAGAATAAAGAAAGAAAATATTTTTTTAATTTAATGAATAATTATAATTCAAGAGATCCACCCAGCAAAATTTTGCTTCTAGTAATAACTTAATTATCTCCCACTTTTCCTTTGTGTAATGATCTGTTATTTGAACAATTTGGAAAATATGGTGAGGTAAAAAAGATTCTAATTTTTGAGAGAGGGAAAGCAAATAAGGCATTTGTAGAATACTATGATATAAAAAATGCGATAGAGGCAAGAAAAGATAAGATTGGTAAATATTTGGCAGAAGGAGAAGGAAAGTATTTATTTAGAAATAATTTAGATTAACAATACATTTTTCACGTCTAAAAAATTTAGATTTAGAAGTAGTTGATAAATCTCGAGGAACTGATTATACATAAACAAGTAGCACTTCTTCTGATGTTATGAAACATTCAAATAGTGATGATCCAAATATATTGAGATAATAATTAGATTAATTTACTCGAACATTTACATAAACTCCATAAAGGAATGATGAGATAAATAATTTACTAAATTCAGATTCTGAAGATGAATAAAAGGATATCATATATTAAAAAACAACTTTTATGCCATAAATTTCTTTAGATGTTTAGAATATGATTACTTAAAAAGCATCTAAAATAATAACAATACAACCTATTGACGAAAGAGTAACTGCAAAGATGTTGTATAATATTTTTAATAAATTTGGCAATATTGAAGAACTCCTATATGAAAAACAATTAAGGAGAGTGTTTATTAGATACTAAATAATAGAGTTTGCCTAAATAGCTAAAGAATACTTAAATAATTTAAGTTTCTTTGATTAATAAGTAACGAATGTATTTATATAAGTGGCGTATATCATATATTCCTTTATAATAGTTACAACCAATGACTATTCAAGATGAATATATGATATATTATAATCCAAATGGACCAAAAATAATTGCACCACTCTCTAAAATAATTATAATGAGTGGAGTTTTAGAACCAATGGAAATATCTGAAATGATTAGATTGGTTGTAAAGGTAACTGGTAATTGTTAATAATAAATATAGAAATAAAAATAATTACATCTGATAGTTTAGAGATTAGTATGTTAAATATCTCTGAAACTTTAAAGATGATAGCTGTCTTCTCTGATTATGAATTCAAAAATCAAAAACTAGTTATTTCAATGAAATGAATCTAGTTTATAGCATAGTGTAAATATAATTTAGATCTCTTATTTAATTTATTATTAATAAATATGTTATAACAGCATCCATATTTAAACTAACCAGAAAATATTACCAATAAATACAATAAACCAATCAATCTAAGTCAACAACTTAGCTTTTCTTAGAGTTTACCAGGCTAATCTACATAACAAGAATAAAACTACGCAACTCCTTAATGGTAAAAGTAAATGCATCCATAATTTTCAAATCAACAGCCATAAATTTAAACTATTCAATCTAAATACATAGCATAACCTTAAACAGTTTAAATTGTATATTAAACATAACCAACTTATGTTTAATAACCTCAACAATAAATTGTCCCTGTTGTTTATAATGCTTAGTAGTAACAACTCAGATAAAGTTCTCCTCCAAGGATCATAAAAATTAATCAATAACTATAACCTGACTATAAATAACCTGAAGTATAAATTCCAGAATATTATCCACCACCTCCTCCAATATATTATGATGAACCTATTCACTATGAGGAACCAATTTTTTATCCCCCTCCTTTAAAAACAATCAAACTACCTCCTCAGAATACTAATAATTATTATTAGCCTAACTAAGTAAGTTACATTTAGAATTTTGATAATAGACCTAGATATCCTGAATATCCTTTTAAATCTATGGATCTTATGGATTATTTTAATAAAGCACTTATAGACATGGCAACATAAGAAGAAAAAATCGAAAAAGCAAAAGTGTAGGTATTTTCTTAATAAGACTTTCGTGTTGATACCTTGTTTTCAGAATTCGATAAAAATTCAACACAACAACTCTCCCTAGAAGAAATATTAAATGGATTTAAAGCATATTCATTATAACCTGAATTTGTTGATATTAAATTATTGTTTGAAGAATTTGGATAGTAGGACATGATAAATAGGGAATAATTTATAAACATGATAACTCCATAAACAGTTCTTAAGTTTAGTCTAGCATTTTAACAAGATTAAGTAAGATTACTCCCAGAAACTAAATAACTTATTAGATATTTATTCGTTTGTTTATTAAATGCTGAAAGTGTTTATGAGGCCATTAGGTAAGATTTAATCTCAAAATAAAAAGAATTTGACCGACAATTGAATTACGACTAAATATACAATGAAATATTTTCAAATAACCAACCTAACAATTTAAGGTCTTATATTTAGAATCTAGGACATTATTTTGATGTAGCCGTTATTAATGCTCTTTTTAATCGATTTGCTAAAGATTCCACTAAAGGACTAGCAGAATAATTATAATTAGCATTCTAGCCAAAATTATAAGAAGAGGACTGTTAATTGTGATCATTTATTAATATTATATATAAATTTAATTCCTTTTATTCAAATTGATATCTAATATATCCTCATTTTTGGAGCCCAATACAATGCAATTTATGATTAAACTTAGCATTTATAAAATTAAATTTTTGTAATTTGTATTTAAATGTACGATTGAAAAATCAAATAATCTACAAAATACTATAACTATCTATTCGTTCTAATAATTTTAAAGAACATAGTTGAATACTTTATGAGAAATTGAATGATTTGAAACAAAAGAATTTAAAATGAAAACTTTATAAGAATTAAATTTATATATTTATAAAATAAGACAAAATCCTAAACTGTTCATGAAAGCGGAGATAAAAAGTTACCATTCTTCAATTATGATAACTGTATTTAAAAGTGCCTTTTGATTAAATAGAAATTTATTGGAAGAGGTCTGAGATACTTTTATATGTTTAAGGATTTAATTTGTATAGGAAAGTTATCCTTTTATGTTTAGGTTTTGAGTCACTTTAAGTTTAGATTCCTGAACGCTAATTTAAAATCAACTCAGAATTAAGAATTCAATGGACTTAAATTAAAATCAGTAATTTTTTAAATAGGTGGCCAGAAATATGAATATCATGGAGCAAATGATTAGTTAAGGGAACTTAAATAAAAATGTTCATTACTTGTTTTCCAAATAAAAATTTAAGATGAATATTAAGCTGAATCTGTTTTAGGAAAAGGATCATATGCAACAGTTTTAGAATTAACTAATTAACATACAAATAGATAATAAACTGCTAAATTTGTAGATTAACAAAGAATAAATGAAAAGAAGAATGGTTACAAATAATTATAATAAGATATGGCAAAAGGTGGTTCATTATTAACTCTAATGAAAAAACGTTAAACTCTTTTTAGTAGATCAGACATCAAACTGATAATGAAATAATTGCTAGATGGATTGGCATTTATCCATATTTATTATATTATGCATAGAGATTTAAAACCAGAAAATATATTGTTTATGAATAAAGATTTAGAATCATTAGTAATTGCTGATTTTGGTCTAGCATAATCGGTAGATTCTCATCCTATACTTATTCTAAATGTGAAACACCTGGTTTTCTTGTTCCAGAAATACTTGAATAAGATTCTGAGTTTGCTAAATATACTGTAAATTTTGATATTTTTAGTGCAGGAGTTATTTTATAGGTCTTTTAATGATTTTAAATTTTATTCAGATTGATTGGAGAGCCCATTTTTGAAAAAAAGGATAGGAAAGAATAGTTAGAATTGAACAGAAAAATGTTAAATTAACTTGACAAAATTTCCATCAGACTTATTGGATAATCTTGAAAAAGATTTATTAATGAAAATGTTATCTGAAAATCCAGCATTTCAATGGTCAGCAAATAATCTATTGTAACTTAAGTTTTTGTATCTGAAGATTCTTTAGAAAGTGAAGTAGAATTCTATAAATTAAATAAGATATCAATTTATGAATTTGATAAAATATTGGTCTTTAGAAATAAAAAATGGTAACTCTCTTTAAGAATCCATTTATTTAATTTGGTAAAAATATTAGTACAGTTAGAGATAAAACTTAAACAATTTCTTTCAGGTAAAGAAATTGTACTTTAGTAATGTAAAGTCATTTAAGATTTGACAAATCATCATAAGAATAATTAAATACTGAATAAGTAAATGGAATGGGATCTTTTAATTTATACAAAGATGAAATAAATTAAACTAATCTTTGAAAATTATTTATTTACTCTTTAACAAAGATTTTATTGATTAATAAAACTAAAAAAAATGAGTTTTTGTAATTAGTTTTGATGGATGCTAATAATTTTCCTTTAAAATATTCTTGTTATAATATATGTTAGAATTCATTAATCTAATTAAGAATGAGTTGTGAACAAAAATAAATCTTGATAAGTTATTCTGATTAATATAGGGATGATTTTTATGATTACAGAATTGTATATTTAGATCAAAAAGTATTATAAGAGATTCCCGCAAACAAAAGAGGTATTTTGATACATAATAATTTAAGGATTTTTGTTAAGAGAGCCAGAGTGGAGAGATTTAGGGATAAAATTATTTAAGGGTTGGTGCAATTATGATGTACATTATCCAGATCCATATATTCTATTTTTTAGAAAGAGAGTAGATCCAAGAATTTAAGAAAGGAAAAGTTAGCAAATTAAATGATTTCTATTTAAGATAATAAATTATTATTCAAATGTTTTTAATTGATTACTTTTATAATAATTTATCTTATAAATACTCGTAAGCTCTAAGATAGTTTGAATTTTAACATTAAACACATTTAGGGAGTGGCGGAGTGTATTTTTAATCAAATTCTTAAAATAAAAAATGATTATACTTTCGCTATTTTTATCAATAATATAATGGAGCAAGGTAGGATATCGTTATATATTTTAATCATTATTATCTTTAATTGCATGATTAAGCAATTGAATGAGAAAAGATTGATCAATTGAATTTAATTATTGATATGATTTTTCTTTTCTGATTCTTTAAATTGCAACTAATTCTGGTTTATTATGAAACATTGTATTTTAATGGATAATTCTGACTAATTTAACTTAATTTGCAAAGGAAGATTGATTTAATAATAATTTATAATAAGCTCTTAAAGTATCGAATTAATTCCATATATGATGAATATCATCAGAGAATTTGTATTAATCAATAGACTATCTTAATAAATTCGAATGAAATGGTTATTTTTTAAGAGCAAGTCTGTAAATGAGAGTAATAACTTTTTTTCTTTTATCATTATCAAGTAGCCATTCTTTGATTTTCATGTATAAATATTATTAATGAAGAAATTATTCAAAAATTGTGATCAATGTTAAAAAAAGCCAGGAACAGTGTTTTGTTAAAATTGTTAAGTTAGATTTTGTTATGATTGTGATGGTGAAATACATAGTTAGAATTAGAATCATAAGACAGAAATATGTTCATTACAATGTAATATGTTATATAATAAGAAATGAGACAAAATAATTAATATTAATAGATACGAACAGGAGAATCAGTGATATTATATTAGACATAATAAAATGAATACGTAAAATAGGAGAAATAAGAATAATAGGAAGAGGAATTAAAATAGATAGAACAGGAAATAAAATAATTTGAATAAGTATTGAATTTATAGGAGAACAAATGGAAGAAATAATTAGAATTATTGGAGAAAGAGTATGGTGAAAAGATTGGTGTATTCGAAGAGAAGGTAGAAAAGAGTGAGAGTACTATAACAGAGATTAAATAATAATCAAAATAGGAAGACTAAATTAGTGAAATGATGAAATAATTGAAAGAATAATTGGAAGGATAGAGAAAGTATAAATTTGTTAAAAGATTGATAGTTTATTAGTTTAAAAGGTAGAATAACAGAAAGAATAATTAAATGATAAAGAATAATTATTATAGAGTTTAATAAAGTAAGAGAAGGATATGTCAGGAGAGATTAACAAGAAAGAGATTTTGATAGGAAAATTCAAAGAGTTAATATAATAATAATAGAAAGAGAAAGAATTAATATTGAATGAGAATGAAAAAATAAAGAAACAGTTATCAGAAATAAAATAATTATTTAAAGAGAAATTGCCTTAACTAGGATTAGATGAAAACTTTTTTAATTTTGATGATGAAGAAGAAGAAGGAGAAGATGAACAAGAAGAGCCTTAAGTATAATAAAATGTAGAAGATTCAACAGAAGAAGATGAAGGGATATAATGAGTAAGATCTAATAAGTTTAACTATGAGTCATTCATTATTATTTTTGATTCTAAGCATTCTACTAGAGATATACTTCTATTTCTTCAGCTTCAAGCCATCTTTTTTTAATACCATCTTTCCATTCTCCATATTTCTTTTCTCCATTAGACATATAATAAACTCCGATACCTTATTATTTACCTATATAATTGTAACTATAGAAATACCATTAACCCATATTCCTTCATATTTTCTACCATCTCCCCATTCAAATGATCCTCTTCCATGTTTTTTATCTTCAAAATATTCCTTTATAACATTATATAAAAATGATTACTCCAATATATTTTCTACCATCTGGCCATGTAACTTATCCATGACCATGCATTTTATTTCTCCTCCATTAACCAGTGTAAACTCTTTGATCTGGCCATTAATATGTTCCATATCCATCAATTTCATTATCAACAAATGTACCTTCATATCTAGAACCATCAGCAAAGAGTAAAATTCCTTTTCCATTTTTTTTCCCTGTTTTATATTCCCCTTCATATTTAGCTCCATCTGGCCATACTTCAATTCCTATACCATCTTATCTATCATCTACCCACTTAATAATTGAATGATTATTTTACATCTCCTTCATATCTAGCACCATTTATATGAACATAAACTCCTTTACCATTCGCTTTATCATTTTGCCATTCTCCTTCATATACATCTCCATCTGCATGAATCAATTTACCCCAACCACAACTCTTATCATCTTTCCATTATCCTTCATAACATGAACCATCTGGCCATTATTATTTACCATTCCCATCCCTCTTTCCTAATAACCATTCACCTTCATATATAGCTCCTTTATCTAATTATATTGGACCAAACTTTTGCCTTTCAGTACAATTCAAATAGGTTATACTTACTTCTTTTACAGATTAAGGTTCCAAATTCTTTTTCATTGACATACTCTCGTTATCTACTTAAAATTTCTCTCTTTCTTTATTATTTTATCTTGGAGTTTCAGATACTTATTGTTATTATTATTAAACTGATGACACACTGTTTTCTTTATCGTCAAAATCATTTTAATCAGGATCTTCTAAATCTACTTCATTCTTTTTAGCCTCTTTTGATACTATCTCACCATTTTTATTTGCACAACAATTCACCTAGCAACTACCCATATTCAGTTAATTATATTTATATATGTGATTTATAATATCAAAATTCTGCTTTCTCAATATCAGGAGGAGGTGGACCACATGGCTATATCATCTTTGTTAAAAATTTATAACGCAATCTACACATTGGCTCATTCTCTGCTGTACAAAAATACACCTTATCTTCTACTATTATATTTATACCATTCTACTATGATGGCCTATATGTGATGCCAATGTATCTCTATGAATATGATTATTCCACACATATTTTGGAGTATCAGGATTACCTGTACCTACATAACGAGCATGTAAATGTTCTGTTTATGTTTAAAAATTGAATCTGTCTTACATTCTTTTATATTTATATTTATATATTATATATTTCATTATTCCATTATAGATTATTATCTTATCTATTGCCTTTATCCTTATTATTAATATTTAAATGACAACCCTCTCTCCAATTGTTCATCCTCTTTAAAATGTCTTACTATTGGGGCTATCAATTTCATCATAACATATTCTCCTTATTTCAATTCTCTGAACTTCTTGTTTTTTAAATCATATTCAAATCCTTAATCACAATTACAATGAGTTGGTTTATTTTTATAAGCTTCATTATAAACATGATCATAATATAACTATCCCTCTATTTCTGTCACCAATTCACATTCTGTTTCTTAGCATTAACATAATTTTATGCCATTCTTAAACTAAAAATTATTCTCTTGAAACTTCTTATAAAAATAATCAAAATTAAACCTTATCTAATTCTTGCATTTAAAATTTATTAATGGATTTTTTAAATATAAATCTCTAAAATTGTGACATTTGATTGTTTTATATTATATCTTTCCATTCTCACTTACATTTTCATCACTAAATATAAAATTTATATCATTACTTTAAAAAATCTTCAACGCTATATTTCCATAAATTCTTAAAATTCTCAAGCAAGTAATCCTTACCTCTATACTCAAATAAATTATCTGGCTCATATTTTATATCTGATAATCTATTCTACATTTTTTAATACAATTAAGCATCATAAAAAATTAATTCATTGTTAAATTACATCTATACTAAATTCTTTTTAAATTCATTTTCGCATAAGGGGCACTTTAATTTTTCTGTATTTTATTTTTTTACCTCCGCCTTTTTCTTTTTATGAATAATATATGCTATAAAAGTTCTAATATCCCAATTATTTAATGGTTTTATGTTATCTTGTTATGGTTCTATGATATCTTGTTATTTTTCGCCTAATGGTTTTGGGATTGGACAATTAACACATCTGGTAGGATATTCCACCATTTGATTTGAGTAATCTTTTAATTTCATCCAACAAATTGAATTTTTATATTGATTAATTTTTTCTTTGATAGCTTTGGGCTATTCCAAATTCATAATTGTTGCCATTTTTTCTAAAACATTTCTTTAAAATTCATCATAAGAAAATAATTTTTCTAATTCTATTTTATTCTCCTTTTAAGCCCAATATTAATATATAAATTTGTCTTTAGTATTTGTGCTATTTGAAATCCAATCGGTGAGTAAAATCTCATTATTAATTGTCTTATTGATTATATAGAGTTAATTTCCAGGATATGCTTTTTTAATCGTTTATAAAAATTAAAAATCAACTACAAGAGAATTTATCAGGTCTATTTCCGAATACAAAGGGAATATTGAGTGACAGCCACTTTACTAGCATTTTAAATACCTAACAGTATCTCTTTATTTCAATTAATTATTTTTTTAATCTCTATAATTTTCAATCTGATAGCTAATCAAACTTGTTAATTCATAAGCTTAAATGTGTTTACAATCTTTATGTCTGACAGGAATGTTTATATTTACATTATCAAGTAAACACATTGATTAAAATTATATTTAAAATTCTGTTTTCAATCTTTAATCAAGTTAAGCTAAAGTAGTAGATTAGGAAGCTTTTTAAAAAGGATCATCTTCTCTTTAAGTTAGCAGATCTATTATTGAGTTTTTAATTTTATCTGAAATCAAGGGATCACCAAATCTTTTTTTATTACGTTTAATATGACTGACTAAAATTCCATGTACAATTGAAATTGTATTTGTTTAAGGATGGAATTCATTTTAAATTTTCTTAAAGAGATCATGTGGTGTGAAGTCAGAGATTTCTTTATAAATCTAATCACAATGTGGACATTAATATTGTCTTTCTTAGGAATTAAATCCATCAACTGCATTTTAAAGATCGATGAATTTGTCACCAAAATGATTACATTATTTTCCAAAAACCTACTTTATTAAAAATACTTACAGGATAATCATATTTCTTTCCAGTAGTTTGATTAAATAGTTTAAAATCAAGATTGGTTAAATTACTAGAATCGTTTATTGGTTAATTTTTTTCAACAATGCGAATGGCATGGTGCAAAAGCATTTCAGATTTAATTATAATAAAATGATATTTATTTTTGATATTTTGAGTGTGTTACTAATAAATTCTTATTCTATTTATATAGAGGAATTTTCTATATTCATATGTTATTAGGCAATTTTGTTAGTTTTTCAATTTAATAGGACTGGAGGAAGGACAATTTCAAGAAAAGAGTCTATTCTTTTATTTCACTATATCTTATTTTTTGTAAATAAATAATTCGCTTTCCTAACATCTAGTCAGAAAAGTACACTGCATCATCTTATTTGAATAATTCTTTCATATTAAAATTGATCGTTCATTTAAATTATTCTCCTTTTTATTGGTAAAGAATAAATTTAATTTTTGCCAATAAAATTTATGAATTGATAAAGGACTTAAAATCAAATAAAATTTAGAATTTTTAGTAGAATATTGTAAATACTTTTCTGGCAAAATATAAATATTAAATATTTTTGATTATATTTTTTTTTTCTTCATTTCCATGCTTATTTGACAAACTTCTCGAAAGCTTAATCGTTTTCAATGAGTGCACTAATATCTGTCATATATTCAATAAAATTCTAATGTGTAACAAATTTAACATCTTTCCATAGATCTTGAAAATCTTTATTGGCATCAACAACAGTTTTAATATTTGTATTTACATCATGACTCTTTGAGGCATCATAAAATTCTTTAATTAAATTAAATATTACATTTAATTTGTTAGAAACTGATTTATGATTCCCCATTTGACAATCTATTCCAAAGTTAATTTACTAAATCTGATCTAAATTAAGAAAGTGGTTCTTCTATATTAAAATAAATATACTTCTTAAGAAAGCAATAAATTCAACAAAGGAAACCTCATCATCGCAATTTTTATCAAAATATCTAAATAAATTATCATATTCTGTTTTAGTTAATAAAAATCCAGATTCTTTCATGGCCCATTGAAATTCTTATCGATTCAAAGTTCCATTTTTATTTTTATCAGAGTTTGTAAAAATAGTAGCCATTCTGATAACAGAATGCTATCCTTTTTTGATTAAATCATTTCTAATTCTATTTAAAGTTTCTTGGGGAGGTGCTCTGGCAATTTAAAATACTGGATTTACATTTGCATTATTTCCTGATCCTATCAATGCTATCAATCCACAAATTTCATCATAACATAATCTTCCACTTTTATCTGAGTCATATTTATTAAATAAAGCTTGAATTTCTTTTTCACTGAATACACAACCAAACTTTTGTAATGCTTATGCAAATTAATAAATATCTATAGTTCCTTTGTTTTCTAAATCAAAATACATAAATGCCTTTTTTGCTGTCTTACCTTCATCATCTTTAGTTACTGTCTTTTATCTGATTTTTTCAAATAAAATAATTTCTAATTAGGCTAATCTTTCTGGAGAGACATAATCAGCACCTGATGTCACACCCCAAGTAGATGTTAATAACTATGCAAAATTATTATTATATATTTACATCTGTGAAATACTCTTCTTTTTCACTTGGAAGTGTAGCATTACAATCAGCATAATAATTTAAGAATTCTTCTTCATTTATACTTTATCCATCCTTACTACGTTTAGATATTGCATTAACAAACTCTTTAGTTACTTAATCAGCTGTCTTTTACCTTGTTCTTACTCTTGGATGGTTTCTAGCTTGATACAATCTATAAAGACTTTCCAATTATAATCTCCCTTATCGTTATTAATCCAAAAATTAAAATGTGCTTCTCACTACATTTATTCTCTTATCACTCATGTTTTCCCTTATCAAATTAACAAATTCTGCATATGCTATATTACTATCTTTATTTTAGTCATATTTGTCATATACTGCTCGTAATTCTTAAGTTGTTAAAAATACACCTATCTTTGATAAGAATTTCTAAAATTCATCTTTATCCAAATATCCTAAATTAACTATTAAAAATACCAGAGTTATCTTTATCAAATTCTGCCATTAATTAGTACACTCCTTCTAAGTCATCTATTTTACGAGCGTGCAATTATCCTCTAATCTTATTCTAAATTAACTCTAATTTGTTTCTCCAATCCATCAGTTATTTTTTTTATATTATATTTATATTTATATTTATTCATTTATTATTATTATTATTATACTTTCTATAAATTATCTTCTCTGATCTTTAATTCTAATAATATTATTTAATTCAAATTTAACAATTATCATATACATTTATCGAAAGATCATTGTAGAAAACTCTTTGAAAATACTCTTCATTTTATACTGTGATTTAGGATGGTATCAAATTATATAAATTAATTAAAGATCCTTAAGCTATTAATACTAAATTTATTCAAACTTAGGTAATTAAAATCAGAAATTATTAATTACACCTAATTATAAACTGTTTGCATAAAATATAATCAAATTTCAATTTAATCATAAATCAACAGATTTTGTAAATAAAAAATCTTTAAGTTTATATATTTGTATATGGATGAAGGAAAAATTTATAAATGGAAAAATCAGAACTTTAATTACAAGATCAATTCAAGAATAAAAAAATAAAAATTATAATTATTTTATAAATCTATCCATTTATTTTTATTAATACTTATATATAAAATAACTAAATTTATTAAAATTGTGATAAACACAGTTGATGAATAAAAATATAATTTAAAAATAAGTTTTAATTTTTTTTGATTATTTCTATATTAAAATTAACTTTTTTCTAGAATAACAACATATCATAGTAATAATAGTTATTCAGTAATAATTCTTAATTTTCAACATTGATACTCGTAAGCTTGCCTCCTTATCAAAGCAATTTTTTAAAATCAAACTGTTTTCTTAGGTAAATATAGATTAAAGTTTTTATGTTTTTTATAAATAATAACATATTTACTATTTACAAATAATTATATTGGTTGATGATATTTAATAGGTGAACCCATAAATTTTATGAAACTTGGACTTTTCTGGTTTTCGAAAATTTCCAATTAAATAATAAAATTATCAATTTATTTGTTATTATCATTTAATATTTTCTTAAAAAGGTTGCATAGCATTGTATGTACTTTTACTCAGATAAATATAATGAGCTATAAAGTCATATATCAATTATTATCCTTATTCCAAAATTCAAATAATAGAAAATTTGATAATAATTTAGAGTTTTAATGATTGAATATACAAAATATAAAAATTAGTTATAACTTTTTTGAAAGTATAAATCATTAGATATAAATGATATAATAAAAATTGAATCGAAAATAAAATCATCCAAGGACAAGATATTTTGAGAAGAATTAATTTGTTAGTTAATTAACACAAGCAAATTCTCAAATCATTTGTTTGTATATTAATTATTATTAAAAGCTCATGAAATTATTTAAACAATGTTATAAAGAATTCTTTCTTCAAGCTTAAATACAAGAACTCTATAAATACGAGGATTCTTTAAACAGTTTGACTCTTTAATTTTAATCAGAAGAATTAGAATTGTCTTATTAAAATAGATAAATGGCGAAAGTAATTGTGTAATTCAGGATATCTATATTATTATAGATATTGATAAACATAGGATTTATTATCAACTCAGCTGTAGTGTACAATTCACCAGAAATTGTGAAATTTAGATCAATATTTATTGGATGGATGCTCATATGTTTATTTTTATAGAAAATTTCTCGGAAATATTGGAATATCACTACTAATATACTGAATTTTATTAATAGTGTGATAAGTGTCTTATTGTTTGCTTTCTTTACTAAATTTGTGAATACAGCCTAAACAAACATAAATGATGTTATGAGTCTTTCTTTGATATCTGGCTTGCAATAAGGATTATTTGCTATGAGTTTTTTTTTAATTTAGTCAAACTATATTATGCAGAGTTTGACTATGCTAAGTTTCTTCCTAATAGTGATGGGAATTTTTACTTAATTTTTAAATTATCGATTATGGACATAATATCTCCTTCTTATTTTTACATGTTATTTATTAAGATAGAATGAGAAAACAAATCGATTGAATTTTTTGTTAATTCATAAGTCTCATAAGAATCTAGAAGCTTGTAAGAAACTTTATGATGAAACAGTTCCAACATCAATAATAATATTGGAAGAGAATGTACAATAAGAAGGAGTTAAAAATGAATTATTAAATTCAGTAGTTACTTAAAAAGAAAAATTATATACATGGGATGGTAAAATTATGAATGTAGCTTACTTTAATAAAAGTGCTTCTATTCATTTTGAAACAGCTGAAGAAGATGTTCTAACTGAAAGATTGTCAGAAATAGAAATTTTGAATTCTGAAAATTCAGTTTTGAATTGTGAAAAGAATAAGCTTTTAGATAAAATATAGGGGTTACAGTCTACATTGCAGACTGAGATGAGATTCAATTCAATAAATTCTTTTGATTATCAAATAATTTCTATCAACAAAAAAATGTAGTGTCAAAGAGTAAAAAAAATAATATATTTATAGGTTATAAAACAATAAAAAGTATAATACTATGATGCATAAGCTTAAGGTTGTTTATGGGATGGTAAATAATGTATAATGTTAATACTAAATGATACTACTGACAGAGTATTAAGAATCAAACATCTCTAAGATTTAGATAATTATAAAGATAATTTATTGGCTGCAGTATCTCATGATTTGAAAACTCCATTGAATGGTTAAAGTATTCTGGCTAATTTAATAAAAACTATGATGGAAAATAAGTAGTCTATGATTAGAAGTGATATTTAAGGTATAATAATGAAATAATATTAAAAGAAATTGTTGTTCATGTCGATGATATGATTTCAAATCAATAAATTTTATTAACAATGATAAATGATTTAATAGATTATTCATAATTTAAAAAATAAGGATTAAGATTAAATTATACTTAATTTGATCTTTTTGGATGTGTATAATAAATATAGAAGATGTTTAAAAGGTAAATGGATTTAAAATAATTATAATTCAAAATAGTTGGATTAGATGAATAAATCATTATGTTTACAGATTAAATTAGATTATAGTAAATCTTATTTAATTTAATATCAAATGCAATTAAATTTACTTATAATGGATTTATTACATTAAAGATTCAAAAACTCATTTCTGTTAATTAATAACTTATTCATTTCTCTGTTTAGGATACTGGAATAGGAATTCCTTCAAATATTTAGGCTAAATTATTTAAAGCTTACTCAACTTTTAATTTAGGAAATCAAAATTCATAAGGAGTAGGATTAGGATTAGTAATATCTAGAAATTTAGTTGGTTTATTAGGTCCAAATGAATTTATAGAAATGAGCTCAACAGAAAATAAAGGATCGAATTTTAGTTTCTCGATATACTAGAATGCTTAGCATAAAGAATGCAATTAAATTAATCCTTTATTATTAGAAAATGGAATTCCTGATAATGATCCATCTCCTATTCATCCAGTTCCTAATCCTTTAATTAAAAGACCTAATAGAAGATATCAAACCGTAGTAGATATATCTACATCTCTATATCAAAAATTAAAAATATTAATTGTAGATGATACAATCTTTAATATTTATGCTTTAAAATAATTATTGAAACAAATCATTCTTCAATGTGATATTTCTGAAGCTCATAATGGTTAAGAAGCATTAGAATAAGTCTAATGCACTAGATTTGATATTATTTTTATGGATATCAATATGCCAACCATGAATGGCATCTAGGCTACCTAATAAATCAGATAATTTGAAAAAAATAATTAATTCTAAAGATCTAAAATCTGCATGTTGTCGGCTTTCTAAGGAGAAAGCGATCTTTAAGAATCTTTAAAAATAGGTGCAGATTTACATTTAGCTAAACCTCTCTAAATTCTAGCACTAAAAACAATTTTGCAATAACTAAAATTTATATGATTGATCCTTTGATATTTTGTTATTACTTGCATATTTGGATTTTATAATATTAATTAATTCATTAACATCATAGATAAATTAATAATATATATAATTCTCAAGTTATTTTTTTATTCAAAAAGAATTCAATATTAAGTCTGTGATCTTTTAAATATCTTAAAACAAACTATATAAATTATTAAAACTTAATATAGAAGAAAGATATCAAATTATGAGAAAAAAACTCTTAATAACTAAATAAAATTAAAAATTTTATTTGACTTGCTCAAGTGAATTTTTAAAATGATGGCTTTTTTGTTGAAACCTAAAGTATTATGTTAATATCTAAGTATAAACTAACTAACATTTTACAACTTTAGTAGCTACATTTATATAAAAAATAACAGAAAAATCTTTATATCAGCAAAAGTTTAAAAGAACTAAATTTAAGATATAATATTATAAAATGACATAAATCAGAATGGTTTAAAATAAAATAATATATCTNTCAACTTTTAATTTAGGAAATCAAAATTCATAAGGAGTAGGATTAGGATTAGTAATATCTAGAAATTTAGTTGGTTTATTAGGTCCAAATGAATTTATAGAAATGAGCTCAACAGAAAATAAAGGATCGAATTTTAGTTTCTCGATATACTAGAATGCTTAGCATAAAGAATGCAATTAAATTAATCCTTTATTATTAGAAAATGGAATTCCTGATAATGATCCATCTCCTATTCATCCAGTTCCTAATCCTTTAATTAAAAGACCTAATAGAAGATATCAAACCGTAGTAGATATATCTACATCTCTATATCAAAAATTAAAAATATTAATTGTAGATGATACAATCTTTAATATTTATGCTTTAAAATAATTATTGAAACAAATCATTCTTCAATGTGATATTTCTGAAGCTCATAATGGTTAAGAAGCATTAGAATAAGTCTAATGCACTAGATTTGATATTATTTTTATGGATATCAATATGCCAACCATGAATGGCATCTAGGCTACCTAATAAATCAGATAATTTGAAAAAAATAATTAATTCTAAAGATCTAAAATCTGCATGTTGTCGGCTTTCTAAGGAGAAAGCGATCTTTAAGAATCTTTAAAAATAGGTGCAGATTTACATTTAGCTAAACCTCTCTAAATTCTAGCACTAAAAACAATTTTGCAATAACTAAAATTTATATGATTGATCCTTTGATATTTTGTTATTACTTGCATATTTGGATTTTATAATATTAATTAATTCATTAACATCATAGATAAATTAATAATATATATAATTCTCAAGTTATTTTTTTATTCAAAAAGAATTCAATATTAAGTCTGTGATCTTTTAAATATCTTAAAACAAACTATATAAATTATTAAAACTTAATATAGAAGAAAGATATCAAATTATGAGAAAAAAACTCTTAATAACTAAATAAAATTAAAAATTTTATTTGACTTGCTCAAGTGAATTTTTAAAATGATGGCTTTTTTGTTGAAACCTAAAGTATTATGTTAATATCTAAGTATAAACTAACTAACATTTTACAACTTTAGTAGCTACATTTATATAAAAAATAACAGAAAAATCTTTATATCAGCAAAAGTTTAAAAGAACTAAATTTAAGATATAATATTATAAAATGACATAAATCAGAATGGTTTAAAATAAAATAATATATCTAAAAAATAAATTATAAAAAATCCAAAACTTGCCGTTTGATTAAAATTAGAGGATATAAAAGATATTTTATTATTTAAGGACCCTCAAACATTCAATTTTATATAAAAATAATCAAAATTTAATCAAAAATAATAATTCATTCAAAATTTATCTAGCCATCCTTTTATTCCTTTACTCTTATTTGTATTTTTTTTATCCTTCTTCTCATCTGACTTAGAAAATAATTCTTAACATATATTTTGTTTATCTTGCATTTCTATCATGCTTAAAATTACACTTAAAATGGATTCAGCAATCTCAGGAGTTCTAAAATATTTATGTATTGTATTTACTTATTTTAAATTGCTTAGAAGAACTATTAACACAATCCTTTTAATTATTCATATTAATTTTTTAAGGTGATCAAGTCTTAAGATTAATCAATCTTTTGTTGCTGACTCTACTAAAATACTTTTTATTAATCTTCCATTTATCTTCTCTAATCAGATGATATTTTTTATTAAGATTCTTCAGCTCTCTTTTATTCTTACAACTATTATATTAATTCTTTATTTTAGCTAATACTTAAATTAATACATTACCTTTCTAACTCTAACACAGTATTCTATAAATTAGAAATGAATTGTTCCAACTTCTATTTATCTTACTATAATTAATCTATTAGGTTTGAATAGGTTCTATAATTTTAATTTGATATATATACTTATTTTCTTTCTCCAAATCATTGACTTTTGTGAGTAAATCACTATTTAGACTTTCAATATATATTATATGTTCATCCTGATCATTTTTTAAATCAATACTTGCCTATTATTTTAATTATAAGTCTTTTTCTAAATCATCTACAATTTAGTTTTCTTCATTTTAGTAATTTTCAAATAAAAATTAATTTTTAGATTTATTATGATTGATTGTCTAATCTTTCTCAGATAATTAATTTTTTAAATCTTATATTTGTTTTTCCCTCTCTTGTATTATTTTTGAATATTTGTTAGGATCTGATTCTCTATTTTATATTGGACTAGGAGTTCCTCCTCGATTAATGAAATCTTAAAGAGATCTATAATATAATTAATATTATTTTACTGATTTTATTCTTTTAATGATTTAATTTCTTCTTGTAGTTCATTTATTTTTTTGTTCAACTCTTATTCCTTAAAACGAAATTAATTTATTTACTCTATATACCTTTATTATTGTAAAGAATCATTATCTGAAAGATTTTATTCATCATCTTCACAATCTTAGAATTAATCAAATTGACATTAATTTTAGCTTCTCTTTGATCTATTACTTAATATTGATTTATTCATTTAATTTTCAAGATATTTATTCTCATAATTTTCTATTTTTTCTTTTTTTTCTAATAATTCAGCTTATAAATTTTATATTGTTTACTCATGATCAATCACTTTTGAATTAGTTATTTGATTTTCCTCTTATAAATCCTTAAAATTCTTCTTTAAAATTTCATTTTCTTCTTTTAGTTTTTATAAATCTTTTTAAATTTTTTATTCAAAAAAGTATTATTATTCTGAATTATCATCATCTGAATGATGACTAATTTATTCTAAATCTAAAAATTAATCAAATTATGCACAATTTTAACTTCTCTTTGATCTATTACTTAATATGGATTTATTCATCTATTTTTCTAAATATTTGTTTTCATGATTTTCTATTTTATCTTTTAGTTCCTATAGTTCCATTTTTAAATTAGAAATAGTTTGTTCATGATCAAATATTGTTTAATTATTGATAATTAATTCTTATTCTTAACCCTCAAGTTTTGTTCTTAATATTTAATTTTCTTCTCTCAATTTTGATGAAATTGCCTTTTCTTAATTTAATTATTCTTAATCTATTTCATTAATATATCTTCTCTATTATTATATTTATTCTAAAATTTGTTCATCTTCATCTGCTGAATTTTAACTATTTATTTCAATATCATCAAACTAATCAAATTATATTTAATTCAAACTTCTTTTTGATCTATTACTAATAACTGATTTATTCTATTTACCTTCCCTTAAATCAATTATATTTTATTTCTATTATTCAATATGCTTATCCTTTTCATCAATTAGTTTCTTTAATCTCATAATTTCTTCCCCTTATATATCGTTATTTTATGGTAATTATTCTAAATTTTAGATTTATAATTTTTATTCAAACTCCAATTTTGTAAATTCTTCATCTTTGTTGAAATCTTCTATTTGTTTTTTTAAATTTTCTATCTCTTACTATTATTTTTAAATATGTTATCTATTATTATTTTATTCTTCTTCATATTTATTAATCTATTAACCTAAATCATTTAACTCATTTGTTTGAGATTGGATCAAAATATCTTTTTCTTCATTTAATGATTTTAAATTCTAATTTTTCAAATTTTAATTCTCTAATTAATTTTTAAATTCCTCTTTCAAAATCACAATTTAATTATCAAATTCTTTTAAACTTATTTATTATTACTCATTTATGGATTAAATTCGTTTTAATTCTTCTACTTTATTTTAAAGATTTATATTGATTTTTTCCATATTTGCTTAATTATCCTATTATTATTTCAAATTATTCAAACTTTATTCTTCTAATTTATTCTATAATTATAAATTTTCTTTAGTTCTTTAACCAATCTCTAATTCTTAATTTTCTAATTTCTATTACAATTCTTGAACTTCTTAATCCTTAACCAAAATATTTTCCCTCAAATTATTAATTTAAACTTATAAACATTATATTTCATGTCTAAATTAGGCATTTTAATCTTAAATAATATTTAAGTCATTTGTTAATACTTATTTATCATTTAAGAATTATAAGTTTAATTTATCATTTATACTTTTTAGAGAGTTTATTTCTACATTTTTTGAATCTATAGTATTTCCTAATTCATTAATTTATTACTAAATTTCAATTAATTAAGAATTTAAATCTTCTTTTGCTCTTCTCTCATTTTAAAGATTATCCTACAATTTTTAAATCTCTTAATTAAAAGAATTTTATTAAATCTAATTTTCATCTACTATTAATTACAATTAATTTTTAATTTATTTAAAATCAATACTTAACTTCTTATTTATTTCTTATTTTTTTCTAAATTCATTAATAAGATGTTTAAGATAATCTTAATATTTATCTTGAATTTAATCTTACCTTTTAGTAATTTATGATAATTTAAGCATAATATTATTTACAAAATTATTTTATTGTTCAAATATTGAAGCTTCAATAATTTTTAATTCATCATTTTATTTTAATATAAATTCTTCTAGTTAACTTTAAGTTTAGATATATTATTATGAAATTTATATTTCTAAATTTGAAATTTATTCATCTTTCTTATTTATCTCCTACTTTAAATTTTAGTTTTGTTTTATTATTTCTAAATTTTCCTCTTATTTTTTTTGAGCATCTATGTTGTATTTTAATAATTGGTCTTATGTATTATTTTCGATTTATTTCAATTATATTCTTTATTCTTCAATTTAATTTTATAAGATTTAGATTTCTGAATTTATTTCTTAATTTTAATTTAGTTGATTAGCAAGTTTTTCTGTTATTTTATTTTTTTCCATCTCTTATTCTTCAAGTAGATTTCTTAATTTTTTAATCTCATTTTCATTTTGGAAAAGTGTATTATTCATTTAATTTTATTATTCTTATTTTTCTAATAATTTTTGAGTTAATTCTTAGACTTAATTGCTTGATTAATTTTTAGCAATTTCTAAAAGATCTTATTACACAAACATTTTTTGTTTTAATTTTGGTAAATTATTTAAAAGTTTTTGACTAAATTTGTCAAATTTTTGTTGAAGCTAATTTATTTTTAAAGTTTAATTATAAAGGTTTTGTAAATTTAACTATTGAGCATTATTTATATCTGTAATTTATTGTGCTTGATTTTCATTTATAGACTTAAGAATTTCATTATTTTATTCTTAGGTAATCTATTTTTATTACAATTCTTCATTATTTTTTTATTAATTTTTACATTTTTCTTAAAGTATTATAAATTATGATTCGAAATCGTTTAATTTTTATTCTAAATCATCATTAATTTTTTATTATAATTCAATACGTTGAGTAAATTCATTTATTTAATTACCTAGTCTTAAATTTATTTGTTATTCTTCTAAATATAATTATTTAAATTCACTTTCTTACTTTTAGAAGCTGATATTTTATTATTCAACAATTTATTCATTAATTTATTCTAATTTTATAATCTTCTCATCTAGAAAATGATTTTATTAGGATGATTCTTTATTTAAGTTCTTTAATTCATTATTATCTTATTAAAGTTTAGCAGCAACTAATAAAGATTATTGTTCTTTTTCTATTAATTAATTATGAACTTCTAATAATTATTCATATTACTATTTTAAACTATTTAATTCTTGTTTTTATTTTTATTCTACATCTAATAATTAATCATTAGAATTATCAAGTTATTATATTTTACTTAATTATTCAATGATAGTTTTTTCTAATTAATTAATTTATTATTATTGAGAAAGAATTTATTAGTTTAATTCATTATTTTTTTAATAAATTTCTTCTAAATGTTATTATTTTTCTTAGTTTTCAAAAGTTTATTATAATTCTAATTTAACTTTCTAATTTTACAATTCTAAACATTAATCTTATAAATTTTTTATTTAAATTTAATTTTCTTCTTAAGAAACTTAAAAATTTTATTTTAATTCTATTAATTCTTATTATAATAAGTTTTCATGATTTTCTAAATCATTTAAATTTTATTGTATTTTATTTTTTGTTGAATCAACAATCTATAATTATTTCCTAAGATTTTCGATTTCTTAATTGAGTTTAGTATTTTCTTATTAATATTCAAGATTTTTTTTCTCTAAAAGATCTATAATTTATTATTTGCTTTCATTTTCCTAACACATTTGATCATAATAAATTAATTTTTGCTCTAGAAATTATGATTCTTCATTTTTTTAATTCAATTTTGAGTTTAATTCTTCTTTTTGTAAATTTAATTTTTCAATTTCTTCGCAATAAATTTTATTTTTAGAAATTTCTTCTTAAACTTTGGAATCTATATTTTCATATTCTTATTTTAATTTTTCGATTTATTCTTATTAATTCAAATTGATTATACTTGTATCTTAAATATCATTTTTTAATTAAACTAAATATTTTTCTAATTCTATCACCTTTTATTTTTCCTTTTAAATTGTTTCTTTTTAAATTTTAATACAATTATTTTAGTCTATTTCAATTTTTCGTTAAGATTCTTAAATTACATCAAGATCTTCAATCTTTTAGTATTAATCTTAATTCTCTAAAATCAGCTAATTAATTTTTTATTCTTAATTTTTAACCTTTTATTATAAATTTTGAATCATTATAAGTAATTCTTCATTCTAATTTACTTAATCAGAGTTAATTATTTAATTTCCACTTTTCAATTCAATCATATTATTATGAATTTATTCTTCTTAAAAATCTACAAATGGTTAATCAAATTAATCATTCATATCTAACAAATTTTCATTTGTTTATTCTTTTATATTCTTTTAAAAAGTTTATTAATCTTGTTCCTTTTCAACAAAATTTTATAATCTATTTTTTAAATTTTCATTATTTTTAAAAGTCATTATCTAATCTTGTAGTTATTATATAGTTTCATTTAATTTTTATATTTCAATTTTCAAAAATGTATTTTCTTAATCAGAATCAGTTTATTTTATTATAAAGTCTTCATCTTGTTTATCTAATTCTTCATCATTTGATTTTTCTTCAAATTTATCTTGTTCTGGTTAAGTTTAAGATTAGATATTAACTAATTAATTTATCTCATCTTAAATTAAGTTATTGTCCTATTAAGCATGTTCTATTTTTGAGAGAATTTATTCATATTCTGCAAATTTCTCTCTTAAACATTAATTTTCCTAAATTAAATTCTAATATTTTGATTGTAATTCCTAATATTATATTTAAGCTAAATCTAAACTATCTTATTGCTTTTTACATTATATTAATTAATCATCCAATTATTATTCTAAAGTTTCAATTCTGAAATTTATTTACCTTATCTCTTTTTGTAAATTTAAGTTTTCTTCAATTTGTTGTTAATTTTAATTTCCTATCTATTCTATCTCTATTTTTAATTATTAAATTTAATTTAATTAATCTTCAATTTAAGATTTTTAATTTACTTAAATATTATTTTAATTTTACAAATTTTCTTGTAACAATTCATTTTCTTCTTTCAAAATTTGATTTAAGTTTTTTTCTTCATTTATTTATTCTTCACAACTTTTTAATTTTTATTTAAGAATTAAATTTTCATTTTCAGAAATATTAATATTATTCTAAAGCTCATCACCTTGATCATTAGCTATTTATAAAGCTTATTTTAATTATAAATTTTCTTTTTTTTAAGAAATTAATTCTGATTTTGCAGAATCAAGTTATTCATTTTCTTTAGTTAAGATTTCCTCTGTATTCTGAATTTAAATTTGTAATTAACTTATTTATGCATTTGAAACATTTAATAATTATTTTAATTCCTGAATAAAATCAATGTTTTATTGTTATTGATTTTATAATTCTTTAATAGATTAATTTCTCTGTTATAGACCATCCTATGCTTCTATTAATTGTTCATTTTAATGTTAATATTAAATTTATAATGAAGTAAACTAATCGTTAATTTAATTATAAGATTTTTCTTTCTCTTATTGTTTAGCAATAATTTTTTATTGCTCTGAAATTTCCAATATAAGACTATCAATTTTTTCGTTTAATTACTCATTCTAATTTTCATAATCATTTAATTGATCATTCATTTCATCAAAATTTTATTAATTACTATCTATAACTTCTTTTAAAGATATTATAACATTATTATTTTCGGAAATCTTATCATTTAAATTATCAATTAATTCATTTTAATTATTAATTTAATTTTTTAATCTTTCAATTTCGTTTTATGAATCAAATATCGAATTTTCATATTATTTTATTTAATTATTAGACATTTATTTATCTTTTTCAATTTAGATTAATAAATCATCTTAAATTTAGTCAAATTCTTATTTCTATAAATTTATATAATCTTTTAATTCATTTATTTGAGAATTTTAAGATAGAACTTATTGTTAATATGATTCATTTTTTGTTTCTAATTATTCTAATTTTTAAATAAGATTTTGTTTTTCCTCTTCTAAAATTTTATTTTAACTTTTATTTTTTTAGTAATCCTCTTACAATTAATTATTAACTTTATTTGTATCTTCTAATTTAAGCTAAATTTATGTATTTTGCTGATTCAGTTGATTAACAATATTCTTTTACTAATTTAAAGAATTTTCTAAATTAGTAATTTATATTTTATAATTTTCTATTTAATCTAAATTATATTTTGCCTTAGATTATTATTCTTATTAGGATAACTATTATTTTTTAATTTCAGTAACAAGTTCCTAAATTTTAATTTGATAATCTTCAGTTTATTACAATAATTAAACAACTTAAGATGTTAGATTTCCATTTTATAATTATAATTATTCTTTGTCTTTTTAAAGTTTATTTGATTCTTCCTGTATAAATTTAATCTAGTTTTTTAATTATTGTATTTCTTATTTATATTATTCTTATTATTTCAAAGTATCTAATTATGCTAAATGTGATTAATAATCTTATTCCTATTAATTAATCTAATTTAATAAGGTTTATTTAATTTCTAAAAAATTATCAAATTAATCTTATTTTTCTTAAGTTATTTAATTTATTGAATTTGTTAAATCCTTAATTTTTTATAAATTTTAGTTTTATTATATTGTTAAATCTTTTATCTAATTTTTCAAAGAATCTATTTTAATTTATTAATCATGAAGTTTTTCATCCTTTAATGATGATTCCTCTCTTTCTTTAGTAAGAAGAGATTAGATTTTTTATTAATCATCTTTGTGTTTTTATTTTTCAATTTCATAATTTCTTATTCTATTTTAAAGGTTTAATTCATTTAAATCATTATTATGTTTTTAATTAATAAAAAGTTCTTATTATTCTTGTATTTCTTATTACAATTCATCATTTTAATTGGTTAATCTAGTATTAATTTCATTAATATCTTCAATTTATTTTTATAAATAAGTAAAATCTTAATCTTATTCTTTTAGTTTTTATTGATAATTTAGTAATTATTTTTATTATTCTTTTAATTAATTATTGAGATTTTTATTATCAAATTTTAATTAATTACATTAATCATTAGTATATTTTAATTTTTGTTGTAATTCAATAATCTTAGAATCAAATTCTTAATAAGAGTCTTCACATTCCATTTAACATTAAAGCCTATAATTATTTTATTACACTATGTATTATAAAATATTACTTTTTTTTTTATCATTTGATGTAGCTTAAGCAATTCTGACTAATTCTGTTAATTAATTTCTACTAACATTTGATATTGGTTCCAATTATTTTTTTAATTTTGCCATTTCATTAGAATATGAATCATCAGAATAAATATTATCATCTTTCTTTTTATTTTAATCAGAATGCAATCCAAATGTTTCAAATTTGAATGGTTCTGTATGATTTTAAAAAGGCTACTTTTCATGACTGAATTCAAATTATTTAGGTGACTAAACTATTTAATTAGGTGATTAAATTGTAGGAGAATAAGGAAATTCTCTCAATTTATAGTCACTATTAAACGATTTAGTTCCATTATCAAGCATTTGTTTAATGCTTTGATATAAAATTATTATACATTTATTAAAGATCTTAACGTTGAAGTTAACAATGTGTAGATTCACTTCTTTGTGGTTAATTACATACTGCATTATGCATTCTATTATAAGAAAAATCTCTAATTTTTGCCTAAAGATTTTCAAATGTAGGCGCATTAGAGCGTGAATCTTTTCTAAATTATATTAGTCTTATAATATTACTTTTTTGTTCTATAAGATTAATTCCTTTTTGCTTCTCGATTTGGATTCATTTATAACTAATTTTATTTTATAAATATATATTATATAAATATATACTAAATTTCACTATTTTATTTAAGTCAATGTTTATTACCAATTCATTATAACAGGATGTTTATCATTTTTGTATATCTTAATTCCACATTTTATAGCTTTTTCATATCTATTTAAATAAAAATTATTTACAATTCAATAGCTTATTTCTAATCTTGCTATTCTAATTCTATTTTTGCCAATTCTATTAATAATTTACATTTCTCCAAAGAATCTCCTATTATGATATTTAAAGCATTCTAAATGTGTTCTTAAGCTTTCTATTCTTATTATTTCTTTATATATCCCTTAATAATTTAAATGTGAATTAAAATCTTTAGATATTCATGCTACACTTTAGAGCTACGATAAAATTCAAAAGATTTTAATGCATAATTTAATTAATGATCTTCTTCAATAGACATTTCACTCCATATCAAATATAAAAATGATTTTATAGGATGAACCATATTTTGAGGGGGATCTTCAAGTAAAATATCTTTTAATTATGAATTTGAAAAGTTTAATTATTAAAACTATTTATAGATTTATATTTTACTTCTTAAAACAGTCTCATAAACAAAACATTCGTATCAATAATTATTTATTTTATATTTGGGATTTCTGTTTCACTACATTAATCTAATAATTCTTAAAATTCAAGCATAGTTTCAAATGCTTCTTCGATTTTACCTAAATAAATTAAAAAAAATAAATGATTAGCTACTAATTATACTTTATCTTCTAATTAAGCATCTTACAATAATTTTTATAATTAAAATATAATTTACAATCCTTATTCATAACATCTAAAATGTTTACATAAATCAACTATTTATCTTAGTTATTTTTCTTAAAATTATGTTTATTAAAAAGGTTTATCAGGAATAACAAGAGGAGGTTGATTTCCTAAAGACTCTTTAATTCTTTTAGCTTCTTAAATAAGTTAATCAATATCTAAAATTGGGGATTAAATGTCCTATCTTAACATTCTCTTAAGCAACTAAACCAAACCTGTAAACTTTTATTTTTCAATCATCTAATTTAAATTTGGAAGCATAATATCAATATTATTAGTTTGACAAGGTTAAGGATAATAGAGAATTACATAGATTATTCTAGCCAAAATCCAAATTTAGGCTTATTAAACCTACTAAATTGTAAAATTGTTAATATGTTAAGTGATCAAATCATTTGTATTATAAATATTTTCTTATCTTTCTAATGCTTATTCTTATTAATCTATTTTTTATATTATTATTGGATCCATATAATCTGGTTTTATGGTAGTGGGATATTAATTAAAACTTGTTGGAATATAAGTTACAGTATCAAAATATATTTTATGTTGATTCTAATTCATATACTAAAACCAAACACTCTTTGCTGTTATTCCATTTAAATAAAGACCTTATTGTTAAAATATTTTTATTTATTGTGCCATTTCAAGTAAAATATAAAGTAATTAATATTCAGAAAAAACATGTAATTCATTTTAAGCTAATTAAAATAAATTTAAAGTTCCTAATTCAACTAATAAACATTATCTATTATCAATATTCTTTATTTTGATCCCTGATCTAAATTTATTATCTAAATCATGAAGTTGTTTCAGAGTATCTTCATATTTTTTATCATTTTCTTTAAAACATTAAATTTATACATGTTAATCTTCATTAACTGCATAAATAGTATATTTGGATTGATCTTCACTTAATTTATAACTGGTATAATATAAATTTGCATATCCCATTTTTGTAAGATCATTTGCATCTATTTTAGAGAATGATAAATAAGATTAATCATTATCAATATATATTTTTTCTTAAGTTGAGTTTCCTAACAATGTTAGAATACTTTCTTATCTCAAATGTTCACTAAAATTATTTCTATAAAATCTACTCAAAGGTACCATTCCACTACCCAAGATAGCTAGAAATGATTATTAACCTCTTTCTTGATTTGTATGTAGTGATCCTGTTCCAGTATAATGATAACTTATATAATCTCCATGATCACCCCACATTTATTTAAATAAAACAATTATTGGATTCAAAAATTTAGTATTATTTTCATTAATTTCTAAAACCTTTTAACCTAATATTCTTTCTAAATCTAATCCCATACATTTCAATTAATATTCTAACATCAATAATCCAATTCTTTACTAATAGACATTAGTTCTATCTAGACAAGCCAAACAATTTGTTCTAACTATTCCTCTTTATTTCAATTTTCTTTAATTAGATATTAAATCATAAGAATCAAATTACATATTCTTAATAAAATTACTTATCTTCATAATGTCTTAATTTATAATATGAAAATCAACACCTTAAGTAATTTCATCAAAATTATAATATAAATATTTTAATCTATCTGGTTAATATTAACGAATTCCTAATTCATAGGCTTAAATTAAATCATGTTCAGTTTATTTATTTTTATTCATTAAATTGACAGCTAAAACTCTCTCATATTTTTATACTAATTTATTAAAATGATTAGTAAATCCAATATGATTATCTTATTCAGTTCCATATAATTCTAATTTTTTCATTAATAGATTTCCAGATTCTCTCCAAAATACTGGTACACTACCTCTAATTTATTTAAATTAACATTTTAAATTAGCAACAACAACTATTTAAGTAGTTTCAACAAAATTAGCTACACTTCCATCTTTTTGTACACCAGTTTAAGCCAATCTAGTTCCAGGAGCTTTTAAAGATCTTTTAGCAATTAAAGCAACTTATACTCTTTTACCTTCTAAATATACTGAAAAACTATCCATAAATCCTTAAATCATAAGAACATCCCAATTCTTTATTTATTAAGTATATAATTATTTACATAATCCTCTATTCCACATGAATTCTTCTCTATCTATATCATCACATTTCTCATAAGTAAAATAAAACCCTTTAGAAAGTAAATTCTTTAAGTTTGATACAGCATCTTATATTTCAGCAACTGAAGCAGCTCTATTATCTAATGCTATAAATTTAGTAGAATGAATATGAAAGAAATCTTTGTATAAAGGATGTAATTAATGATGACTACAACGATCAACCATTAATAAAAATATCACTGATTTTATATTAATGAAACCTAAAAATGCTGAATAAAGTTAAGATGATTCTTAGAGTTTACGACTCTTCAGATCTTCTACTGAAATTCTAAAATCTTTTCGATTTATAATTAAACGTGTATCTATTGAAAGAGATTTACTATTAGGTTCTAACTATCAATTAAATCATGATTTACAATTATTTCTGATTATGTTATCAGTACTTTAATTGCTTAAATATTTTAAGGTAAGAGTACACTTTAATTTTAATTCCCAATCTCACTTTTAAAGTCAATTTGATTGATCAAATCCACCATTTGTAAAAATATTTATTTTTAATATATAATAAATTTCATTTTTTCATACATTACTTTTTTGAGTTTTATCTTCATCGATTTTATGTTCTAATTTTACCTTATGATTTTTCAATATTATTATTCTGTTATATATTTTACATTAAATATAAAATCTATAGATATGATTTAAATAATTACAAAATTCTAAATACAATTAAGATTATAGCAAATACAATTATGAATTCATTATTGAATCTATTTTTTTAATCAAATTTAATGAATTTATCTTTTACTCATTAATAAATGGATAAGGCTTACAATTACTAGATTATTAATTGTATTAACAAGATTAATTCCCAAAATAATTAAATATATTATTTAAGTATTCATTTTTTACTAAATGTCACAATTTATTCATTTTAATAATGAAATCTGAATTATTTTTCTCAAAAAAAAAAATAAATTTAGAATAAATTCTTCAGCTTTGTATAATAAAGTAGAGAATACATAAAAACTTTATAGACCTTAAAATTTGAAGAAAAACAGGTCTTATATATACTATATTCATTTAATTATCTTTCTACAGTTATCTTAGTTTAATTAAAAATACCTTCAATTAATTTATCATAATTTTGAGTTATTGATACATTTAGCTTTCCTAAACAATTATATACTTAAACTGCTAATTTACCCTTATGAGGTATATAGTATATCTTATTAAATATAATTGATATTGAGCAATTAATTTATTCTTGGAAGAATAATGGCTAGTTAATAAGAAATGGAGGAGGGTAAAGAGATTTATCTACCACTGCATTATAACCAATCAAAATAACATTTTTGTATTGTTTTAATATATATGTACAGAACTCACAATTTATTTTTTCAAATGAATTATATGTTCGTTATCAACTTAGTTCGCTAATAACTATTTTTAAACAACTATTTCCTTATTTACAATCTTTACTTATATTGCATAAATTATGAAGATCCAAATTATAGATATACATTAAATCTTAATAAATTTAAAGTATACATATTCTTTAAATTAATATTTGTTGTAGATAATTTATAAAGTTTAATTATATGAATCATCATCTTATTAAATATTAAAATATTAATATTAAACTTCTTCTTCAATATCAAATTTGATTCTGGTTGGAAGTCCCATAATTAATTAATGAATATTCTTTTAATTTGATACTCCAATGATAATTAAAATTTGATATTATGAACAATACAAAAGATCAAAATTATAATATAAGGGTTTCTAGTAAGATGAAAAGCAATTAGTTTTAAATTTATTTCTGTTTCTAATACATTTTAAACTTATATTATCAGTTTATGTCTTTAATAATGAAGTCTTATAATATTCATTTATTATAAATTCTTCATTTTTTTACTTTTTAATTAGTTCTCATTATCTTTTTAAACTAGATTTTGTAAGATTATTTGAAATCAAAAAAGAAATGATGAATTAGATGTATATGAGAATGAAAAATAAAACAAAAATCTTGGTCATAAATTATTATAATTTAATAATTCTATTTTATTGCAAACTAATGTAAGAAATATAGTAATATCTAGTAATAATATTTATGATCTCTTTCTCTTAATCATTCACATGGTAATATTTTCTATTGCATAATAATATTTAATAATATGGCAATAAATTTATTTTAATCATCTACTAATAACCCTTTCAACCCATTTGCTAATAACAATGCTTCGTATTCCCAACAAAATAAGTATCTATACAAATTCCATTTTAGTTTCCGCCCTTAAGTTCCAGGCTCTTACAGAGGAGTATTTTAATCTTAGAGAATTACATATGGACCTACAGATGGAGATGATCTCTATACAACTAACATTTTTATGTAAAGAGAATACAAAGGAACTGTATATATTTCATATTTACAAAGAGTGCTTTATAAATTAGATTAGAAGACTATTATCTTATTAGATCCCAATAAATTTAAGACAATCATAAATAACAAATTGAAATAGCAGTGAGAAAAAACCTTTTTAATCCTAAACTTATACGATCTAATAACTAATAAAGTATTTATTACTTATTACTCTAGATCTAAAACCGCCTTTATTTCAAGATTCATCTGATTGTTTCAACAGATCAAATAATCTATTCAATCAATCCAATGATCTTTTTAAACAATCGAATAACAATCAGAATGTCTTCAATAATCCTTCGAATTTAAATAGAAACAACATCTTTCCCAATAATTCAAATGATTTATTCTATAAAAATAATAATGCTCCAAATTTATTCAATACTCCTTCCAATAACATATTTAATTAGAATAACAATTCATCAACTAACATATTTTAATAATAATCATCTAATAATACAAATAACATTTTTTAATAAACCAATAATAATAGTAAACCTTTTAATTAAACAAATAATAATAATAATAATAATATATTTAGTTAATCTACTAATATCTTTAGTTAATAATCGAATAATAATAATAATAATAATAATAATAATATTTTCAATAGTTAAAATCTCTTTTCCAATAATAATCTCTCCAGTTCAAATAATTTATTTAATCAACCCATATAACCCATCTTTAATCAACCCATTTTTTATTAATATCCAATGAATAATAATATTCCTTAACCTATGTTTTAATCAAATCTTTTAGGTACACTTGATTATTTAAAATTACATGAAAAATAATTTACTGATTTTACGAAATAGGTTGATAGTCAAATTGTTATTATGGAATAATAAAAATAATAAAGTTTTGTTGAATATGATTCTATGCTTAAAGACTGTGTCAAAATGAATTTTGATTATAGATTAGAAAATGAATATACCAAAACTATGAAATCAAGTAAAATCTATAAACAATAATCTCTAAAATCTAGTACTTTCACCAATAAAACTATTAGTAATCGTTAAGATAAAAAATCTACTTCCCCATATTAAACACATAATTTAAATACTGAAACTAGAAATATATTTCAAAGAGAAGATAGAAAACCTATTTCTAAATTTCCAGATAATTTTCAAAATACTGATTCTAAAAGTGATATCAAAAGTTTTATTTAAAAAGAAGATAGAAAATCATAAATAATGTTTTAATTAGATATTGAAATTAAATTTTTAGAAAGTGAAAAATCTTTATTTATTTATTAAGAATTTCAATAAAAATCTAGAATCTATAATGTTAAATAATATGTAGAAGATCATTTGTAAAATATTGAAGTTTTTGGTTCATTATAAGAACAATATTTTAATAATTGTTTAATTTATCAAGATATTGAAGAACTAAACTCGATTGTTGATCATTCAATAGCAATTGCTAAACTTAGATAACCAATCAATAAATTAATTTTTCATTATTTTTATTTGAAACTACCAAAATTATTGAAGGAAGGATATAAATCAAATTTATCTTAATATTCCAATTTCACTTCAATTGAAAACTTTAGAGTTTCCAATAAATTTGGAAAAATTGTTTGGACTAAACCAATTAATTTATATTATGTTGATTTAGATAAAATAATAGATATCAAAAAAGAATCTATTGAAGTTTATGATAGTTAAAAAATACATGAACTATTGAAACCAGAAGAGGGAAAAAAACTAAATAGTGAAAGTTTAATAACATTAAAATTTGAATTAAACATTCCTTAATTAAATTAAGCTAAATTCTAAAGCAATTTAAAAAAATAAGCTATAAAATAGGGCTTAGAATTTATATCTATAGATTTTTAAAATTGTGAATATACTGTAAAAGCTTATCATTTTAGTGGTTATCATTTTAATTCTGATTATTCAAATACAGATAACTATAATTATTAAGATTAACAAGAGTAAGTGGAAATACAATCTAATAATGATGAAAATCAATCTGTATTTGAAGAAAATGATTCTTTGTCATTAGAAAATCAAAGCGAATTTACTTTATAATTGAAATAAAAATTTGATATTAGTTTTTAGAATTTAAAAAATTTAGAATAATCAATAAATTATGAATAATCAAATTAAACTATCAATAAGATTAATTAAAGACTTAGTTAAAAAATTGTGATACCTCTCAACTTTGTTTAAAATAATTAACATTTAACAATTGATGTTTAATTGTTATAGAACTATTTCAGTAATTGCCTAAAATCAAATCAAAAGTATAATAGTTAAACAATATCTATATAATTACTTGATAGTGTATATTAATGTAAAAGTCCAACTGAAGAAATAATAAGATCTTTCGAATTATTCAACATTTTATTTGGTAATCCAACAATAGACATAGTTCAATTCCTATAATTTTAATCAAATCATATTGTAACTTATTAAGATGTTACTAAATCTCCAAAAATCAAAAACATAAGAGGTTAACGTCTAAGTTCATTTTTGGAATAATTTAAAATTTATTTTAACCAAATAGAATTTAGAGAATAATTAATTTCTTAATAGTAATAACAACAAAAATAAAATTCTCTTTAAAATGTTTTTATAAGTTTAAACTAAAAACCTATATCTCATAATAAAATTAAATTAAATCAAAGTGATTGGATTGATAGATTTGTAGATTGGAGAATAAATAAAAGTTAACCATAACCTTTGTATGAAATAGAATGGTTAAATGAATTATACAATCAATAAAAAAATAACTTAATAGCCTCATCATAATTTGCAGCATTAATATACTATTTGCTTAAAAAGACAAAACAGCCCTCTTAAGAATATAAAAAACTTTATGAATATATACATAATAATCTTGATACTTATACAATTATTTTGTTAAATATCATTTTAAGTAAATAAAAAATTGTTTCAGAATCATTAAAAATAATAGGTAGAGCAATTATTACAAAATTATTGAAATCTTAAGTACCTAAATAATTGATATTAAATATCTTAGAAACATTTAAGGGTAAAGTATTTTAGTAAGAAGAATTTTATAGAGTGAAATCATTGTTAGGAAAAATAGGATTCTTCAATATTCTTAATGAGAAAGATATTACTGATATTGATGCATATATTGATAAGAAATAGCTAATTTAAGCTGCAAGGATTATAATTGATAAAAAGTTAGAAAAGAAATACAATTAAATATTAAATGAAACGATATTACCTTACTTGATTATTTGCGATTATTATAATGAAGATTAATTATTAGAAATGATAAAAGATATAATAGATTTGAATAAAGGCAATGGGATTGTAGTTAAAATATGCTAGGTATTAATTTGTTATTATGATTTAGATGTATTTAAGAGAAATAGAAATAGATGAGAAATTAATTAATGATTGGATAACTAAAAATGAATATCAATATCATTTGAAATAGATTATGTTAAAAGTTTGTTTAGATTAATTTTGATAATATTAGCATATTTAATTAATTAATAAATAGTTTTATTTTATATTATGTTGTTTTATGTTATTATGTATATATGAAAGAGAAGATAATATATTAAATAATTAAATATTTTTATTTTATAAATCTGCAGGAAAATGGTATTATCAAAAGTAAAAGAGTTCTTAAAAAATGGATGAAAGATTCAAAGAGATTTTTTCAAAAGAAAATATCAATTAATTCATTATACTTTCTGATTAAGTTTGAGTATGATCATACCCTTTTAAACACATTGTAATTTGAAATTTTATAGTTTATATTCATACTTGTTTTATTCATTCTTTAACAATTTCTTATTGGATAAGAAAAATAGAAACTGAATAGTTTACAACAATTTGTATAATTAAATAGAATAAATCTTTTAAAACAAAAGATAAAAATTACTCACGATGATTATGATAATGAATGGAACAATAATAAAATTGACTATTATTGATAATTTAATATAATTAATTAAATCATATATAATTTAAATATTATCATAATATGTATTATATCTAAAATATATTACATGTTATTCAATTACTTATCGTTATATAAGTATAATATATAAAATTTATAAAAAAGAGATTCTTCTAAGAACAAAAAGTTTTAATAATTATTTATCTGAATGGCTTACGAATTGGCAAAATAATTTTCAAAGTAAAATGTCTTTATTATATACAAGGACTGTGACTCATACATTTTTTAGAGATATTCAAGTGATTGGATAAGAAAATATTCCAAAAGTATATACTATATTTTTTATGATAGGATGGTCCTGTGTTACTTTATGGAAATCACAATAATCAATTTATTGATCCATTAGTATCTATTTTTTTAATCTTAGTTAATTATATCGAACATGACTCGTAAGATCAATTTTATTGCAGCTGCAAAAGTATAATTGTTATTTATAATAAGAGCATGAGAAAACCTATAATTGGAGATATAGGTAGAGCTATAGGTGGTATTCCTGTTGAAAGACCTTAAGATTTGGCTAAAATAGGAAGTGGTATTCTAAAAAGATATGATGGAACTTATTTATTCGGAGAAAATTCTTAGTTTACAAAATAATGTCAAATTCATGATTCAATACTTATCTAAGGAGTAATAGATAATATATTTATAGATTGATACAATCATACTAATTGTTGAAATTATTAATGACACTAAAATTAAAGTTCGATGCGAGGATTCAAGTTAGATTTGCATTAAAGATAATAAATATAAAGTTTAACCAAAAGTAGATCAATCATAAATGTTTGAATAAGTTTGGTTAGCTTTAAAATAAGGAAAATGTATAGGAATATTTCCTGAAGGAGGTTCACATGATAATACTACTTTATTACCATTAAAACCAGGAATATGTATTATGGCTTTAGGAGCTAGTTAAAAATATTAAACAAAAGTTAAATTATAACCTGTTGGATTAAATTATTTTAAAGGACATAAATTTAGATCAAAAGTTATTGTAGAATTTGGAGTTCCTTATGAAATTAACTAATAATTGATAGATACCTATGCTATCAATAAAAGATAAGCAATCAGCAAATTATTATTAGAAATAGAATAAGTATTTATTAACTAGATAATAGTAACTTAAATCAGTTACTATTTAAGCACCAAGTTATTCACATTTATCTGCTGTAATGATAGGAAGATCTCTATATTTACCTGATAGAACCAGACTTTCTCCATAAGATCTTCTAGAATTAACCAAAAGGTTTAATTTAGATTAAATTATTATTAGATTTTTATTGTCATTTTAGAAATTAAAAGATCATCCTGAAGTAAATTAAGTATTGACTGAAATCAAACTTTATAATTATAAACTTAAAGCCTTAGGTGTGAAAGATTGGGAAGTTATGAGAATGCAGAAAAGAATTTATTTAGATCTTTAAATAATTGGATATAATATATTTATGACTATACTTTGTTTACTATTTGCTTTTCCTGGGTTTATCATGACTATTCCAATTACAATTATGCTTAATATGTATGCTGAAAGAGAAAGAAAAACTGCTCTTGCTGGATCTAAAGTTAAAATATCTGGAAAAGATGTTGTTGCTTCATTTAAAGTTTTAGCATCGATTATCATTGTTCCTATTTCAGTCATTATTTATACTATTCTTTTTTATATATTATTAACTGCCTATAATATAGTTGATGAAGAGTTTACTCTTAGATATACTATAATATTTTTATTAATGTGGCCAATTTATATTACTGCTATGATTCGTTCTAATGATGGCTTAATTAGACATGCCAGAAAAGTCAATAGTTAAATCCTATTTTATTTATATGAGAATAAGTATAGAAAATTAAAAAAATAAAGGGAAGAATTATAAACTAAAGTAGATATAATTAATATTACTTAGATTAGAAAACTAGTTGATACCTTTGGAGAAGATGTCATTCATGACTTTAATCATAATAGAATAATTTAAAAAAGCCAAATATAATCACCTAAATCAGTAGCAGAGTTGGATATATAGAATGTATTTGTATCACTTTAAGAATTGGGAATTTGATTCATATATTATTTATACAAATTTTACATTAAACTCAATCCTTATTTAATTATGAAAAAAATGAACTAATTTTCCCCATCATATTTTATTGTTATTAAGGTTATTATAATTGTGGTTGTTATTATTATTATTATTATTATTATTATTACTATTACTATTATTATTATTATTATTACTATTACTATTATTATTATTATTATTACTATTATTATTACTATTATTATTATTACTATTGTTATTATTACTATTATTATTATTACTATTATTATTATTATTATTATTATTATTATTATTATTATTATTATTATTATTATTACTATTCTATTGTTTAGTTCTACTCTTGTTATTATAGTTGATTTTATTTTTCTTATTAGTCTTTCAATTATTTCTATTTCTCAAAACCTTCAATAGCATTCTATAATTAAATTATTAATTATATTTACAAATAAATCAGAAGAGATTTCTTCATTCAATTCAAAAAAAGCCATAAATTTAAACATAATATCTTTGATTGCTCCAAATTTAAAATTAAATAATAGCATATTTTATGCCATTTGTGTGAGAATTGTCAAAATCATATTTTTTTCTGTTTAAATTTAATCGAAAAGACTAATATTATAACAATTAATATACGTTAAAGATTTTTGCCTTTATTATTATTCTTTAATTTATTCATAAATTTATTATATAATGCTAGTTTCCCATAAATCTCTATTTTCCCAAACTTAAAGTTTAGCAAATTCATTTTAAATAAAATAACATTATGATCTACCATTTTCTATATTTTCTTTATGAAAAGTGAAAGATAAATTCATTAACTGTCTAGATGTGCCTGCATCAAATGTCTCTAAGCACTAATATAAATAAAATATTGAATACTATTTCTAAGACTGAATTAAACAAATTAACTGCATTTTAGAATGCTATAGGTCCAAGTCTAAATTTTGAAGTAGCCCTCTTATTTTATAATGCAATAATAACTAATTTTCTCAGTTAATAATCATCATATATTTTTTTTTTAAATTAACTAAATGTATCTACATCTATTTATTATTCCTTCCAACAATCATATATTATTTTTGCAGCATAATATATATTTTCCTATTTTTAATCTTCAGAATTTATTGTTGCTCCCTATTCCACAAGCTAAATAATTTCTTTAACCTTTTAATCACTATTTAAGGAGAGAATTTCATCAAACTCTTTAGAGAAAAACTTTTATAAACTATTGCTAATATATGAATTGAGTTGAATCAATTCTGTTTTCTCAAAAAGAGGAGGATTCTCTAATTTTAAAGATTAGGCAAACTTCTAAACTTCTTCTTCAGGATGTATATCATCAATTTTCTCATTTATTTTATCTAAATCATACTATACATTTTTAGAATGAGAAACTTCAAAAATCTTATATAATTAATATTTAATCTTACGATTTATCTTATAAGTGTGTCTTTAAAAACTGTAATTCTTTTTTCTTCTTATTCCTACATTTAAGCCAAAATAGCTTGAATTCTTGCTTTTGATGTATCACAATTAGTATTATAATCTGCCACTGATTATTTATATCTTTATTCCAATTCTTATGATTCTTTTGTCACAGATGAAACTTTCTAATATTAACTTAATCTTTTTTTTTCAGGATATTCTGATAAAAGATTATAAACAACCAATACTGTTGCATTTTGTTCGTATTCTCTCTTTTTTTATTTATAATCTTAAAAATTCTAAAAATTATATATATATAATTAATACTCTTTTATATTCTGAATTGAGAAACAAATGCTCTTTCTCTAATTTCTTAGCTTCATCTATTAATTTTTTAGAAGAAGCATTTTATTATTAAATTAATTATTTTAATTAAACAATAAGATCTTCTTTTAATGATTAACATAATCCTTCTGCTTAACGTTATCTACTAGTACTTAAACATTTTAGACAATATATAGGAATTTTAAACATTCTAATAAATTGGAATTATTATATTACTATTGCTTATCTTCAATTTTACTAAGATTGTTTACTAATTTTTCTAATGATTTTGCATATTTTTCTTCAATATTCACTCTTTCTTCAAAACTGTCAATAATTTCTTCAATTATTTTTTTGCCTTGTTAAGATTGATTGGCTACAATTTAGAAATGGGAAAAAAATAATTCTGCGTAATTTTGTTGCATTTTTTAAATATATAAATAATATTTATTTCAGAGATCTGATGTAGATTTATGTCGTCCAAAATTAGGAATAATGTTAGAAAATACAATTTTAACTTCTTCATTGGCAATCTAATCAATATGATCATAATCTCTATAATCATTATCAATTTCGAAAAATGCCATTTTCCTTTCTGTTTTAGTTGTTGTTTATTTAATAAAAATCTTTTAATTAGGACTTGTTTCTCTCTCTTTTTTTTAAGTATCAACTGTATTATTTCTTTAATCTTTTCTTTCAGTTTAAAATCTCTTAAATTTATCAATTTAACTAATCTAATAATTATTAATTTAACTAGTTCCAAAACTGGATATATTTTAACTAATATTCTAAAATGAATAATTAGATATAATATACTCTACTCTATTTATTTTTGATATCAGGTGATTAGGAATCAATTTATTAATCTTTAAATGGTAAATTTAAAAAAGAACTTCCTTTATGCTCTTAACCTTTATCTTCACTATTTTTACGAATTTCTGAATCTACACCTTAATGAATTAATTTTTCTAAATATGAGAACTAATACCTATTTTTTATTTTAATAAATTAGTTTATAATCTAGATTTACGTTTCTTAATTTCAGGATATCGCTCCCATTCGTATTCTAAATTGGCTAGACCTTATTAGGATTCCAATTGTAATTATTTCTAGAACAATTCTTTCAGGAAAGCATAATCTGGTTCACCTTAGAAGTCTAATCCACGTGCATAGATGAATAAATTCAAGAAACACTTAAATGATGATAATTAGGTTAAACTTTAGGCAATCCTTCGCAAAGCTTCTCCAAAGTCAATTGTTATTTAAACTCTTTTATTTTCTAATACTTCTCTGATTTTGTAGTTGTATTTAAATTCATCCATGGTAATTTCCCTTTTGCTAAATAGACTAATACATATCCTAAACTCTCAATATCATCTTTACGTGATTATTCCTTAGCTATAAATTTATATTTATTATTCATTACCTAAATGAGCAGTCAAACTAGCATATCTTGCTGTTCCTATTATTCCTTTTTTATCTATTTAAGGTATATGAGTTCCATTTTAATCTCTATAATATTTTGACAATCCAAAATCAATTAAATATATTTAATCTACATCTTCATATCCTATACATATATTATCTGGTTTTAAATCTCTATGAATTAAATTCTTAGAATGCAATAATTTTAATCTATCTATTAAATTTATTCCTATTCTACAAACTGTACACAAACTAAATTTATAATTATTCCGTTTCAAAAGATGTTCCAAATTCTAACCTAAATATGTTTACATAAAGTAATTATAATGTTCATCTCTACCATAAAATACAATCTATGGAAAACCTTAATCAATTTGTATATTACCTTCAAATTCTTAAACCTCTATCAATACTTTTATTTCTCTAACTAATAAACTCATTCCATTTTAATTCTCCTCTCTCTTCTCAAATTTTGTTGCAAATATATCTCCTGTCTCCAAATTTTCTGTCTTAAAAATCATACCAAAACTCCCTTAACCTACTTTATCTATTAATTTAAATTTCTATGCTATTATCTATCCAACTGACAATTTAAATGAATTTTCTGCATGTGTAGTAGCATGTTTCTTTGTGGATCTCATTCTTATTTCTTAATCAATTTTATATATTTATAAATAATCATCATTAATTAAACATATCCTAATTCTTATTATTTATTCATATATCACTTTTTACTCTTCATCCTTTACTTTCTATGCCCAATTGCATAATCATCTAAATCACTTTTACAATTTGATATTTTTATTCATATCATTTAAAAAATTACTAAAAATCTCTATTAATAATTATACTAAAATCAAAAAATCTAAATTATTCTCAGCAATTGTAATCAATCCCTTTTATAGAATTTTTATGTTAAGTAATTTAAATTTATACATATATAAGGTTTAAGTCTTTTATTCAGTAATTCTCAATATCAGAAGTAACCAAAACTATTTAAAATTTACAAACGCTATTTGTAATTTTTTAATTTATCTTGTTTGTACGAAAATTAAAGTGATTTCATTGTTTAAAATAAGTATCAGTTGAGGTTGAATCTATGATAAAAAGAAACGAAGATTTATATCTTAATTAACTTATTTTTTTCAACTATGAAATAGTGTATATAGATAAATCAATAAATAATTTATTATTCATTTATTTAGAGAATATGATGTTGTAATAAAGTTGAATTATGAGTATTTTTTATTTAAAAAGAAGATCCATCTTTTCATCTCATTTTGTTTAATAATTATAAAGCTTTAGCACAATATTTTGATGTCATAATCAAAATTCATCTTCGANAATTAAATTCTTAGAATGCAATAATTTTAATCTATCTATTAAATTTATTCCTATTCTACAAACTGTACACAAACTAAATTTATAATTATTCCGTTTCAAAAGATGTTCCAAATTCTAACCTAAATATGTTTACATAAAGTAATTATAATGTTCATCTCTACCATAAAATACAATCTATGGAAAACCTTAATCAATTTGTATATTACCTTCAAATTCTTAAACCTCTATCAATACTTTTATTTCTCTAACTAATAAACTCATTCCATTTTAATTCTCCTCTCTCTTCTCAAATTTTGTTGCAAATATATCTCCTGTCTCCAAATTTTCTGTCTTAAAAATCATACCAAAACTCCCTTAACCTACTTTATCTATTAATTTAAATTTCTATGCTATTATCTATCCAACTGACAATTTAAATGAATTTTCTGCATGTGTAGTAGCATGTTTCTTTGTGGATCTCATTCTTATTTCTTAATCAATTTTATATATTTATAAATAATCATCATTAATTAAACATATCCTAATTCTTATTATTTATTCATATATCACTTTTTACTCTTCATCCTTTACTTTCTATGCCCAATTGCATAATCATCTAAATCACTTTTACAATTTGATATTTTTATTCATATCATTTAAAAAATTACTAAAAATCTCTATTAATAATTATACTAAAATCAAAAAATCTAAATTATTCTCAGCAATTGTAATCAATCCCTTTTATAGAATTTTTATGTTAAGTAATTTAAATTTATACATATATAAGGTTTAAGTCTTTTATTCAGTAATTCTCAATATCAGAAGTAACCAAAACTATTTAAAATTTACAAACGCTATTTGTAATTTTTTAATTTATCTTGTTTGTACGAAAATTAAAGTGATTTCATTGTTTAAAATAAGTATCAGTTGAGGTTGAATCTATGATAAAAAGAAACGAAGATTTATATCTTAATTAACTTATTTTTTTCAACTATGAAATAGTGTATATAGATAAATCAATAAATAATTTATTATTCATTTATTTAGAGAATATGATGTTGTAATAAAGTTGAATTATGAGTATTTTTTATTTAAAAAGAAGATCCATCTTTTCATCTCATTTTGTTTAATAATTATAAAGCTTTAGCACAATATTTTGATGTCATAATCAAAATTCATCTTCGATAAAAAAGAAGATTAAAAAAGGATAATAATTAATAAAAATATAATAAGAATATTAGTCTTATCATTAATGAAAGGATTATATTAGTCCAATTAATTCAGTATATAAATAAAGTATGATTTATTAATGATTACATATAATCAGTCATCTGATATATATCTTTAGAAAAATAAATCATTTATAATTAGTTAATATAATGATGAAACTGTAAACTTGTGTTAATGGAAAACCTTAATAAAGAACTTAATAGATAATTTAGAAGTTAGAGAAGGATTATTAAAATTTTCAAAAAATAAAGCAAAGAAATGCAATTAGAGTTGAACGATTGTTATCAATAAATTTGAAAGATTTGGGATATGTTTGCAACTATAGCTTGACAATAGATAATAAGGTTGAGAATCGTAAATGTTTTAGAAGCAAGAAAAAAGATCTTTAACTTAAATTGGAGTAACTTAAAAATTTCTAAAATATTCGATATGAATCAAGCCTATCTCCATATAAAAATTATTGGTAAACATGAATAATTAAATGTTTAGGGCAAGACTAGCATATAGGCAAAGTCATTTAGGAAGTGATAGAGAGCATAAAATCATTTGATTGATGTTTTTTTGATTACAATGGTTTATTATTATATATATTTATAAATATATATATAAAATGAAAAAATGGGATGATGATTTTCGTATGAAGAGTTATGTAAATAAGATTCAGAATGCTAAGTCAACTGTACCTAATAACTAAAAAAAAACAATGAAAAGTATTTAAAGGGTAGTTATAATAGAACAATCATATAGAGATACAGAATTCAGTAGTCATGCATCTTATCGATCTGATTTAACTGATATCAAGGAAAGTTTATTATACAAGTAAATGAGAGATCTATTATTATTAGATAATTAGTTGAATACAATTTATAATAATATACTAATAAATTATTATTAAGAGGATATAAAGGTGGATTATAATCATTAGCACAATAGACTATAGATTCATAAAATCTAGTATTGTAAGAGATTAAATTGTTACCTGGACATAAACAAAAATTTTTAGATCTGTTTAAATATTTAAACGATCATTATGATCCTCACAATTATAATGGATAACCTTCCTTAACTCCTAATAACAATAAATAGAATAGAAATACATTACCAGGATAATTAAATTCTCATGGCAAATTTGATTAAGTCATTAATAATACATATGTTGAAATACTAAAACCTGTTAATAGACGTTCTTCTTTAAAACATTTCTCACCTCATTAAGAAGTAGGAGTAATAAAACCAAGAGTTTTACCTAAATTAGAAAAGCGTTCTATTAATGGAAATAATGATAGAAGTCCTTAATTTAGTGATACATAATCAAAATAATTAATTTTAAATCAAGAAACAATTCATGCAAGTTCTTTGTCAATAAATAAAGAAATAATATCTAAACCATTATCAAAAACTATTAATCATCCTGTAGTAAAAATAAAATAAACTAAAAAAAAAAAATCTATGATTAAATCAAATTGTGATAAGAATAATAATCTATTGAAAAAATTATTATAAATTAATTCAAAAAATAGTATTGGAGCAGAAATAAATTTATAGTAAGATTAGATTTAATTGATGTACTAATCATTTGATAATGGAAAATTAGCTTCAACTTTAATTAATATTGATATAGAAGAAATAAGTTATTGTGTTGGTATTACTTTATAAAAAATGATATTCATTGTTGATTTAGAGTAATAAAAATATCTCGAAAATGAAATTTAAGAAATTTAATAAGCAATTTTTAAAGAATCTGATTAATATGAAGAATATGAATCTGGAAGTATTATTTAATTATATTAAATTAAGTAAAATACAGTGAGGATGATTAAGAAGAAGAAAATAATGATCAAATAGTTAATATGTCAAAAGTAGATGAGACAATTTGTTAAGATTATTTAAGAGAAGCAATAATAGAACCTGAAATTACAGATTAATATTACGGAAATGAAGATGTTGCCACTGAATAGTTATAAAAACTTGATCAAAGTGAATAATCAAAATTATAGACTGAATAGGAATAATAAGATTATTTTTAAGATTAAGAATAAGATAATAATAAGTAATATTTGTAATAATAAATTATAATAGTGAATAGTAAATTTCTAAATCTTATTTTTCTGTAGATACTACATATAATTTAGATGATTATCTATTATTTAATAAAGTTTTTATTGATAAATCTATGTCTAATTATATACCTAATGTTGATATCATATAAAACTATTGCAAAAATATAATGATAACAACGAAAATGGAAAGAGAAGTAGCAATTATTTCAATGATATACATAAACAGATTATTAAATTATAATTAAGGCATAGAAATAAATTGTTTGAATTGGTAGAAAATCTTATTTACTGCTTTGGTAATGGCATCAAAAATATGGGATGATGAATCTTTTGAAAATAATAATTTTGCAAAAGTACTGCCTCAATTCTCAACTGTATAAATAAACGAGATGGAAAAAGTATTCTTAAAATTAATAGAATATCATCTCTATGTAAATTCTGGGGAGTATGCCAAGTAATATTTTATCTTAAGAACTTATGCTGATAAAAAATAAAGAAGTTATGCTCTAAAATAATTAGATATCTCAACGGTTTTAAAATTACAAAGAGGAGGCTAATAACAATTATCAAAGCAGTAATATTTAAATACTTAAAACAAAAGCTTTTGAAGATATACTCTATATTTTAATTGTATATATATATTCTGTTTAAGTATAATAAATAGCAATTCGAAATCTACGTAGTTTATAGAAACAAATATTTATTCATTTCTTTTTTTATTTTGGATCTGTCTTTTCTAATAATTTTTGATGAATTAATAATACCTTGAATTTTTAAATCTTTCTTATCTTCTTTCCCTTTTTATTATTAATCTTTTTTATTCTATTCTTTCTTTTGATCTTACTAATCTTTAGTTACTTTTTATGGAGATTTATTTTTATCATTTTTTCCTTCCTATTTATTTTTATCATTTTTTCCCTCTTACTTTCCTTCATTTTTAACTTAAATTTAAGCCTTTAAAGATTCATCTTTTATTTAATTATTATAGTTTTACTTAATTAAAGTTCAGCTAGTGATTTAGCCATAGTTTATTTACGAAACTGTTCTGCTTATTTTTTTTTTTCGTATTTCAATACTGCTTAAGCTGCAAATTCATATACATTTCCATTTGGAAATCCATCTTTACAAAGTCTTCTTAAAAAATATTCATAAGCTGCTAAAACTCCACTGTTGTTTAAAATTTATTCTTATATAATAATTGAGATTAATTTTACATTTCTATTCAAGAATTTCTTTCTCTTCATTATTCATATTTAAATCTTCATTTTATATCTTCTAAGTATCATCCTCTAATCCTTTCATAATTGAATTACTAAATATTTATATATAATAAATTAATATATGAATAATTAGGATTAAGTAAGTTTTAACTTATAAGATTTTAGTCAATATTAGTTGATGAAGAATTTTGTGATAAGAATCTATTTAGTCATTATCAAAAAACAAGAAGGGAAAATGCCAAATAAAATCCACAAATTAATCCTTATGATTATTAACTTAATACTATCAATAGATATCATATAGGATACCTAGACCATCCTCACATTAAATCTAGTAAAATTATAATTTCTAATAAATACGAGCTCAAAACATTTCAATCAATAAGCTTTAATTAAAGAAGTTCAACATGTAAAAGCCAGTCTGTAAGGAACTCGAAAAATCTAAAGAGCCTCTCAATAGAAATTCGACAGTCTTAGATCTAAAATCAAAAAACATGTTTTTTCAAAGGCATTAAGGTTTAGGAAAACTTAAGCCAATCATACAAAAAGAAACATTAGTAAATCCCATCTCTTAGACATAAAGATTCACTACTAAAAAAACTACTGAAACCCCTGTTGTTGAAATCTGTAGCAGCAACTTTCCTGAATAAAAACCAGCATCTTTTCGTTATAATGATCTACAATTAAATCAATATTTAGAAGAATTTAAATTGTTAAAGTAAGAAACTCTTACTACAGTGATTCTGCCTCACGTCTAATATAACAAAAATAGAACTTAAAATAATTACACATAAACAACTAATAGATATAAAACACATAATAATTATTATAATAGCATAATACCTAAAAATAAAGTTCAATAAAGATCAACTAATTAAGAGTCTTCTAAATAGAACCTAACTTTAAGTGGATGGAGTGATTATTCAAATAAATGATTTATTTTTATATATAATTAATTTAAAAAGTATATTAAATGTTGAAATATAAAAAATAAGCAGAATATATCTTCTTTTTATGGATTATATAGATTGTTTTTAGAATAATTCATAAATCATTAAAAAAATAATAATTTATAATGAATCCTGCTTAGAGTATAGCCTAATAATTCTTACAACAATACTATTAAACTTTGATGACTAATAAAATGTCTTTGATTTAATTTTATACTGATGCGTCTATTATGACATATGGTAAAATATTATTTATCTACAATTATTTAAGGAGGAGAATAATATAATGGAATTAAATCTATAAATTAAAAGTTAGAATCATTGTCATTTTAAAAGATTGTCTATAAAATAGATGATATGGATGTTTAGCCAGGAGCAGTATAGAATTCTCTTTTCCTCTTTGTTACAGGTTAGTTACAAATGGATGATTCAGATACATTTAAGTTCTCTTAAAGTTTTCAAATTCTTCCAAATGGATAAGGTGGATTATATGTACACAATGATATTTTCAGATTGGTTTATTGATATATAAATAATAAAATTATTAAATATGGGATTTGAAGATTAGATTCCACCTATTCCAAATAGAGATTAAGAGAAGAGATACATAGCAACAGTTGAAAAATCATTCTATGATCAACCTCTCTATAAATTTTATATGAATGAAGCATTAAGAGAAAGAAAGATGGATTATGCTGATAAATTAAACACATATAAATATGAATGGATTCTTAATTTTGCTGCATCCGGATTAATATTCAGCTTATTATATGTAATATACTTTGAATAGTTTTTATAGTTTATTCCTGTCTCATATTTTTATAGATAAACAACTACAGGAGTTCCTACATACTATCAGTATTTTTTTATTTTATTTCTTAGACCAAAGAATAAGGCTGTTTTCAAATAAGGATATTTACAAAATCAAAATTGGAAAAGATTCAAATTATATTCATTCTTAGTTATTGGATCATCTTTTATTTTTGCTCACACTTATACTGACAGATCATAAATTCATGATGAATATTACAATAATGTAGGTGTCATTAAGCCTAAATTTGAATGAGATAGAATTAAATCAAAAATAACATTATTATTATTTTATTGTCTATTTTTATTTATTTTATCTAACCTTGAAAATTCTCTTTTAATATAACATATAAATCTATACATATATATAAGATAAACAAAATTATAAATGATTAAATGTCATTTTTGTCTAAAATATACAAATATTTATATATAAATAATATACCATCAATAAATTCATGTTCACATAATCAGTATGGAAAATTTCAAATAGAAAATCAACTCCAAAGATTAAATTAGTTAAAACTGTTCCAGATTTATGTACTCCTTTAAATAAAGTTTAAAGCACACCCAAACTAAGAACAAGTAGAATTAATTGGAAGGTTGAATAAAAGCTTTAAGAATTTATACCTTCAGATTCAGATTAAAGAATCCATGATTTAATACTTAATTCTTTACAATATATGCCTAAAGAAATAATCAATTCTATAAATTTGCAACATTATTAAAATAGTTATTAATTGCATCATAGTATCACTTAATAAGAATTAGAATATTAATTAATATGTTCATTGGAATAAATAAGTTAAGAAATAATAGCTATTTTAAAAAGATGATTCAAATATTTTAGGAGTTGCTGATGATTTAAATCCTTATAAGAAATATAATATTACTGCAATACCTAAATTGATAGAAATTGTGAATGGAGACATAGAAAGCATAATTAAATTCTTAATTCCATAAAATAAGAAATTATCTTAATGCATAGAATATATTTGGAAATATTGTGTTTTTATGCTGGATTTGACAATGTAATTCAGTTTAGATAGAAGTAATAAATATATTTTTGAATAAGTAACAAAATTATAAAAAAAATTATCAAATGCAAAAATTTAGATACATAATTTTGAAAATAGAATAGTAAAAATGACCTAAGAATTTGAGACATCAATATTGAAAGAAAAGTAAAGGTATTATGAATTGTAAGCAAAATATGAGAAAATATTGGCTAAAGCAACAGAATTGGAAAGATTGATAAATGAAGATATAAAAACAGAGGGTAGAGATGATTCTTACAAATTAAAAAAGAATGTAAAAGAATTGGAAGTAAAATTTAAAAATACTTGAATCTTAATTTAGTAAACATGAAGAAGAATTTGTTTCATAATTAACTAATGTAGCATATGTGGCAAAAAATAAAAGAGAAACATGTTAAGCATAAATTCGAAATAGATTAGCAATGAATGTTATTGTATAACAACCAGGAGATATGGCATTTAGTTTAATGTTTTCAGATCATCCTTGGGTATCAATATTTTGTGTTCGTTAATTTATTTAGTATTATGAGGAACCTTCTTATATTGTAGAAGAAGATAATAAATTAGAATTATTGCATAAAATTTTAATGATGGAATAATCTAAGGTAAGTCCTTGTTAATAATTGGTGGAATATTATTAAAAATTTCCAGAATTGTATAAAAATATTATAACTATACTTGAACCATTTGAAGAAGCAACATAAGCTGCAGTATAATTAAATAATTTGTGTTCTATTTTTCTTTATATTAAAGGGATAGAAACTATAGAGATATATTACATAAATCAAATCAAAAGAATTTATTAAGAATTCTATGGTCATATTTTAAATGTATAACAACATTCAAAAATCCAGAATAAATTTAAATTATAAATAGAAATTGAAGATGAAAATTTAAAACATAAAATTGTAAAACTAAATTTAAATTATGGAAAATCTACTTTGATGTTTAGTGTCAACAAATAATTTTTAGATACATATTTCTCTTAATTTCCAATTTAGGCATAATTTTAATAAATTTTTGAGACAAGAAAAGAAATTACAATGTTGCATTTCTTATCTATTTATGCAACAGAATTATCAAAGCAATCTAAGACTTTATTTGAAAATAAATTATTAAATTTTAATTTGCCTGATGTAGACTCATTTGGTAAATACATAACTTATGAGATATTTCCAGAATTTAAATTAGATCCTATTCTAGTCTAGTCTTATATAATAAATCGATATTATTATTGAGAAGAACAAAATATAAAATTTAGCTAAGAATATTTATATAGAAACTAATCATCAACTTAGAGTTAAGTATTAGATAAAGAATCTATAATAAATGGTGTCAAATAGCTAAGATAATTATTCTTATTTAATCCTTTGCTATTGATTTCACAAAACATAGTGACACCTTCATAAAATTAAAATTTCTATTTTTATTGAAATAAAGACTTATGTAAATAAATATTAAATTATATAATTATATTAATTAATTTAAAATATGTCTGTCACTTTACATACTAGTCATGGAGATATAAAATTGGAATTATTTTGTGAATTGACACCAAAAACTTGTAAAAACTTTTTAGCATTGTGTGCAAAGAAATTTTATGATAATACAGTTTTTCATAGAAATATTCCAGGATTTATCATTTAAGGAGGAGATCCAACAGGTATTTATAAAGTATGATTGATAATAATAGGTACTGGAAAAGGAGGGGATTGTATTTATGGAAAATATTTTGAAGATGAAATTGTTCCAGAAATAAAACATGATAGACGCGGAATAGTTTCAATGGCAAATGCAGGAAAGGATACAAATTAATCATAGTTTTTCATGACGTATTCAAAATAGAATCACTTGAATGGTTTGTATACAGCATTTGGTAAAGTAATATATGGATGGGAGGCTCTGGATTTGATGGAGAAAGAAACTGTAGATAATAATTATAAACCATTAAATGAGATCAAAATATTCAAAACAACAATACATGCAAATCCAATAGCAGAAATTGAATAATTTTGAATAAATTTAGATATATCATTATTGGTAATCTGAAACAGATGGACATTAACATATGAGATTTCTATCTCCAAAAGCATTATTAATTCTACTAACTGTTGGCCATACCTTTCCTCTTTGTAAAATAAAAGGCAAAGGGAAAGCAGCCTCTTCTCTGGAGTATTTATGATTCCAAGAACTATTAATAACTTAATCTTAAGTATGAGGAGCATGTTTTAATGGATTATCATTTTTATCATATTATCCATTTTTAACCTTCTCAATTTCTTATTTAATATTCTTCATAGCTTCAATAAATCTATCTAATTCAGATCTAAATATTAAATAAATATAAATACTTAGATTCACTTTCAGTAGGTTCAATCATAAGTGTTCCTGGAACTGGAAAAGACATAGTTGGAGCATGGAATCCATAATCCATAAGTCTTTTAGCAATATCTTCTTCAGTAATTCCACTCTCTTATTTTATTGGTCTAATATCAATAATGAATTCATGAGCACACATACCATTTTATCCTGTAAATAGTACTTTATAATCATTTTTTAAACTCATCATTAAATAATTAGCATTTAACATAGCCATAGCTGTGCATTTTTTAGCACCTTTTCTACCAAGTTAACCAAAATAACTATAAGGTATAGGTAGAATAGATGCAGAACTAAATAATGATGAAGCTACACTTCCTAAAGAATGTTCTCTTCCTGGAAGATAGGGTGCTAATCTTTTATTTACAGCTATTGGACCTAATCCAGGACCACCTCCTCCATGTGGAATAGCAAATGTTTTATGAAGATTTAAATGACATACATCAGCTCCCAAATATCCAGGAGATGTATATCCAACTTATGCATTCATATTAGCTCCATCCATATATACTAAACCTCCATGATCATGAATCAATTAAATAATCTTTTTAGTTTGATCTTCATATACTCCGTATGTTGATGGATAAGTTATCATTATGCAAGCTAAACCTTTCTCATGTTCTTTTATTTTCTTATTCAAATCATTTATATCTACATAACCATCTATTACATTTACTGGTACAACATTTAATCCAGCTAGAACAGCTGAAGCAGGATTAGTACCATGTGCAGATATAGGAATTAAACAAATATTTCTATCTTTTTGTCCATTCATGATGTGATATTTTCTGATACACAACAAACCTGTATATTCTCCTTAGGCTCCACTATTAGGCATTAAAGATACAGCTTCCATTTATGTTATATCACATAACCATTTTTCAACATTATCAGTCAATTCTTAATAACCTTAAGTGCAAGAAAGTGGTGAAAATGGATGTAATTGTGAGAATCCTTAAAATGAAACAGGTAACATAAAGGAAGTGGGATTTAATTTCATTGTACAACTTCCTAATGAAATCATGGATTTAGTTAATGAGACATCTTTTTATCTTAAATAGTTAATGTATCTCAACATTTCTGTTTCACTATGTAAAGTGTTGAAAATCTTCTGTTGAAGAAAAGGTGCTCTTTCAGATTTATATGGAATGACCTTTTAAACAACTGACATAAAATCTGCTTTTTTTTTTGTGAAATGTTAAAGATGATTGAATAAATCTTCAACATCTTGGAGAGTATGTGTTTCATCAAAACTAAAGATAGTATCTTATCCTATTTTTCTAACATTAATAGATGCATTATAATGTAAATATTCTTGTAAATTTTCTGTGTTATGTAATACAACAGTATCAAAGATTCTTCCTTCTTTAACAACAATACCCAAACTTTTAGCTAATTTAGTAAAACATCTAGCTAAACAATTGACTCTATTAGCAATTTTTTATAATCCTTGTGGACCATGATAACTAGCATAAAAACCAGCCATATTAGCTAACAAAGCCTAAGCAGTGCAAATATTAGATGTAGCCTTTTCTCTTCTAATATGTTATTCTCTAGTTTATAATGACATTCTGTAAGCTGGTTTTCCATTGGCATCTTTAGAAATACCAATAATACGTCCTGGCATTTTTCTTTTAAATTCATCTTCAACAGCAAAGAAAGCAGCATGTGGTCCACCAAAACCCATAGGTACACCAAATCTTTATGAATTTCCATAAGCAACATTAGCACCTTAGTCTTTAGGTGTTTTATTAATAGTAAGACTTAGTAAATCAGTTCCAATAACTTTTAAGAGTTTAGCATCTTTGAGAGTATGTTTAAAGAGATCACTCCAATCATGAACTTCTCCAAGATTATCTGGTGATTAAACTAAAACACCACAATATTAATCAGCATCTTTGAAATCATAAGTTTTAGCATCTCCAACAACAATTTCAATACCTAAATAATAAGCCTTGGTTTTGATATGTTCAATACTTTAAGGAAAGACATGATTATCAACAAAGAATTTTTTCTTTTCAAACCAAGAATTCGCTAAGAACATAGCTTCTCCTGCAGCTGTTGCTTCATCCAATAAGGAGGCATTAGATACATCCATGCCTGTCAATTCAGTAATAACAGTTTAATAATTGAGAAGAGCTTCTAGTCTACCTTAAGAAATTTCAGCTTAATATGGAGTGTAGGATGTATACCATCCAGGATCTTCAAGTACATTTCTTAAGATTACATAAGGTGTATGTGTACCATAAAAGCCTTATCCTATATAGTTTTTATAAACCTTATTCTTATTAGACAAAGATTAAAGATGTTAAACCATGGCTGATTCAGGTATGGCATCAGGGAAATTCTCTGGATTTTGAAAAGCTGCTTCACTACGAATCTCTTTTGGAATAATTTTATCAACAAGATCATCAAGTGACTTTGCTTAAACTGTTTTCAACATCTCATTTACTTATTAAGTCTCAGAACCTATAAAACGTGATTCCTATTTTTAAACACAAGTCTTACTATATAATCACTTGACTTAAACCAATCAGGGACTTTAGAATTCACTTCATAAGGATTGGCTAACCTACTATAATTAGCTACACGTTGTATTAATCTTATTGATCTAAGCATTAAATATTTAAAAATGACGCAGCACTCTACCCTATATTTATTTATATATATATTCAAAAACTGTTATAATGCATTAAAGAATACTTACCAATGAAAGTCCATATCATAGATAAATCTATATGAGACCAAGACTTTAATCTTAAGACCCAGGACGTAGGGTCTTAACTGAAAATGATACCAAGACTAATATATCAAGAAAACTCACCAAATTCGACTTTGATTCTGTTCTTACTATAAGAACAAGTAAAGGAAGCAAGAAATTCAAACCACAACGCTTTGAAGTTAAACCTATAGTAAAACATTTTTGCAAACATTTAGAAAACTGAAGTCGACTCAGATTTGGAGACTTATTAAAGAATGATTCTAGCAAAATTGAAAGAAAAGAATATTCTACCTAAATAACGCTCTTTAAGCAATGCTACAACATAATAAAAGAGCTAAGATAGATATGCTTCATTAGATTCATAAAATAGAATTAACAACAATAATAAATAACCTTAGAATGTACATCCAAAGATTTTATGGGATCTCTCCGATGAAGAATGGTAATCATTTGGTGATCGCTTTCCATAACACTTTGAAAAAAAGAAGCTTCTTGGAAGAGGAGGATTCTCTTTAGTCTGGTTAGGAGAGCACAAAAGAACTAAAGAAAAATTTGCTATCAAATAAATTCTTTCTACCAATACTCATCAATCTCATATGAAAGAAATCCAGTTTGGTATCCACTTCTTTCAAGATGGACAACCCAAAAAACAATTTACCAATTTCCCAGGTTGCAAAAATTTAGTACGCTTTCTCACATATGATATTAAACCTTAAGACACTTGGATCTTTTAAGAAATATGTGGAGAAAGTCTTGGAAATTAACTCTATGATCTTAAAGGAAAAAATGTTAATAATGAACGCATGTATAGGGTATATATATTTCATTCTATTTTAGTTGACACATAAACCTCTCTATAATACATTCAGAAAAGACTTAACCGAACTTAAAAAACTTATTCGAGAATTGGCTCAAGCTCTAGATCTACTATAAGATTAAAGAATTGTACATTCTGATCTTAAAACTGAAAATATCCTTGTAAAAAAAATTAAAAATGAAAATGATCTACATGAACTGACTTAAATTAAATTAATTGATTATGGAAGTAGTTTCCCTTTTGATGATTTAAAATAATTCTCCATGGCCACACCAGAGTAATTCATTTATTTTATTTAAGATACATGTGTCCTGAAATACTCAACTATATCTTATATGAAAATCAAATGAATTATCGTCCTTGTTTAATGAAGTATTTAAGAAATTATAAAAAACCTTGGGTTATTGATGTGTGGTCTCTTGGTTGTGTAATTCTAGAAATCATATCAGGAATACCTCTTTGGATGAGTCTTAAAACTATAGTCTCAAAAAATGGAAAAGAAGTTATAGATTATGGACTTTTTGCTGTTAAGGGTCGAGTTTTTGATAAAATTATAGATCGTCAAATGGAAGTTATTTCGAATTTAGATACCTATATTGAAAAAAATTATTCTGGTATTATCATTTATTAATTAATCAGGATTGAAAATAGATAATCAAATACGATTTATTTTAAAAGAAATGTTAAATTTAGATCCAGAGAAACGATTATCACCAAAGTAAATAGTTGAATACTTATCCACAAAAAAAGAATACATTATAACTTAATGATTTATACTATTATTAATAATTCAAAAACTCATCTCATTGAATTAAATTTGAAAATAATTTTAGATGTCTTGAATTTTTTAATTAATATTTTATGAACTCAGTATCCACAAATACTTCCTTTACAGAAACTTTGGTTGTGAAAATCTATTTAAAAATTCATTACAATACATAATATGGATAAGCTATTTACTTATGTGGTGACGATGAAAGATTAGGAATTTGGGATTCAACTAAAGGAATTAGACTATAATGGAATCAGGTATAGTATTGAAGTAGAAAAAAGAATAATGAATGGACGACATGTCTTAAATTGCCAAGAATATGTAAAAATTTTGAGTACAAATTCGTTTTAAATGATTATAATAATCCATCTAGTGAAAAAGAATTTTGGGAACCAGGAGAAAATCGTATTATAACTAAGCAATTATTGCTTAATGGTAAGAAAGGAGAGTACTTTAATGGTAATAGTTGATTAGATTATATTAGAGGAGTATTGGGGATATAGAACAATAAAATTGAAACTGAATCACAATTTATAACCTGGAGAAAGAATGATGATAATAGGTTCAATTCCAGAGATTGGTTCTTGGAAAACACCTGTTCTAATGAAATAATAATAGAAGATTGATATACGTATAACTCAATAAATAATACTGAAATAGTAACATAAGAGCCTGTATAATAATGGTCCATTTCATTCATTGTAAATCCACTTAATTTTTATTTCCGATATTATTATGTGATACGTAACGATGAATCAGGTAATATGATTTGGGAAAGAGGCAATGGTCGTTATCTTAAAACTGCCGATCTTTCTTCTATTCGATAAGTATTAGATTAATATGCACTTCATCCTATTAAAGTTAAGACTTAAATTTACACAGCCTTCTAAAGTAAATCACAACATAAAAATGGATCATTTTCAGCTACTAAAATTCCAAAATCTAAGCTTAAAATTAATAGTTAAGGTTATTAATTTGCAGATAAAGAACCTTCTTTTTTTTATTATGAAGAATTTGGTAGATTGAATAAATTAGATTGGAATTTTGTTGTTCAATTTTAAACTTATCAAATTAATGAAAATATTGTTATTGGTCCATATCCTTAAAATGAATAAGATATTTTATTATTGAAATAAAAATAAGTGAAGGCAGTTCTTAATCTTTAAACGCGTTTAGATATGTTTCATAGAGGAGTTAATTGGGAACAAATACTTGATGCTTATAAGAGATAAAAAATAATCATGAAAAATTATTAGATTTTTGATATGGATGCAGAAGATTTTGAAAAAAAGTCTGATAAGGCTGTTTAAATTCTCAAAAAATTAATTAATGAATATGAATATGTTTATGTTCATTGCACAGCTGGAATAGGAAGGGCCCCTTCTATTGTTGTTCTTTATTTAAGCTCTATTCTTTAATATAATCTAAAAGAAGCTATTGAATTTGTTAAATTAAAAAGATAATAATTTTATGTTAATTATTGTAAGTTTCAGTTATATTTATAGCTATGCTCAAAAAATCTTTATAGAAAACACTTGTCTTTAATCATGGATTGGGTTACTAAAATTTGGCTTAAACTTTGTGAAAGAATTAAATAATAATTTATATTTAATTAGTTATAATTTATAAATTCAAGCTAAACATTTCTTGGCTTGATATGTAAATATTTTCTAAGAAATTTGTTCTCAATAAATAGTTCACATAATTATAAATATGAATATTCTTTAATTTCAATATAATTAATAATGATAGATTTGGAAATTATATACTCTTTTAATTGCCTTATATCCTTTCAACAATAAGATCATTACTAACACTAAGCTAAGTTACAATTCACTTCAACCAAAATAAACCTTCTTTTGAATTCTCAATGCTATGAAATAGATATTTCTTATTAATTAGCACTTAAATGGAAATGTCAAGAGAACAAATTGTTATCTATGCATTTTTAATAATTTACTATTTATGCTGAAAATGAAGATCTCCTTATTCTCAAGAAACATTTAGATTGTAAAGTAACATATGTGGGTATTCGAGAAATTTATGATAATGTTATTTTAATATAATAAACAGGAAATGCTAAAGTAATTAAAGAAACTATTATTGTTAGACATGCACACTTAAAAGCAAAATAGATGATAAAAATTACATTTGTAAATGCTATAAAAAATAAGAATTTGAAAAGTGTAGAATATATGAATAATTGATGATATTACGTAAATTGAATGAATTCAAGAATGTAGCTCGAATAATAGATTTCTTTGAATCTTCGAATTCTTATTATATTATTTTTGAATAGATGAACAGAATTCATTATCATAATCTAAGTCATGAAGATATTTAATCAATGATGTTTGTATATTAAATTAAATAATAGGATATTTTATGTTGTGTAAAAGTGTTAATTTCCAATAAAATTTACCATTCATAAATAAATTTATGTAATATTTTAATGGATAAGGATATGAATTGCAAACTTATAGGTTTTGAAAATGCAGAATTGTTAAATGAAGAGAATGATGTCTTGAATTCTTTAATGTTGACAATGGCAGGTAATGTGATGATTAAATTGTAAGAATAATATTAAAAAATTAGATATCAATATAATTCTTCGAATAAGGATTTAATATGTATTCCTGATTATGGGAATTCGCTTGTTTAAGGATTATTGTAATCTAAATAGGATCAACAAATAAATATAGAGTAAGCCTTAAGTCATGAGTATTTTGATTATTTTGATAACAATTCAAGTCCAATGATGCAATAATAGATAATACCAAAATTGAAATCATTCATTACATAATAATCACTTTAATCACCAATAGATAGTAACATTTGATTTTTTATATTTACTTTTTTTTATAATATAATCTTACTTAGTAATGGAATGGAATAATAACAAAAGAATAGAAACTCTAATGGAAGGAGGTGGTGGTTAAGCAATAAGATTATTTGTAACAATAAGAAAGGATTCAGAATCAAATATAGAATATAAAAAAATGACAGTAATGGCACCATGTATATTCTTTAAATTATTAGTGACCATCAAGATTTCTATGCTAAAGAGACATATTGAAAGAGAATTTGCAGATCTCTTTCCACATGAACCAACTTTTGTATGTGCTAAATTAGAAGATGAATATGGTTATAGTTTATCCAATGCTTCTTTGGTTAATGAATTGTTAAAAAATTCTGATAGATTATCTGCTATTCCAGAATCATTTACTAAAGACTTAATTGGTAAAATGCATGTTACTCATGATTTAAATGAATTAACATTCATGTTAAAAAGTATCACCTAAACAATCATAGCAAAATTAGCTGGTATTTTATGTGATTACCTCCTTAGAGGCTGAATTAGGTTCACCTGAAACTTAAATGGAAATTATGTAATTAATAGTTCCTGTAGGCTTTTCATTATAATAAAAAGCAATAAATCATAATACAGCATTGACATTAAAAAGAATATTTGAAAATGAAAGATTGTAATTCTTAGATGATTAATCTTATGCACTCATTTCTTAACTTTTAATTAAACTTCTCTAATTTTGGACTAATGATTTAATCTTTTAGGATTAGTTTCTTCTCAATTTAACTGTAGACTTATTAGAAATACTAACAAAAAGTGGTATTAATTATTTTTAATATAGCTGCTTTCTCTAACTCTTATAAAACACCCCAAATAATCAATAGTCTTATGTCTGTCTCTAAATTAGATTTTGTTAGTGCATAAACTAGATCCAGAATAATTAAACTCATCTCATTTTTATCCAGACCACAATTTACTAATTGTTATTAACCAAGATCTTATGATGGCCCTCTAACACTTAATTTACCTCCATAACCAAGAAGAAAGAATGAAGAATATGTACCTACTATTCTTGAATAACCAAATAGAAATTCTAACAGAAGATAAGGAAGTGCTGGATCTAGAAATTAAAATAGCTACGAAAAATAATAAGATTTTAATCAATATGGATATTAATAAAATGATTCAAATCAATTTGCTCATAGATAGAATGAATCTAATCAATATGCTTTTAAATAAAATGATTTCAATCAATATTAATAATCCAACAACATACCAAAATTAACTACTCCTTAGTAATAATTTGGTTACTAATCGTAACCTTTACAATCTAATTATCCCCCTCCTCAATAAAATCCAGTTTATTCTAAACCTCAATTAAATTTAAATAATAGACCTTCAAGTAATAGAACTATTAATCAATATGGAGGAAATACACAATAATAAGTCTTTGATGGGTTGGTTCAAGATTATCTCAATTTGATTTCTACTGAATCAAATGAAGAAATGTTGTAATTTGCCATCTAAAATTTAAGTGATGGAATCGATACTACAATACATTAAATTATGGATAGTTCAGAAGCATTTTAAAAAATTGTCAATCTATTAGAAATTGCTATGAGTCCTAATTATCTGGGAATGTAATTAAGAATTTTAGAAGCTCTATCTAAGAATATGAATTAAGAAAGAGCAAAAGAAGGACTTAAATTAAAATTAATTCCAAGAATCATGAAAGCTTTCACATATTAACCAAAAGAATTTTAACCAATATTATATGATATATTATCTGCTACTTTAAAATTGTCAGATTTTTAAGTTGATGTTCTTACAGTTATTAGCATGATTGAATCAGCATATCCAAGAATTTAAATGTTAGGTATTAAAATACTTTCATTAATGTCTGATCCATAGAGACTGTAAAATAGTAATAATGTATCAATTTAATTTGAAAACTATATCAAAAGTTTGATGGATTGGACCTTAGATGGATAGAAGGGAGAAGAATTTTAATATAATGCTCTTTAAACTTTATCAAATTTGGCAATAAATGATTACATTCGGCCATAAATACTTCATTTAAGGGGAATTGAATTTTTCTTGAAGGTATTGAGAGAAAGCTATAGAATTGATGCTTAAAGATTGGCTGCAAAAGGGTTATTGAATTTATCCATAAAATCGAGAGAAACTAAATTATCAATAGTCTCATTGATGGAAGAAGAGATATAAAGATTACAAAGAGGAGAGATGGATACTGTTGTTTAAGGATACTTAACAACATTACTAACAACAAGAGAGAGAGGATAGTTGTTATGATTTTTATTCACACAATAACTAAATATTTTTTTGGTATTCCAAGTTCAAATAGTCTACTTTAAATTTCTTCTTCAAATTGAGGACTTCCACAAACATAAACTTTTGATGGTTTAAACTTCAAGTGTTCCTTCATATATTTGAGATTGAAATATGATTCTACGATATTATTTGATAGTTCCTCAGGAATGTTACTTCGATCTTTAATCATAATTTTTATATCAAAAAAGTCTAGTTGGAAGGTTTTACAAATAAACAACAAATCTTAAATTATTGCCAGTCCATAGAAGTGAGCTGCATCACTAAAAGCAGCATGAAGTATTAACTGAAAATCTGGGCCTAAAGTATTTAGATATTCCTCATTATTATCATTAATGCAATCTGCTACCTCTTTACTTCTTTAATCATGAAGAATTGTGTAGACAGCTTTCCTTAATAAATAGTCAATCAAATCAAGAAATGGCAAAATTCCAGTTCCTTAAACAAATGCATAATGAATTCCATCAGAAATAGGATCTAATTCCAATCCAAAACCATAAGGTCCTGTAATTTCGTATGGTTTATGACCTGTACAATGGAGAAAGCGACTCATATTGTTAGAGAAATCACACTTCTTTACAATAAAGTTGATTTCATCACTCAAGATGGCCTGTTATTAAGGTACATAGGGTTAGTAATCTTATTCAATGACTTAAGATTTAAAAAAATCAAGCATTTGTTGTCTTTTGAGAATAGCTGGCTAAGTGTATGCCATGACAACTGAATAAGGTCTTTCAGCCAGATTGATGCCAGTTCCGAATGGTTTTATGTAAAAGTATCTTCCAAACCATTAAACTCCTTTTAAGAATTAGCGAACTTAAAAGAAATGGCTTTTAAAAATAAATAAGCTAACATCTGAAGCAAATGGAATAGATTATTCAAATTTCCATACGTATTTATCAACCAAAGATGTATTTTCCTCATAATATAATAATGGACAGTTGTCATTCCTATAATCTCCTAAATACCTAGTTTCAATGTAATTGATAGCAAATTAAGTATGAATATGCATTTTAATATTTAAGTTTTAAATAGGATAACCTCCATAAAAGTATCTTCCTATTTCCCTTCCTGTAATTCTTTCAAGAATATATTAACCTCCTGGGTGGTTAAAATCACTCACATCATAAATGGCTTCTCTAAGAATAATGTAANAGAGGAGAGATGGATACTGTTGTTTAAGGATACTTAACAACATTACTAACAACAAGAGAGAGAGGATAGTTGTTATGATTTTTATTCACACAATAACTAAATATTTTTTTGGTATTCCAAGTTCAAATAGTCTACTTTAAATTTCTTCTTCAAATTGAGGACTTCCACAAACATAAACTTTTGATGGTTTAAACTTCAAGTGTTCCTTCATATATTTGAGATTGAAATATGATTCTACGATATTATTTGATAGTTCCTCAGGAATGTTACTTCGATCTTTAATCATAATTTTTATATCAAAAAAGTCTAGTTGGAAGGTTTTACAAATAAACAACAAATCTTAAATTATTGCCAGTCCATAGAAGTGAGCTGCATCACTAAAAGCAGCATGAAGTATTAACTGAAAATCTGGGCCTAAAGTATTTAGATATTCCTCATTATTATCATTAATGCAATCTGCTACCTCTTTACTTCTTTAATCATGAAGAATTGTGTAGACAGCTTTCCTTAATAAATAGTCAATCAAATCAAGAAATGGCAAAATTCCAGTTCCTTAAACAAATGCATAATGAATTCCATCAGAAATAGGATCTAATTCCAATCCAAAACCATAAGGTCCTGTAATTTCGTATGGTTTATGACCTGTACAATGGAGAAAGCGACTCATATTGTTAGAGAAATCACACTTCTTTACAATAAAGTTGATTTCATCACTCAAGATGGCCTGTTATTAAGGTACATAGGGTTAGTAATCTTATTCAATGACTTAAGATTTAAAAAAATCAAGCATTTGTTGTCTTTTGAGAATAGCTGGCTAAGTGTATGCCATGACAACTGAATAAGGTCTTTCAGCCAGATTGATGCCAGTTCCGAATGGTTTTATGTAAAAGTATCTTCCAAACCATTAAACTCCTTTTAAGAATTAGCGAACTTAAAAGAAATGGCTTTTAAAAATAAATAAGCTAACATCTGAAGCAAATGGAATAGATTATTCAAATTTCCATACGTATTTATCAACCAAAGATGTATTTTCCTCATAATATAATAATGGACAGTTGTCATTCCTATAATCTCCTAAATACCTAGTTTCAATGTAATTGATAGCAAATTAAGTATGAATATGCATTTTAATATTTAAGTTTTAAATAGGATAACCTCCATAAAAGTATCTTCCTATTTCCCTTCCTGTAATTCTTTCAAGAATATATTAACCTCCTGGGTGGTTAAAATCACTCACATCATAAATGGCTTCTCTAAGAATAATGTAATTTAATTTTTAATATTCTTTAACTAATTGATTTCTAGGGACTAATTTATAAACATCATATTTACCATTCTGATTAATTTTGTCAATCAAATTCTCATAGATTTGATTTTTATCTAATTCTACATATTAATATATGATTCTCTATCTGGGAATAATAGAAACCTCATAGTAATAGAGGATTTCTATGGAAACTTTTGTAAAGAAGAGAAACACATAGAAGTAATAAAAGGGTATCCTATAACAATATTAAGAGAATATTACAATAAATCTGGTCTTTGTATATGAACTCCCATTGCCACTTAAATTTTAGTAATCAAATATATTAAATATCCAAGATAAAAATGAATTCTTTTAACCTTATAGATTTTATTAGAACCATTCAGGGACTCTAGATTATTTTTGACAATCATTCCCATCATCAATTAAAGAAAGAGAATACTCAAAATAATAACACCAACTACAAAATGAGCTATTATCAAACCATCATAATAATAAATTTCTTGAATTTTCATTTTGTCTATTATTAATCGATAATAAATTACTGTATTCTATTTTACTGAAAACAAAGATATATGTGACAATGCTCTAGAAGAGGAAGATAATTCCATGAACTTTAGCATATTTTGGATAGCTTTTCAATTGTCTACCAAAGAAGATTCCTACATCAGATAGGAAACTCCAAAAGATAAATAGAAAAATAGAATGACCTTCATTTGTAAATTATTCATATTTTTCCATTTAGTTATCCAAATTATACAGATCAACAGTTAATACACCTCTATTGTAATTTCTATATACCATTCCTTCTTCATTATACACTATTAGATATCCTATATCAACTGATTATTAATTAAATTGATAGTCATCTGTATCCTCTGTAAGTAATGTTCTAGTAATTTTTATTCTGATTGTTTCATTTATGATGGCGTATCCCAAAATGTGCCAACTTTGAAATCCTCCTTTTTATTCATCCCAAATGAATGCCGTTGAAGATGATCCAACGTTATCATTAACATAAAAATTATCATAGGTTTCAACCCAAGTAAAAAAAATGATGTCTTTGCCGGTAATATCATATTCGTCTTATGTTTAATTCATTTCATTGTATTTTGTGTAATTAAACACTATAGCAAATCTCTAACATAATTGCAATTCAAAAAGCATAGTAATGTTATTATTATCCAGTTGAAAGTACATAGAAAGATTAGATGTGAATTTCACATAGTTATCTAGTACTGTAAGATTGCCTTGACAGGGTTCTCCATTACAATTAAATCTGGAACTATCTGTAAAACATTCGAATGAGTCTGTACAGGCATATACAATTGGTAGAATGAGAACCAAAATATTCATAAAATTTATTATTTAAACAATTAATAATTCATTTCATTTTGAGCAAGTTTCTAATTGCTTCTGAATTGATGGAATTATTATATCCACTTTTGTTAGCACTATTATTCTATTTTGATTGACTTCTGCTTGGTTAAATATTACAAATTTCAGCTAAAGTCTATCGTCCTTTCATCATATATTAACTAATCTAAATGTTATTTGATCGTTGACTTATAGAGGCCTATTATTGTTACAATAATTTATTGTATCTCTTGAAAAGTTCATCACATGAATTTCGATGGGAAGTGTAACCTCCATGTTAAGAGAATGAAGATTATTTTTTTGGAGAACCCTATCGATAAGAAGTAGATCCATCATGACTCTAATCTTTTTTCTTTGATTCTGATTAACAACTATCATATTATACTCTTACTTAAGTTTCTTTAATTTATAGATTTCCTGTTATAATTTCTTTACTTCAGCATTAGTTTCTTCTAACTTTGTTTATAACCCATCCTAATATAACTTCATCTATTATTCTAACTAAAATTAAAAATCTCTTCATACACTAATATGATTTCGGATGTCTGCTTCCTATTATTACAAAACAGATTCCAGCTTCTTATATTCCAGATTACTGTTCTTCAATTATCGAAAGAGTTTGCTTATTCTTTATATTAAATCTAAACAACTTTAGTGCTCTATCCCAGTCATCTTTTCATTACTAAAAATCATCATCTGATTTCATATAGTAAATTCTATATACTTCCTCTAAAAGATTACGCAATCCTGATTCTACTTCCTATTTCTCATGTCTGTTCATTTAACGAAATTAATTAAACTAAATCCAATTATTTTTTTAAATGGAAGAAGAAGACTGCACTATTTTTATTGAAGAACTTAAAAGCGATGATCCCAATCTAAAACTCAATGCTGTATCCAAAATTGTATCAATTGCCTAAATTCTTGGACCTTCAAGAACTTGCTAAGAACTCATCCCTTATCTCATTGATATCATTGAAGAATAAGACAATGAAGATGAATTCCTAATCAAATTAGCTAAAGAATTAGTTAATCTTAAACCTTTCACAGGTGCCAATGTACATTTACTAAATGCTCCTCTTGAAATTTTAAGTTCAATGGAAGAGCCATTAGTTAGAGATAAAGCAGTTGAATCTTTAATTTTACTTGCAGAAGGAATGCCAAATAGTAAATTTTATTCATCTTATTGTTTTTAGGTTTTTTTGAAAATCACTTTTTTTAAATTGTCTAATAATTAGGTCAATGGGATAATTTTCCTTCAAGAATATCTGCTGCTAGTCTCCTTCCTCTTACTTATAAATATGTTTCATTAGAAAAATAAAATACTCTTTGGGATTTATTTAAATAACTATGTGGAGATGATACTCCAATGGTAAGAAGAGTATGTGCTGGAGTTTTGTCTGATCTTGCTAAAATGAAATGCCAACCTTAATAATTATTATAATTATGGGAAGCTCTTCTCAAAGACCCTATTGATAGTGTTAAAATTAAAGCAATTGAAGGATCATAATACATGCTTAAATTAATTGATGACGAACATGATTTAGAAACATAACTTTAAGGATATTTTGCTCTTGCTGATCCAAAAGAAAAAAGTTGGCGTGTTAGATACACTGTTCCAGAATGTTTGGAAAGTATCATAGATATTATTGTTAAATTAAGTAATTGGTTTTCAAATATTTTAGATAAAAATAAAAGTATTTTAAAAAATCAAGCTGTCCCTGTATTTTAATAATTACTTAAAGATACTGAACCTGAAGTAAGATCTATGGCATTAATATCTGTATATCATCTATTAAAAGAATTGCCTTCATCTAGCAAAGATGCATTCTTACCCTAATTTTAAACTTTATCAACAGATACTTCTTAACATGTTAGAATGTCATTAGCTGAATAAATTTGTAAAATTTCTAAATAATATTCTGTTTAAATTGTCTTATAAAATTTTATACCTTTGATTACTTCATTGATTAAGGATGATGTAGTAGAAATCAAAATCAAACTAGCTCATAATTTAGATCAATTATCTTAAGCCATAGGACAAGAAAATTCGAAAAAACATTTAGTACCTCTTATACAAACATTTGCATCTGAAAAGTAATGGAGATACAGATTAGAAATGATGTCAATCATACCCAAATTATTAAAAGTTGCTGGTTATGATAGTTTTTTAGAATTATAAGAAACTTATTTAGAAAAAGGAGTACTCAACCACTATTAAGCAATTAGAGATTAAGCTATTGAGAATTTAATACAATTGAATGAAACTTTTGGATATGATAAGATCAGAGAATTCGTTTTATAATGTATCAATAAATAATTTGAACAGCAAAATTATATCTATCGAGTTTCAGCTATGCATAGTATAGCAAAATTAAAAAATACATTATCGAAAGATGATCTAGTAAATTTGTTCAAAGTAATCCATATAAAAATTATTTATCAAGGAGGTAACCCAAAAATCTTTGAATGACAAAGTTCCTAATGTTAGATTAAATATTTTTAAGTTGTTTACCGCAATTCAAAATAAATTAGACAACAAGACTCAAAATGAATTCAAAAATAAAGCAAGAATCTTATAATAAGACTAGGATATTGATGTGAAATATTTTGCATAAAAAATTTGATTTATTTTTATATATGTTTCAATATCATAAATTTTGATATATTTATAGATCATTTCTGTTAAATATCAGTTTTTGATTCACTTTCAAATGTATATTATAATGCAATAGGATTTGTAGCAGTACATATTTTTTTCATATACCCTAAAGTAGTATTTTGAAGAAAGTTATCTCCTTTTTGTCCAACAAATGAAGTTGATTTTCTATAATTTCTGTCTGTACTTTGACATACTCTCAGTACTTAGGAAGCAGATTTTTCAATTTTCTATCTTTTGGTTCTACTTGTTAAATAAATTTTGACATTCTAAAAATACAATTATAATTCATCCTACTCTTTTTTGTTTGGAACATACCATCTAAAAAATAAAAATGAATTTAACTTAGGTTAAGAAATATTGCAATTTTTAAAACTATTACTAATGGATCCAAATTATCTCACAGAATTAGTTAATTTATTATATTCGTTAAAAAGTTCATATACTTGCAAAGCTTATTTTTAATCAAGTTGTGTATAGCACTCCATAAATTGTCGTATGAACCTGCAATACTTAAAAAGAGAATTCATAAACCGTACCTTTCAAGCATTAAATACATGGCTATTAGATCATTCCAAATTAGTAAGTAAATCTCCATAATTACTGTTCTATTGTGTAACTTTGAAACACTAAGAAATAACTGAAAATAAGAAGAACTTATACATCATATTATGCTAGAATAAAATTTAAACAGTTAATAGCCTTGTAGAATTGAATAACAGATGTATCTATATCTTTAAAGAAAGCTTCGATGCTAGTTTTAAGTTTGCTTCTGGTGCATATTTCTTATATGCTAGCTAGTTTATGTATTATCATAGTTTGTATGCCTATGAATTTATTTAAAATATCATCTTTAGTTGATGATGCCCATCCATTAAAGTAATTTAATTACTATACAAATAATCTACCATGTTTGACATCACCCATTAGTACATGCATAGTAAGTAGAACTTTCAGCTTTTTATGATTGTCTAATGTTTATGGAACAAGTCTTAAGAATTCTCGACAGACTTAAACAATAGTCATACTCTGAACTAATTAATCGATTTCAGATATACAAGGGAATCCTATTATCATTTAATTAAAAATACCTTGTAACATTTATTTCACATCTTCCAGATCTACAGTTTCCTGATTATCAAATATTGAAGATTCTAATAGTTTTCTCTCAAATCTTGATTGCTTTTTAAAGAAATTTTTTATAAACATTTTTTAATATATATATATTTCTTTGTCGATTGTAATGAGTGAATAAAGAACTGTCACAGAAGCAAGTCAGGATGAAGAAGAATAGAACAAAAAGAAATTTATCTATTAAACTGAAAAACTCAAACTCCTTTTATAAGTACCAATCGAATAAAGAACTCAACCTATTTGTAAGGATATTGCTGAGATTGCCTAAGTAAATAGTCTATAAATTATAACTACTTTAGTAAATTAAATTCCTTTCCTCATATAAATAAAAACCTGACTTCTTAGAATTATGTAAAAATCTTTATCTAAAAACATATGAAAAACGATAGTATATCTTTAAGCAAGGGGATTAGGGAGATGCATTTTATGTTATACTAAATGGAAGTGTTAAGGTTTACATAGATGAACCAACAGAATTTAAGAATTTTATGCAACTTGTAAGATAGATTATTTTATTTAGAAAGAAATTGCTTAATTGGGTAAAGGTGATGCTTTTGGAGAAATATCATTGCTTTATAATTCAAAAAGAACAGCTACTGTCATTTCTAATGAGAGAAGTGATTTAATTGTTTTAGAAAAAGATGCATTTCAAGAATATATGAAAACTATTGATAATTCTAATGAAATGAAAACTGTTGCACTTAATAAAATACTTTAATTTTTAGAATCTCTTCCAGTCTTTTAAATGTTCAATAAAGATTTATTAGTATAATTATGTACAAAATGTTCATTACAAACATATCCTTCTTAATAGATTCTATTGAAATAAGGAGTTGAACCAACACAGATGTACATAATTAAAAGTGGTAGGGTTAAAGCAATCAAAAAAATTAAATGGAATTTAGAAGATTATCCATCTTCATTAATAAGAGGTTAAGCTACTAGTAGCAATGATTTATTTAATCAAGATGTCTATTTTGAAATTGATGAATTAGGAGACGGGGAAATCTTTGGTGATTTTGCATTATTAAATGAAGAAGAATCATAATGTTCATATATTACTTCGATACCTTCTGAGATAATTTCGATTAGTTCATTTAACTTAAAAATGATTGTACCATAAGATAGATTAGAAGCATATTAAAAATAAATTAAACAATATCCTGATGATGATGATCTTAAACTATTATATGAAGAGAAAAGAAATTGGAATAAATATAAGAGAAAATTAATTAAAAATATTTAAGTTGATAAACAAAATAAAAAAGGGTTTGATAATCGATTAAGACTTCCAGAATTAAAAAGTAAATAAGCTTCACCTCCAATTAATATTATTGACATAAAAACAAGTGATAATAGAACATACTTTAAATATTTGGAATCAAAAATATCTCCAATGGCAGAATGTAAAAAAAAAGTATAATCTTTAACTCAGGTAGGATTGAGTATGCAAGGATTAGTAAAATAATTAGAATAGAATACGAATTAATTAAGTATAGCAAATACTTTTTAGAGAAAATTAAAGAAACTCAACATAAACAGATCTTAATGAAATTAATCAATGTTATAAATCATAAAATGAAAAAGAACTTCCTGGTTATGTTGAATTAATTCTCCTATGGTTTTATTATTATTATTTGGGCTAAGATATTTTACGAACAAAATCTTTAGTCCTTTGAGAATAGATTTTATTCTGTATTTGTACATTTTCTTAATCTAAATGTGATGATTACTACTACTAAGCCTTTTTTTTGGGCTATTGAGTGCTAATTATATTATAAAATCATACCATCTTTATGAATGATATTGATATAAAGATTCATTTTCAATAAGGAAAGATTGATTCATTGTGTGAGCAGTGATAGGTGATAAAGATGATCCCTTATGTCCATTTGGTGTATGAATCTTCATTTAATGTACATCCCATAAAACAGACTATTCTAATTCTTCTTAACTTCTTCTTGTCTATTCTCTAGTATGATAACTTCTTTTAGAATTTCTTTATATTGGACTTGTAGGTATAGTACCAATTGGTTATGTATATGAAAATGCTATTTCTCTAAATGCTTTATCTAATTAACATTTCTCAATCTTTAATACTGCTGATTCTAATAAAAATAAACCTGTTTATACTCTCTATTAAAGATGTCTCATGTTATTATTTCTACTTCTCCATAATTTAAAAAAAGTCTCCTTTAATTATAATTCAGTCTCTCTCCTAGATAAAATGTTTTCTAACATTGCACTGCTTAAACACTTTGATTTCAAAGCATTTTAAATTTACATATTCTATAATTCTAATTCATACTAATAAATTAATCTTTATTATTAATCTTATTCTTATTTCGAATTAGCAAGTTCATTTCTTACTTAATCTATTAAAATATTTTAATTATTTCTCCACCTATTCAAAAATCTAGACTTCATCTTCTATTAATATTGTTCTTATCTTAATCTTATAAATTTAAAAAACTCTAAATATTTCTATCTTAAACTATTTATCCCATTAGTCAATATTAGTGCTATTTTACTCAAATAATGGGTCTACATATTTGAAGATGTAATTAAGAATATTTCATCATTTACCTTCCATATATGTCTATTCTCAAATTCTATATTTTAATTATTTATTAATTCAGTATTTATATTTAATGTTAATTAATAAAGAGTATTAAACTATGAGATATCATCAACATCTTCAAAATACTCTTATATTAATCCGAATTCAGGTAAATAGGAAGTCAATGATAATATCTCTATATTTAATATTGATACTGCTAACTTTTCACCCATCAATTAAGCTACCTATTACAAATACATTTCTAGAGAATTCTCTGATTATAATGCTTAAAGCATAATTATTAAATCATCATTCCCAATTAATTATGTTATTGTATTACTTTTCAATCTACTTTAATACTTTTATAACACCATAAACAAATACGTCATATTATTCTTTTAATCCTTTTTTACCTATTTCGCTGCTTAAAGAATTAACTTACTAAGATTATTATTAATACTTTTTTAGCATTTTATCGAATAGTAATTCTATTTCAATCTTTAAAATCCCATTCTTTAAAATATTCTTTTTAACTTCTTATATTAAATCATAAATTGTTTGATTCTCATAAAAACTATTCGTCTTCTCTTCCTTAATTATAATATTACTACTTTATTTAACATACTCAAACCAGACTCCAATTTGTATTATATATTGCTAATATTTAATTAAATGTATTGCTAAATCTATTTACAATAAGAAGGTGGATAATTTAGAGCATATATCACTTTACTATCAAAATGACTTATTGGAACTAGTGCAAATTATTCATCAATACTAAATATTTATTATTAAATCAGAGACTATTTTATTTGTCTATAATCCACCTAAACATTTGATTATGAATTTGTTAATGTACATGATTAACATTTTTGGATATTAAAACTATTTAATGATTCTCCCGTAATGACTTTATCACTTATACAATATTCATAATATCCACATTCATTATTCTTTATTTAATAATAAAACTAAAGGGGGTTTCGAAAATGCAATTCAAAAACATTCTTATAGCTAATCGATTATTCTATAGATTTAGGTATTTACTAGTGAGAAGGTAATTATTTAATAAAATTTGAAGATTGGGTTTGTAGATAACTTCTTTTAGAATTCTATTGAGTTGGAGTTTATTATTCTAAAGTTGGAATTACAAATTCTTTGACTAGTTATTCTACTAATTAAAACATTTATTCTGGTTCATTGTTTTTTTTAATTGATTCTTAATCAAGTGAATCAAATAAAGTCACTAATCTTTATCTATCCTATTCTTTAGTATTGGAGTTCTCAATTAATGAATTTAATTTTGCAAAAATCGGCTTGAAAGTTTAATAGTAATTGAATTAAGGGGTTTCTTCTTTTTATTTTTTTATTTCTTCTTTTATTGATTACTAAGGAATCGATATAGAAAGTTTAAGATCTTATTGTCTTTATTATTTTTCAATCTCATCACGTCTTTTCTAAATTAAAGTCTTTAATTAGCCAAATTCATTTTGCATTCTTGAACTTACTTTTTCTGTTTCCTACATTGATTTCTCAAAAGAACGATTATATATTGATTTATCACAATCATTTGAACTAGTATGAAATGAGTGATTGCGTTTGGGACAAATTTCTCGAGGTCTAAGCATTTCAATTTCTCTTTTCTTATTCATTACATCCCAATCATAATTGAATGAAGCATTAAAATTATGCTTTGGAGGTAATTGAGTATTAAGTTTCATTTGAATTTTAAATTATTATTAGTAACAAATAAATAATCATTCCTTGATTCAACAAAATCAATACTCTAAATTTAAATCAATTGTTACAAAATAAACCTAAAAATCTATAAATCTCGTATCAATCACTTGAAGTTTCTTTAGTGAATATTGAAATAATTTTATTTTGTAAAAATTAATTTAGTTTTCATACTTCATCTCCAAATTAGAAAAAAAAAAAATTTATAATTCAAATAAATAAAATAATGTAGATATTCAAATCAATCTAGAGTATTTTACTTATAAAGTTTAATTATATTACTAGATTTATTAGACATTCCCTATGGCTGTTTTCATATATTTGTTAAATCAAAAGATCCTTTTGATACTTTCAATATTATTAATTAAATAGGTATAAATTAAAATTCTTGAAGGGTTGCTTTAGTTTTTTTTGAATTACCTTATGATTATTATGGTATTTGCTTTTTTTTTAATTTTTAACTTAAATTATTGAAATTAACAATCATATCATTAATAATATCTTAAATTGTATGATAAAATTCTTGAAAATTATTAATTTTATCGAGTTTTCAAAACTCAATTCCAAAATAATTTTAGAGCTCATTGATATTATTGAAACTAGTTAATTCAACAAAATTTAGCTCTTTTTTTTAGTATTTTATATAGCTTTAAAGATTTTGAAATATAAATATTTATATATATAATAATGTCAGTTTTTATAGATTCTTATAATATCTTAAATTTTAGTTCTACAGATAGGACAATCCTTTAGATTTTTACTACATTTTAGACAAGCAGTATTATGTTTACAAGGCATATATAATGCATCTCGATCATTTTCGATGCAAATAATACAAGTATTTTCATGACTTCTATCAGCAACCAATTATGTAGTTCTTTTACATAAATAGGTAGATGTAGTTCCAATTTTAAAAACTGTTTAGTTTTATAATGGATATAACTATGAAGCTTAACCTTCTCTTGATAATCTTAACCAAGATCTAATAATTAGACATATATATATACCCATTAGTAGATCCCATATCTTCTAAATAAACTCTTCCTTCAATTAGACAAATTTTAGCATGTATATTAGAAAGATGATGATCTTCACTAAAAGTAAGATCAGCAGTCTATTTTCTACCTACAGTTGTTACACTTTTTAATGGAGTTAAATTAATAATATGTTTTTCAGGGGTATTTGGTCCTTCAATAATTGTCATAACAACCTGATTTTAGATAGAATAATTACATCAATATTGGATCCATTTGTATTGACTTATTGAATTTCAAATTGATTACTACCTAATTCAACAACCATTCCAATCTACAATTATTATTTAGTTTCAACTTTAATAAAAGTACCTGTAGTAGATCCAATATCTTTAATATAAAACTATATATATTAGATAGTGTGAATACTTCTTCATTTTGAAATATAATTTCAGCATGAAATCTACTAATACTCTCTTCTAATATTAAAATTTAATTGCTAGAGTGTCTTCCTATTTTTCCTCCTGATTCTTTAATACAATAGAAATTAGTTTATGGTCCTTCTGTTGGTTGGATGATTAATTCATTTTATACTTTAGAAACAAATTTATCTAAGTCTTATTCAATTAAAATGCCGGTTTATTGTTTTTTTTAAAACTAAGGTTTGTTTTCACTTATAATTTAAGTATTATTATTACATCTCACATAAAGGTTATTGAAATTATTATGAATACATTTCATTATTCTTAAGATAATTAGTCATCATGTCATGAGAGATATTTATTTATCCATATTATGGTTAAGCAGATTCAGTATTTTCAAGAGTTGTATTCTCTTATTCCATCTTGTCATAACGTCTATCTTCAAACGTTGTTGATTTTATATGAGATGCATATTCTTTAAGACCTGTTTTAAGCCCTTTGAATAAATAAATGATATTTACAATGCATTAGTTTTTTTCTAACTATCTTATTTATAATTCCTAGATCTTCTATTAAATCATTTTCTTCTATTAACTCTAAACATGATCCATCGATTGAATTTTTAGCTACAATATAAGTTCACTAATTTACTAAATGTTGTTTGTAGTTATTATAACCCTACAAAATTGAGCCATTGTGATACATCCTCTAAAGACCATTTCTTAGGTTCTTTGGGAAGAATTGTGAAGAGGGTTTCATAATCCATATTTTAAATTTAAAAGCACTAACTGAAATTAATTATTCACACATATAATTATTTCATCTTACTATATGGCAAGTAGACTAATCCTGCTATCATCAGTTTCTATCTATTCTTATACATTTCTTTTCTAATTCTTTCTCAATCATCATCATCGTATCAAAATACCCTAGTTAAAGCTTATTTCAATCCAATTTTTAGTAATCATCATTTTTGCATTCCACACATCACAAATTGACTCTTATATGAACATATAACAATCTAATCAACTTTAACAATCTTCAATGACATCACTATGAGACTTCTTGAATCTTTTGGGTATTATATTAGAAACTACAAAGAATTTCTTTGCTATTTCCTAATCTTTTTTATTTTATTCTAATTTGGATTTACTATATAAACATCCAAAATCTTTTATAAATATCAATTTACATCTCTAAATAATAATTATAATTCCCTAACTATATTTCTATTTATCAAAAGTATTGTGTTTTAGCTTCTCTTAATCTTCTTTAATTTATTTAAACTTGAATTCTGAGTCATAGATGCTATTTATAAAAATTGTACGTTTAATAACAAAAAATCATAATTAACTTTATAAATTCCCTTATTTTCCTTTTAAACTATTTATTCAATATTTATTTTTATTCCATTTGAATTTAAATATACTTCAAAATTATCTCGTAATATAACTTACAAATTACAAATATCCATTTCGGCAATCAAACTAATCTAAAAATTGATCTATAACTACTCACTTTTTTAAATCAAATATCATTAGATATCTTATCTTAATTTTCTTTATCCTTATTTATTTAAATTCAACATCTAAATTCAAATTCCTTTTAGAAAAACATAAATCTTTTATAAGAATCTAAAAAGCTTTATAATAAACAATATCTTTATATTTTCTTAGTTAAAAACTTACTTATTATTAAAAAGTAATTTAGGATAAGCTTTAATTAAATTAAGTAATTCCTCATTCTCATGATAAATTTGAATAGTTTTAAAAATTCCTTCTTTATTGGACTCTCTTTAATTCTCACTTCCAATATTAATAACTAAATAATTTTTTATACTAGTCACACTTAATAGATTATAATATTAATCGATACAAATATAGCCCAATTTTACCAGTCATATAAAATAATGTTCTATTGTACTACTTATCTATTATAATTGAAAAACACCTTTCTTCAAAAATAAATTAATTTTCTTTCCTTTTTTGAATAATTCCTCCTATTCTATTAGACTATTCAATAAGAATTATTTTAGCCTTGGAAAACAAATGTTTTATGAAAAAAAGCCTTAATTAACCCTGATAAAGATGCTTCAACTCTAAAGAATTTATAAGTCGTTCTATTATAAATAAAATTTTGATTTTCAGGCACAAAAATATATTTTAAAAAATATTTACTCATATTTATATATAGTTTTAAGTTTCATCAAATAGAATAGTTAGATTATATATTTTTAAGTATTAAATTTAATAAATTTTATTTACTATTTTGATTCTTACCAATCTTATCAGGTTTCTCGCTATAATTAAGAAGATAGTATCCATATTTTTTTAATTAAAATTAAATATAAAATACTACAAGGTTATTTTATCAAAAGAGCTTTAACTTGATTATTTGAACATTTCTTTAATTTAGATACTTAATTCTAATTATAATATAATCATATAAAAACACTAAGGTTAATAAATATTTATAAATTCAATATTAATTTAATGTTGTTTTTTGTAATATTTGCAATAGGGTATTGTTAGGATTGCCCAAGTGTTTTTTACCTTGGAAATCTGTATAATTAAGCGAATCTATTTGTATATTCTAGTGGTTACAAATAAATCATAACTTCTGTTTAGAATGCAATAGTTTTTCTTTAGGCAGAATCAGGAACTCTTGGATAGATAAAGTCAAGTAAGAAAATATTAGTAAACAGTTGATGGATAGAGTGTTGCATATTTGGAGACAGAGAGCTCAAATGTATATGTTGGCTTGGATAACGAATTGCTTGTGTATAGTTTAGATGAAAATAATCCAATAAAGGCTTCTTTAAATTTTATGGGAAATGTTTAATCAATATATACATTGAATTCATTGATAAGTGTTGGAACAAATCAGAATGAAGTAATTCTTTGGGATTATTAAGCAAACATTATTAAAGGAAAAGCAAAATGTATGATATTCTATATATTAGAACTTTAGCTTTGAATTTAAAGAATATATTAATAAATTATCAGATTCTTATTAATTAATCTTATGATACTTTAATAGCTGGTACTACTACTACTGGATCATATTCATTGGAATACTATACCTAAAATATGTAATTTTTACTTAATAGCTTTGTGATTGATTAATTCACTCTCTATTAACTATCAAAAAAGACTATAAGTGATACTGAGTTTGAAATTAATGTTTATACTATTTCTACATAAACTCTTAGCATAAACTAAATCAATATTAAATCTACAACAGTTACATTAACTATTTCAAATATAATTTTAAATTTAACTCCTATATAGATGTAATTGATAGATGATTATATCATCTTTTTTTCTAATACTTGTGAATATTAAAAATATGATATAAAATAAAATGCTTTAGGAAACCTGAATTCCTGGACTTCCTCATGTCCAAACAATATAAAACAATTATCATTTAGTATTGAAGATTAAATCATTACATTACTTTTAAACAATCCTTAAATTAATGAAGAAATGATATAGATTTATCAAATAGATACAAATTTAATCGGAACCAAAATTAGATCATTTTATTATCTACCTGATAGCATTAGTATATCTTATATATTGTAATCATAATACATTCTTGAAGTAGGCTTATCTAATAGTAATATTTATGTTTATAATTAATGGTATCAACTGCAATAAATCATTTAAGTCAATAATAATAACAATATTGCCATTTAAATTATTTAGCAAGATTTAATACTCGTACTCTATTAAAATGGATTAGTAGTGAGTCTTTCTTAAACATCATAAACTTGTTAATTCTCCCAATATTTATGTTATACTTATACCATCTAATCATAATTTTAATAATCAACTGTATCAACTTATACTACTTAACTAGTTTCTTAATTTCAATATAATAATATCATTTATGTAATTTATGCATTAAATCAAAATATATACTGTTATTAATTTCAAAACAATGCGTTTAGTCTTAACCCTACAAATTCACAATCCCTTACAAACTAATTATAAGTATTATAAATTATCATATCAACTAATTATATTTACTTTCTGTTGAATGATAACAATCTATACTAATGTTAATTTAGTATTGCAACAACTTAAACAAATTTAGTATTTTATTATAAATATCCTATTGATAATGTCAATTACATAGCCTAAAATACATAAGTATAAATCGCAACCAATGGAGTATAGATAGCGATTATATAAAACACTAATTAATAAGCAACAATTGTTTAAAGTAAATTTTTATTTTTATAAGAAAGATATCGGAGTTTCATTTAAATAACTTTAGTTGTATAAAGAATTTATAATACTTTTGTAACAGAGTTCCTATAAATTGTAATTTTACTCAATTTATGATTTGCTAAATTAGAATAATATCCAAGTTTTTACACTTAATACCTATTATTATAGCCAACAAATTATCTTGAATTAAAACTTTCTTCTCATCTAATTTTAATATTCTGTTTTATTCATTCAAATAACTAATTATTTCAACTCTAATAATTTAGAATGCTTTTTTAATCAAGTCTATAGTAGTAATATTATAAATTATATCAATACAAAGATTTCTTTGACTAATTTTTATATTTTGTATTTTACAATTGAATAGTTAGATATGTTAATAGGAAATGTATAAATAAATAAATAGAATATAATTTGGAATAAAATTATTATTGATCAATCCATAAATTATTTGGTAAGTTTACAAATTTAAGGGACTTCACCTTCCTAATCTAGTTTAATTATTTCATAAGAAATTAAAAATTTTCAATAAATATCTTTACAAGATTTGACTTTAATCTTACCTTAGTAAGAACTTTTCTTATCATCAATAATAGGAGTTAACATAAAAAATTGTTAACTAATTTTTAATAATAATTATTACTATTACATAAATATAAAAGAAATGAATTATTTTTTAATAGATTCAATTTAAATTAATAATTAAGTTATGACAAAACCATTATTGTAAGTAGCATCTGTGCAAATGATTTAATTAAATAACATATAAATCCTAGACTGTAATTTAGAATAATAAATAATATCTATAAATTCGAATACTGATATACATCTTTCTAATTTATTAATTTAAAATTGTTAATGTGACTAATAAACTAATATGAAATAATTATTTTAATATTTTTCATTGGATATTTAGAATGTCAAATTTATTGGAAATCAATTTTGTTCTTCATTATTTAATAATATAATTATTGATAACTCTGAGTCATCAAAAATCAACATAAACGATTTAACAATTGAAAACAATGTGATAACATAATATGCAGGAGCAGCAATAATTAATTTTGTATAAAGCAGTAACCATCTAATGAATAATGTTTATTTATCAACAGTAACTTTATAAGATAATCAATACTAAGAATCAAATTAGATATATGCATTTATATTTTAAAATGGCTACACCTTTTAAGGATAGAATAGTATTTTCGATAATAGTTCTATTTTGATATCTTCATTTAAAGCTCTTACAATAAATAATTACACCTTCAAAAATCCATCTTAATTGAGTATTAATATAATTGAAACTCCAATCATTTAAATGAATATAATATCCTTTAATATTGGTTAAGTCTATTAAAATGGATTTGTTTCAATTGTAAATTTACAAGATTATGAATGTAGCAATTATAAATGTTAAATTTAAATTTCAAAAGTAGTTATGAATCAAATAACTCTGGTTTCCTCATCATTGGCAAATACTTGTTATGGATTCAATATTAAGTTAAGTTCTGAATTTTATGTTTAGATGTCTGAATTAAACTTCACACTTTTAAATTTGAAAGCAGCTGACTCTAATTTCTTAGTTTCGTCAACTGCTCTTTTCTTTCAAGGATTTTAATCTTAATTTTCAATAACAAATTCAAATTTTTAATAAATTCAATATAGTTTGAGCACAAGTATTCTTATTTTAAATGCTGAAGTGATCACTCTAAATACAATAAATGTAAATTAGATAAACTTTTAAGATTCAACATATTATGGAACATAAAGTGAAAAAGGAGGTTTTGCATAGATATCATGTGCTTCTTTTTTTGTATAAATGAGTAATTTCTCATTTATTAGCTCTTATACTGGATCTATTTTTATTATTGAGATGTATCATGCAGATGAAGTAGTACCTTTGGTTTCTTTTCTTTAAAATACTATTAGTAATATTTATTCATTTGGAAATGGAGCTATTTACATTGAAAATACTGTAAATGATACATAAATAACATTTCAATTAAATTCCTTCTAAGAAATATGCTCATTAAAAGATGGAGGTCTCTTATTTATTTAGGAAGAAGATTAGATTTCTTATCCATCGTTGAATATTTCACATTTAAGTATTATTAATATTGGTGATGTATAGCCGTATTAATTCAATAAATAAATAATTTTTATTTAAAATACTTTTGCTAATTTATACTCAAATAATGGTTCAATTATCAGAGCATCTTTATATAATATTTCTTTTTAAAATAACTAATTTAATAATAATAATATCACAACAAGTCCTTAACAATTTAAATAAAACAAAATTACTTAAGGATCTTTGTTCTATTTAAAATATTGTGTATTGATATTATAGAATTTTTTAATAAGTGATTTAAAGATTTTTGAAAATTAGAAGAATGAAGGTTAACTAATATATGGTTATAAAACATGGATTTATTTGAATTAGAGTGTTTTTTAAAATATAATAGTAAAAGATTCAAATTTGATTTATCTTAGTCTATCATATTTAAAAAGTGATGGATTGATATTAATGAATATTTAATAAAATCAGAGTTCTATAAATAATAGTTTGGTAGAGATATATGATTCAGCAATATATATGTTGTTTAATCAATTTTAGTAGTTAAGATGTCTAGATTATAAATGTATATCTTCAGGTTTCTATATAAAAGATTCATATAGTTATTTTATAGGAGGATGGTGTATTGATAGTAATGGTAATTACGGAGGGTGTTATTATGTTTCTTTGTAAAAATAATTTGTATTTTTTGATTCTCTAATTTTTGATCATAACTATGTAAATATATCAGGAGGTTCAATTATGGCTGATTTATAGAATACTTCTCAGATGACAATATTAAACTCAAATTTTTAGAATAATATTGCAGTAGATTCAGGTGGTTGTTTATACATAAATTCATTAAATCAATCTTTTGATATAAATTAGATTTAGGACATACCAGTAATAACAATAAAGAAATCTTCATTTAGAAACAATACAGCTTATAAATATGGAGGGGCATTAAAGACACTTGTATTCAATCCATAAATAGATAATTATACAATTTTTGAGAATAATTCAGCCTATATAGAAGGTGATAATAATAGTTCTTATCCTTCTGCTTTGTTTCTTACAAGTCCATTAGATCCAGAAATGGCAAATCCTTATGTTTATGATGAAAACTTACAACCTGTTTAAGGTTATTATTTTATTCCTTATTCAAATAATGGTTAATATTTTTTGAAGTAATTTAAAAGTGGAGATACTGTTTAATATCCATTAAGATTTATAATGAAATCTAATAAGAATTAAACTATGTATAATGATAAGGCATATTTAAAAATATATGCTTCTGGATCAGAGAATTATTCTCTAAGTATTTCAAATCCAAGTAGAGGTACTAATGAAGTGAGATTTAAAGAAGGATTTTTTACTCTTGAAAATTTAACAGCAATTGGAATTCCTGATACAGAATATCCATTTTATTTAAGTAGTGATGAAGTAAAATCAATATCAAAATACAAATACTATTTTGTTAATAATTACAATTATACATTCTTTGTAGTATTCAGAAAATGTTTATATGGAGAAATTTTGTAAAGTTTAGATAATTATAGTGTTTGTTATTAATGTCCTTACGGATTCTATTCTTTTAAATTACCAACATTTTAAGAAAATGGACAATGTTAAGTTTGTCCTTTAGCTAAATAATTTAGAATTCAATGTTATGGAGGAGCATAAACAGATTTGGAACGATTTTATTGGAGAGAAAATATAACAACTTTATAAATTTATAAATGTGATCGAGAATTCAGTGATTGTTTAGGTGGAATTAATTAAAATTAATGTGGAAATGGTTATACTGGAAGAATGTGTTAAGCTTGTGATTATTAAAATAATTATGCAAGAGATTCTAGATAAATTTGCATTTTATGTTCAAAAGTTGATTGGCCTATTGCAATCATATTATTAAGTAGTATTGGAATATTTGTTTATTTTATAATGTCAATATTCTTTTTAGCTTAAGATGTTGTTATTTTATGTGTTTTACCATGTTTAAATTAAATGTTACCTCCTTTAAAAAAAATAGGATCAAATCTAGGTTAAGTTAAAGATTTAAATTCTCTATTAAAAATATTTCTTGCATATTATTAATAGATTTCATTAGTTAGTAAAATAGTTGTTGATATTCCATCATAAGTTTAAGATACTTAAGATTCATCAATATTTGATTTCTCTTTAGAATGTCCTATGATTAATGTTAATAACTATATACCAATGGTTTATGTCAATTATATTATAGAAGTTTTAAAACCTATATCATCTATGGTTATTTTTATGTTTATATGGTCTATTCTTTTTAGAAATTAAAAAATTAAAAGAGGAATCTATTACACAGCTACTTGGTTAATTATTTGGTTATTTTATTTACCTAGTTTTTATGAAAAAACACTTCAATTATTGAATTGTAAAGATATTGGAGATGGAAGATATCTTAAACCAGATTTAAATTAAAATTGTTATGGAACTGAACATTTCTTTTATACTTTATTTATTTCTATACCTTGTCTTCTATTTTTTGTTGTTTATATCCCTGCTATGCTTCTTTATCATATTAGAAATGATATGATAAAAAAAGATAAAAGACCACTTAGAAAATATAAATATTATTATATTAATGGAGAATTCACAGATTAATTTTATTATTGGGAATTTGTTAGACTTTTAGAAAAAATTTTAATCTAAACTGCTATTGAAATATTCTTTTATGATACTATATATATGGCTGAGTCATGCTTAATTATTGTTTTATTATATGGAATTGCTTCATTTGTTGCTTAACCTTATGGTTATAAAAGATAAAACTTTGTTAATGTCATATCTAGTTTTACTGCTTTTGGCACTATCTATATTGCATTAGTTATTGCTAGTTTAAAAAATTAAAATATTGATCAAAATGCACCAATCATCATTTTTTTTGAAGTTTTACTTGCTGCAATTAATCTCATTTATGTTTTATGGATGGCTTCAAAATTGTTAATTGTTCTTATGCCAGTATTATTTGTTAATATTGAATAAATTTAAAGAGTATTTTTATTTATTTAACTAATTTAGAAAGTTTCTAATATTAGATTTCTAAGATAATTAGCTTTAAATCAAAGATTAAGAGCAAAGTTACTATTTAAAAAGATTGGTTAATAAATAATTGTAATTAATTTAATCAAAAAGCATGCTATGATTAGATATTAAAAAAAAGAATAAAAAGATAAATAACTTTTAGAAATTGTATATTTTATTTATATATTATTTTCAAGGAAGCAAAAATTAGAAATAGAAAACAAACAGCTGCTTAAGATGCTTTGAATTATATTTTAAGAAACAATTTGGAACTTGAATAAAAACTTAATGGAAATGATTAAGAACATAATAATAATAATGATTATTAATTCCAATATGTCGAGTTATAAGAACATGAAAAATAAAATCAATGATATTCTATTTATTATAAAATTCCTTATTTATATATTGCTATTTTAATCTTGTTTTCTTAATCGAATATAGTAGCTCTTCCTTCTAAATTTCCATCTTTAAAAACTCCAAAAACTTTTGTATTTTTATAGTACAAAACACCTTTTCCATTAAATTTATATTATTAATCCATTTATCCCTAATAATGTGTCCAATTCTTTTCCATCTAAGTAATGCTTTATTTATCGAAATACTTATTATTAAAATCTTTATTGTAACGTATAGCTTTTCGAGTATCTGAATACTCTGTTCTCTCAAATTATTAAAGTAAAACTGACTTTCTTCGCTGTAACAAACTGATCTTTTAATTAATACATATAATTTCATTTATTGAATCAGAGTTTATTTATTATGATAGTTATCTTAATGTTTTTTTTATTGGTTCAACAAAAGTCGATGGTGTTCGAATCTTTTTGAAACTTATTGGACTAATCTATGGTTTTTTTATTGTTGAAACATCACTCGTTAATAAACTACATTTCTCTAAAGATTATCTTGTTGTATCTAAAAGTGAAGGAGACTTTTTATGATAAAACATTTAACGAACAAAAATAATTAATATATATATATATTTTTTTTATAATTATTGTTATGAATCAATAATCCCATCTAATTGGTATTTATTAGTAAATAATATTTATATAAAAATTCTAATAACTTTTTGTCTTTCTTTCTAACAGAGTTATTTAATTATTTTATTTTGACTTATCTAGAAATAGCATATCAAATTTATTTTAACTCTCTCCATTTTAAGTGCTTTAAAATTTTTTAAATAAGAACATAAATAGGGAAAGATTTAAAACTCCTTAAACAAATCCAAAAAATAATTAGGAAACAATAAAATTCATAATCACAAATAAAATTTTTGTTTCATTTTACTAAATAGAGAATTCTATTATTTATGATTAAATTTTACATTATAAAATTTTCACAAAGAACTTTAACCTTAATAAACTATAATATAATACAATTTTATAAATATTACAACTATTAAAGAGGACCTTCAAAATATTAGATAAAATGTAATATCAAACTTTACTTATGATGTAAAATAAAGTTAATTACTGTAGTAATTTTAATCAAAAATTTGAAAATAAACAACTCGTTTTATACCCTTTAACTGTAGTGAATTGATTATTCATGTAGGAGACGAATTTAGGAGTATAATTTTTACACTTCGTATTATTACGTGTTTATTTATAATTATTCTCGTAAAAAGATTTAGTTCGACTAGATTATTGATAAAGAAAATTATTCTCGATGAATTTATTAAAATTACGTAAAAAACTGAGAAAAGATGTCAAAATAGCAATAAGACAAAAGGCCATATTCTAAAATGTCCTTATCAAACAAAGAGGCTTTGAAAGCTCTAGTCTTTCAAAAAGGATTCAAAATTAAAGAAGTAATATATTTATTTAATTTTAGGCTGCACAAAAGCTTTCCATAAATTATGCTAGCGCTAAAACTATTATACTTCAGTTTAGATAACGATAGATAAAAACATCAATAAGATATTTATCCAAGAAACCTTGTCTTATTAAAAAAGCTTAAAAAATCAAATAATCGATTAACATTATTTCCTAAACTGGTGGAGTGAAAGTAAATGAAAAAGAATATTATTTAAATTGACTTTGTTTGTTTATATACAAAAAAAACTAAAAATAATATATTTTATAAAATCAAATAAGTGTGACCATTTCTAATTTGACTTATTTCAAAATATGCAAATTTTTTGACTTTTTGATAATATTAAGGATTAGAAATGCTAATAATTTAACTATGATAAAAATTCATGGTGTACAAATATTAAAAATATTAAAAAATGCAATCTCATAACTAAAAACAAATTAGGATTGCTAGCTTATAATTTATTCCATCTCTACATGAAGCATTAAATTTGAGGACATTATACATAGAAACCAAATTAATTTGATATTAATATAAAAAATTTAGATGCAGTTTAAATATTAAAAAATCATATATTAATCAATAATCGATATATTTGATAATTTTTTAATTTTTTGCATTTTACAAATTAATGATTAAATAATTCTTATATTGATTAATATATATTAATTAAATGATTTATTTTCCCCCCCCCTATTTATCATAAAATTATAAGAAGGTGTATAAAATTTATAAAATATTATACATCATATCAATAGAATGACTAGGACTTCTACTTAAAAAAGATAATATGTTAAAATTTCGAAAAATCAAAAACAAGCCTTACTTCAATTAGTCTTCTAAACTGGAATAAAAATTAGAGAAGTAAGCAATATAATTAACATTAGGCTTCCTAAAAATTAAACTTAAAATATGCAGCAGCAAAAACTTTAATACTACAATTTAGAAAAAAATTAATAAAAAAAGACTTTCATTACGCCTCTGATAAACCTTGTTAGACCTGTCCAAAAGGAAAACAGACTGTTACGTATAAAATCATATCATAAGTTGGTGGAAAAGAAATCAGTTCAAAAACTTACATATACAATTGAATAATTATAAAATAACTATTGTTTGTATATATTTGTTTAAGTAATGATAATCATTTCTAAGACTTGTAGATGGTTGAAGAATTACTTGAAAAATAATGTAATGAGCCAAAATTGCTATATGAATTTAAAAATTTGAAAGGAAAAACAATATTTTAATCATATTCTAGAGTGACAATTACTGATAAGACATTGTGGTAGATAAATCAAACTTATAATTGTTTGAAGCAATTAAAAATTATGCAATTAAATATTTGAGGTTAATAAAAAATATATATTTATTAAATCTTTTGATAATTAAATAAAGCTAATTTATAATCAATTCTTTAATTCTTCTAGAATCCCTGTTATCAATACTTATGAATCGTTAATATATGTTTTATTTTCTTTAGAATGAATTACTTTGATTTTTTGGGATGTGAATGGGAATGGTCATTTTTTACGGCATAATCGACATTATTTTACGAACGATTGATATTTTATTAATAGAATTAAAGTAATTGAGATCATAATGCTTATAGAGAAAGGTTTTATTTAAAATAGACTAATTTCCAAATATTTTTTTCTAACATCTAAATTATATTTTTAAGACCAGAATTAATCCATTGAAGTGTTGATATCCTATTTAAAATGAAAAATAAATACCTTTCTTCATAGAAATCAATAATTTGATTAATTAAGAATTGATAACTTCTATAGGAGTTGTACTTTAACTAATATTTTAAATATGAGTATTCTGGGTATTTTTTGAGAAAGCGGCCATTTTAGTATTCACTTACAAATATGACTGCATCTACATTTTTAAAAAGCTTCTAGATTTATTGATGGAATAATTCTACATCAATGTATGATTGCATATTAACCTTTTGTTGATATTGAATATATCTCGATGACGTTGAATCATGTCTAATATTTATATATCATTTTTAATGGAACATAATTAAAATTAATTCATGGCTAAATCATTGAGCGAATTAAAAATTTGTCTTTAAATAACATTTCCAACAATATAAATAAAATCAATGAAAATGATGGAAGTTATAAAAAATGTAAGAATAATAAATATGATTTTAAGTATTAAGGTAGATCTAAATAGATAATAATGTATAAATATTGATACTTAATTTTCCATAAGAATTTAAAGGGAAACTTGTATATTTTATGGAATAAGTTTTATATTTTTGTTATAGGGAGTAGAAAAATCAAAAATATGCATAAAGCATAATCCAAAGATATATAATGATGAAATAATTAAAAAGAGTTATTAGATAATTCTTTAGAATAGTGTAACAACAAGAGTTGGATGAAGAAAAAGATAATTTTCTGTATAAGTTTAGAGAATTAATTAAATAAGAGATAGGTAATAGATCATACTGAGAATAGTAAAGTTGAATAAACAGTTGAGTAAGAAGAATGCTCTTTTGTTAATAAAAATTTCAAATAAAACTAAAAGTAATCAAGAGAGAGAGTAAATTAAACGATTAATTTGTAATAGATTTAAAGGAATCCATGACGTCATAAAAAATGTCTATAAGCATACCTGAATGATTAGGTAGGATAAGTGGATCTTAATAATTTGCTAAATAGATATTGAGTTAAAGAGCATATGCAATAATGAACATTATTAATAAATATCTATTTTAAATAATAAAGTCTAAATGGGTCCGTATCTAAGCCAACCAAAAACAGAGAAGTCTACATATACAGGGAAAAATTAAACATTAGAATACGCAGCAACTCATATGCAAGGTATTTGAAAAGTATAATGTAGGTTGGAGAAACACTATGGAGGATACTCATATTTCTGATATAAACATAGAAAATGATATTCATTTATTTGCTGTTTTTGATGGTCATGGTGGAAGTGAAGTAGCAATATTTGCAGAAAGACATTTCAAAGAAGAATTGATGAAGAATAAAAACTATATATAAAAAAATTATGAGAAAGCCTTAACAGAGACATTTTTTAGAATTGATAAAATGTTATAAGAGTAAGCTGGTTAGGAAGAGTTAAATAAAATAAGAGGAGCATCTGAAGATGGTAATATAAGTTAAAAATAGTTTAGTGTCTTTGGCTGGATGTACTGCAAATGTTGCATTGATTGTTGGAAAGACTTTATATGTTGCCAATGCAGGAGATTCGAGATCCTTTTTAAATAGAGATGGAAAACCATATGATATGAGTAAAGATCATAAGCCAGATGACGATTAAGAAAAAAAAAGAATAGAAAGAGCAGGAGGTTTTGTATCTGATGGTCGTGCTAATGGTTTTAGATTTATATATATTAAAAGGCAATCTTTCTTTATCAAGAGCTTTGGGAGATTTAGAATACAAAAAAGATAACAGATTCAAACCTGAAGAATAAATCATTACTGCATTACCTGATGTCAAGTCAACATAATTAACTGCTGCAGATAAGTAATTTTTATTTCTATTTATTTTTTTAGGTTTTTATTAATGGGATGTGATGGAGTCTTTGAAACTTGGGAACATTAATAAATACTTAATTTTGTTTCCTAAGAATTAAAAACTAGTCAAAATTTATAAAAGGCTACAGAAAAGTTGCTAGATTAATTATTAGCTAAAGATACAACATGTAATATATTTATGTTTTATTATTTAGTGGGCACTGGATGTGATAATATGACTTGCATTTTGGTTCTATTTAAATCATGAATCAATTGAGTATCAAAAACATATAAAATAAAATATAATTATTATTATTATTATTATCTTATGATTCAGACCATCAATTATCCTGATTAAAATTTTGATGATTAATAATTACTTCAAACTCTCAAAAATTAGAGAATAGCTATTATAGGAGCTATGAATGAAAAATAAAAACTTAAAAATAATAATCAAATTGTACATTTAACACTTATTAATCTAATCATATCATTTATTTTTGCATACCTTATAATCTAAGAGTTACCTATTGATAAATTTTATGAAGATTTGAATTCAGCCTATACAGTTATTAAAGTATTACAAAAATAAGTTACTTAATAAGTAATAACTTAAATTACTGAAAAATCGGATAGTGATACTTGTTTATCATCTATTGGTTATTTCCCTGGAACTAATAGAGGTTGTATTTGTCCAAATATGTAAACATCTAATCAATAGTGTCTTAAACCCTGTCAAATTGTTGATACTACAGCTTAACAGAAACTTTATATTATTGATGGAAAATAATATTGTATTGTTTATGAGGATTCAAATGGCTAAAATGGTTTAAATCATGTTCAAGAAATCGATATTCGTGATGATGGAGTTTAATTTATTAGTCATAAATATTCATTCTCTAGAAAAGATGATTAATAAGTTGGTGATTTTTATAAACTTATTATTGCCCCTGATAAACCCTGTTTTAATACAGCTTTAGGTCCTAATAAATAATCTAGATTAACTTATCCATTTTCTACTATTTAATATATTGGCTGTGATCGTTATTCCACTTGGAAAGATGATGCTATTTTATTAGCTGAAACTACTTAAGGTTAATTATTAGATCAAAATAATATCTTTACTTCCAACTTACCTTATTTTGATAAGTATCACAATGATGATGATCCTATGAAGATCTTCATCTTAAGAAAACTGTATATAAATCAAGGAGAAGAATGCTAATAAGCTATTGGATATAAATTTTCATAATGCTATATTTCTTGTCTTTTCATTTAAGTTTTTTAACTTGTTGTTTGCTATTTTTCATTTATTTTATTTACTATTGGATTCATATTTTTTATCATTATCAAAATTGGAGTTGAATTTAAAACTAAATCTAAATCAAAAAACTTTAATCAATTAAAAGTCACTTATAAAGTAAAATTAAATGAAATACTTGAAAAAAGTATTGTGATTTTAGGTATTCTTATGGCAATAGTAGTTATCTTGTCATAATTTGTATTCTAGTATGGATTAAATAATGAAGAAGGTTTAAAAAAAACAGCATAATACACATAATAACTATTGAATAAAACATGCTTTTAAAATTAAGGAATTTTGAAAGCTATCTAGGTTGTTTAAAATGCTGTTACCAGTTGTACTCAAAATATTTATAATTATGCTATACTATGGATGATTATTGAAATAATATACTTGATAATTGGTTACATTATATTAAAATAAATGACAGCTAAAAGATAGAATTTAAATTGAATGTTGTAAATATCTATAGTTATTTATTTAAAAATATAATTGTATTGTCATGTAGAGACATTAAAATTATTGTAATATTAAAATGTACTATGAGTATGACAAATCAATCTAGAGCTTCAGATATATAAATTTTCGTAGATAACAGCAGAACGCTGATCCACAAACTCCATGGACTATTCAAGTTCATGAATAGAAATGAAGCTCTTATCATAAAAATTTATAATCTAATAAATTTTACTTAATTATCTGATTTAATAATTATGGTTTAATAACTGAATAAGCTTTTCTACCTATTATAAAAATCTTAGCCTTTTTTAACACTCTAAGAATTATTCAAAATACATAAGGATACTTTGAAAGAACCTCTCTTAATTACAGTTATTAAATTATTATTTTGTATTTAAAGAAATGCAACAAAAATAAAAGGATATTAAAAATAAGTATCTCTAAAGAGAAAGAAATTAATTAGTCAAATACTCAAAAATAGCTCTAATTTAATCAAGTTTATAAATTATATATTTAGAAAAAAGGGTAAAGAATTTAGAAACTTTAAATATTAATAATTCAATCATTTTATGAAGGCGTCTAAGTTTGAGTCTTAAACAATAAAATGAGCTAAAATTTAAAATTGTATTCTCTAGCCCATAAAATTAGTTGTTTATTTCCATTCTTTACATATTATATTGATTTCATTCATAATATTGTAGCATACTAATCAAAATTAAAAAAGTATACAATAGATTCGAAAACTTTTGAAATTATATGCAATCTAAAAGCATATCTATAATCAGCATTTCGATTAAATAAGTATTGTGGTTTTAAAATTAATAAAACTTCAATAGATTGAATTATAACAATGCTTGATCAATCAAGGAGTTTGTTAATCTTATTAAAAGGTTTTTGAGAGATTATATATTCTCTGTAAAGTAAAAAAAGTTTTAGATTTGAAAGACAATAGAATGAATAGGAATTCTGAGTCTCAATTAAAGAAATCAATAATATTTTCTGCATATAAAACTTATTTTAAAATTCATTCAATCAATTGAAGTAAGAATACTAGAGATAATAGAGATTATACCTTGTAAACCAATATTCAATTAGTAAATATATAAAAATATCTTTTTAGTAGATTTTTATTTTAAAATTGATTATTAAAAATAACATAGATTAATCAAATCTAAAATTAGAGAAATTTTCTAAAATTTGTGAGTAATTTGAATTTATTATAAAATTCTAATAATTGAATAAACTATAAATGATGCTTAAATTTTCATGAAAAATATTAAATATGATTACTTGTATAATAATATCAAATATAAAAATAATTTATGGATAAATTACATCCCCTCTTTGCTCATCCAACTTAGAAATTATGGAATAGCTAGTTACCAAGAAAGAGTTAGTTAGTTTATCCAATATTTGTAATTGATGGAGAGAATCAAAAATAACCAATAAATTCAATGCCAAATGTTTATAGATACTCTGTGGATTTACTAAAAGGATTTTTGGAACCTTTGGTATAGAAAGGTTTAAAGGCAGTTTTAATTTTTGGAGTGATTGGTAATGAAGACAAGGATGAATAAGGTTCAATGGCAGGAGGATTAGGAAAAGAGTCTTGTGTTCATAAGGCATTAAGATTATTAAAATAAACATTTCCTTAACTATTATTAATTACTGATGTTTGTTTATGTGCATATACATCTCATGGACATTGTGGAATATTAACATAGGATGGATATTTAGATAATTAAGCCAGTATAAAGAGATTAAGTTAATGTGCTTTATCTTATGCATAAGCTGGAGCTGATATAGTTGCTCCCTCTGATATGATGGATAATAGAGTGAGAGCAATTAAAGAATTATTAGATGCTCATCCTAATTTGAAAGTTCCAATAATGTCTTATTCATCTAAATTTTGTTCAGCTTTATATGGTCCATTTAGAGATGTGTGTTGTTCAGCTCCTTAAAAGTTTGATAGATCTTCATATTAATTACCACCTGGAAGTCGATAATTGGCTTTATAAGCTGCAGATAGAGATATCAAAGAAGGTGCAGGTTATGTGATGGTCAAACCAATTACTGCATATTTAGATATTGCTGCAGAAATCAAGAGAAGACACCCAGATATATTGTTAGCATGTTATCATGTTAGTGGAGAATACTCAATGATACATGCTGGAGTAGAGAAGAAATTGTTTGATATGAAGAGAGTAGTATTGGAATATATTGAAGGATTTGTTAGATCAGGAATTGATATAATTATAACTTATTTCACTCCTGAGTTATTAGATTGGTTAGAATGAATAATAAATTAATATTATCAGTTGATAAAAAATAATAATTTGTTTAATTCTTAATGTCTTCTTTATTTAAGGAAATACCACTTCGTAAAGTAATTGCAGATAAGGCATAAGTAACAGTAACTATATTAGATAGAAAATAGCAGCTTTAGTAATGATGTTGAAAGACATTTAAAGAGAGGAGGAGGAGATTTTGAAAACATTTAACAAAATGACTAAAGATGCGCAGTCGATCAATGATCTATACGAGATAATGGAAATGATTAACTATGAGTTGAGTGTAAGGAATGACGATAAAATGATGATTTTAGAAGAAATAACTTATCAGGAAGAGCTACTGTAAGTGCTTGAATATATTACAGACTGACAGAGTAGACGAGCTTGTAGAAGCAAATAAACAGCATATCCAAAGATTTAGAGACATCAGAGAAGTTTTAATAAACACGATCTTTACGTTAAACGGGTAGATTTATGCAATTCAATCATAACAACCATAATCTGAACGTAGAAATAAAAAGTGTTTAATCAAACATTATAACAAGTTATGATTTTGAAGAGTAATCAAAATTGAATGACAAAATTGAAGATAATATTTTCAATGATCCAATAAAATATAATACATAAGAAGGAATTGATGAAACATAAGTTTATGATTGGATCCTTGATATTGATTTAATAAATAATGTTTAATAAGGTTGGACTGTCTATATCAGTAAATAATTCTAAGCAAATAAAGAATTAGTAGGATTAGGTAATAACGATAATAAAGTTTAAATAAAATGGGAAGGAGCTACAGTTGCCGTTGTAGGATTGTATGATAAAGGTAAGACTTTTGTATTGAATAATCTTACTTAATCTAATTTACCATCAGGAAAGAAAGTAACTACGAAAGGAATTTCTTTTAAACATGTTGATGTTGATTCAGGTACTTAATTAATTTTAGTTGATACTGCTGGAAGTTATTCACCAGTTAAAATTTAATCAGCTATGAGTATTGTTGAAAAAGAAGCAACTGAACATTTTATTATTGATTTAGTGTTCGAATTAAGCGATTATTTTATATGTGTTGTTAATGATTTCACTTCTCTTGATTAAAGATATTTAGATAGATTATCAAGATATATTTAAAACAGTTCAAAAACATTTAGAGAAATAATTGTTGTTCATAATTTAAAGGAAGTTGAAACTGCTGAAATTTTATAGCATGTTTGGACTACTTAAGTAACATAAATATATTCAACTGGTGGATCAATTTAAAGAACTAAAGTTGCAGCAACAAATCCTAGAAAAAATGAATTGTAAGAAAAACATGTTCTTTGGTTTAAAACTTAATATACAAGACATGTCTGTCTAGTTAGTGATGATAGTCAATTAGGATTAGATGTTAATCCATGGGTCTTTTCTTTATTAAAGTATTGGCTTAAAGCAGTTTTTGTTCCAGTGAATAGATAATTCTCTGTCTGTGAAAATATTTTACAATTTGCTACTAGTAAACTTACTCAGTATTTCAAAAGGGAAGTTAATGTTAAATTAATTGATACTGATAATTCTTTTGTTAAAAAAATTATTTAAATGGAAGCTGATTTATAAGATGGAGAATTAAAGATTCCTTAAACTAATATTGATTAATCTGGATTAATATTAGCACGACCTGATTCATTTGCACCTGCTACTGATATTATTGCTAATGATAAATATATTATTTATATGGATGTTCCGGGAATTAGTGAAGAGGATATTGAAATGTATAGATAAAATGTAGTTACTATTGTAAAAGGCAATAGAAAAAAACCATATTAAGAAGAATAAAGTGATCATATTAAAAAATAAGAAAGAAAATATGGAGAATTTACATTAAGTTTTAGAATTCCTGAAAATTTTGAAAGAAAATGGAAACATTTTGGTATAGAAAATGGAGTATTAAAAATTGTTTATGAAAAAGATAAAGATGATATCATTCCAAACAAATTTGTTAATTAAGTAGAATGAATGTATGATTTTTTTCTGAAATATTCTGGTTTATATTTTTAATTCAAATAATTTTCAATCAATATAAAAGTTGAGTATTTAATTATCATGCAATAATTCTAATAATTTTAAGAGCCTGACTTTTTTGTTTGTTCATGTGGATTTAATTGCCATTACAAAAGTGAAAAAGAAATGGAATTACATATAGATTAATGTCCTGTTTACAGTGGATATAGTGACTTTATGAAGTATATTGAGAGAAAAGATATTCAAAATGCTAATATAGATTAACTTAGAGTAATGAAAGCTGAAGCAAAGGTATATTTATCGAGATTAGAAATGATGTTGATGATTTGTAAGTATCCATTTTAAAACAAAAGATTCACAATAATAACCAATTTTATAGAAAGCACCATCATAAACAGTTTAATGTGAAAAATGCCATAAATAGTTTGAAGCTAATTCAGATTTTGATAAAGTTTGGTACTTAGAAAATTGTTCACACATTCTATGCAAAGATTGTATGTTAAAAATTTGCAAGGAAGACTTTTTTAAAAAGAAAAGCAATGTAACTTGTATTTGTGGAGAGAGGTTCAAAGATGCAGAAATAAAATAAATTTTAGGAAATGAACTTTATGAATAATTAACTGAGAAATTGAATTTATCACTTTAAAATATTATTGAATGTTGTCACTGTAAAGAGAGGTTTTGTTTCTTAAAAGGAAACATAAATGAGAAAATTTAGGATTAAAATGGAAAATTAGTTTAAGGAGAATAATTAGAACATTATATTGAAAATAGATTTAAATGTTCTAAATGTCATACAGAATAATGTAAGAATTGTATGAGTGTACCTTACCATACGAATATGACTTGTGAATAATATAAAATAAATAAGGCTGCTGTTAAATGTAGATTGTGTGATTAACCAACAGAAATATAAAAAAATCTACCTGAAGCATTATAAACTATTTGTCAATAACAAGAATGTTAGAATAGAGCTAAAGTTTTATGTACAAATAAATTAAAATGTGGCCATTTTTGTTAAGGATTAAAGAACACTCCTTGTTTGCCATGTTTAAATGAAAAATGTGCATCAGATTAAAATGAAGATGATTATTGTAATATTTGTTTTACTGAAGGATTAAAATCATAACCTTGTGTTCAAACTACTTGTAAACATGTATAATTAATTATTATTTTTTAAATTAGATATTCCATGAAGATTGTTTAAAATAAAAATTATATGCAAAATGGAATGGTCCAAGAATTGTTTTTAATTTCATGAAATGTCCACTCTGCAATTAATTTTTAGATATAAAAGTACCACATTTCTAAAAACCTATTGAAGAAGGATTGGCTTTGCTTAAAGAAGTTTAAGAATTGTGTTTACAAAGATTGAAACTTGAAGAAAAGGAAAAGGATAAAGAATTATTGGATCCCACTCATTAATTTTTCTAAAAACCTTTAGATTATGCTATGCATATCTACTGTTATTATCTTTGTTTTAAATGCAAAAAACCATATTTTGGAGGATTGAAAAATTGTTAATAGGCAGCAGATTAAGATCCTAAAGTAGAATTTAAATAAGAGGACTTAGTTTGTACAAAATGCTGTCCATTATTAACTCTGGAGGATAAATGTAATAAACATGGTGTTGATTTTATTGATTTTAAGTGTAGACATTGTTGTTCAATCGCATTATGGTGGTGTCAGTATGATTTATATTTTATTTTTATAGTGGTACTACTCATTATTGTGATCCTTGTCATAGAAATATCAAGACCAATATGACTAAGCCATGTCCAGGCCTAGGAAAATGTCCTTTAGGTATACCACATAAACCTAATGGATAAGAAATGTCATTGGGCTGTTCTTTATGTAGAGCAGAAAGATTGAAAGCAAAATGATTATCACCATATTAATATGAAATAGCACTAAAATAAATAAATATATATTATCATTCTATTTCTTTGCCTAATGTATCATAAGGTAAAAAACAATTAGTGAGACTTGTCATTAATGAAATGACTATGATAAATAAATGACAATACCTGTAAATAATAAAAAGGGACTCAAAAGATCAAAAGAAGACAAATAAAGACAGATCCATGGCATAATAACTCCTCCTAATCTACCTACTCCATTTGCCATTCCAACACCTGTTGTTCGAATTTTAGTTGAGTAGACTTCTGCAGTATATTAAAAGGAAAAGATAAAAGTCATAGATAAAAAGAATTTACAAAAATTAGTCCATAACATAAATCTACTAGCATCATCAAAATAAGCTGCAGCAGAAATTAAAGCTTAAATAAAAAAGAATAAAACTAATGAATTCTTTCTCCCCAAATATTTTACATCAATTATTACTGAAGCAGCTGCTGCTCCAATTATATCACTTATTGATGATATTACTAATTATAATAGTTTATGAACTGCTAAATAAGAATCTCCTAATTTAAGTCCTTACAAAAATGTAGGCAACATCATTACAATTCCATAATATATAAATGAAAGTGTAAACCAATTAAACCAGACTAAACATGTTACAAACCATTTATCTTTATCAAATAAAGAAGCTATAGATGCCTACTGTATGAACTCATTTAATTACATTCTCTTTTTATTTTGCAATCTTATTCATCATATTAGCCCAATTTATCAATTATTATTTTATATCATCTGTCAAAATAAATTGAGAATTGTTTTATTTACTCATTTATTAAATTATTTCAAATGATTCTTCCTTTTTTCCTGTCAATAATTAAAATCTTGCTGATTCTTATAATTTTAAAACACATAAAATCCAAGCTAACATTCCTGGAATCGAACAATAAAATGTCATTGCTCTCCAATTACCCTTTATTTCATATTTAAATTTATACATCATCAAAATTTATTAAAAAAAATGAAGCAACCCATAAACCAAATAATTAACCTAATGAAAATGTTAATGTAATTAGACTCATATATCTTCCTCTTACTTCTATCTATGTTATTTCAGATAACATTGTTACTCCACAAGGTGAAAAGAATCCTACCAATACCCCCATTATTCCTCTTACAAATAATAATTAGTAAATATCCTAACATAAAATAGTTGCTAAAGTAACTAAACAAGTCAAAAATGAACTGTATAAAAAGGGACCACGTCTACCAAATCGATCAGAAAATTAACCTGACATCATCGAACCTGTTAAAAAACCTACAAAAACAAAACTTGCTTAAAGTGAGTTTAATGAGTCAGGAACATTCCATTAGTTCTTAAGAATTGGTATCATTAATGTAAATAAAGTAATTTATGCACCTTCTGTTACACCCAATAATCCCATAATTAAATAGATCCACAACTAATAAGATCCAAATCCTATTTAAGATAATAACTGGTCAAAGGAAAAAAGAGGTTCATGATTATGATTACTATTATTCTCAGTATTTGACACTAATTTTTTCATTTAAATGCTTTGTTATTCATCAACTTTTTTTGATTCAGACATTCTTAATTTCTCTAATTGCACCTATTCATACATTTCTTCAGTCATTGATAGAAGTTGATGTTTATACTTAATGAAAATAATTATAATTATATTGTTAATTATCAAATTAAATCTAACAAATTCTATTCTTCGACTTTTTTAGGTTAATTCATATCTAAATCCAATAGGTTTACTTCTTAGGCCAATTATTATTAAACATTTAAGTTTTGCTGTTTATTTACAACAAAAACAGAAAGAAAGTTTTTATATGAAATGTTTTTCAAAGTTTTTGGATCATATAATTTTATTCCTTTTATTAAATGAAAACCGCAGTTATAACCTACAACATCTAATTTAATTCTTCTAGTTCTTAATCCAGGAGGATAATTTAATTTCTATTTTTATTAACTAAATCATACCATTTAACTCATTCCCACAATCTTAATTGCTTTCATTTCTAATTCTTCTAATTTGATAGCTAAATCAATTTAAGGAACATCAAATAAGATTCCTAAATCTATATCAATTTCAACTGTTGTTATAACTTCTTTTTCAATTTAAATTGATCGAGAAGGTCTGAGATTTATTGGATATATTCTAACCAAACAAGTTTTTTATGTTCCATAATAATTTCCACAAGTTCCCCATTCTAAATGAATTTATCCCAATCTCAAATCATACTCTGTTAAATCCTCTAATAAAAATATAAGAATAAAAATTACTCTTTTAAGTTAAAACAGTATAGATAGCTTTTAAATCAGATGTCTCTATTTAAATTCTATATATTATTTTTAAACATTCATCTTATGCTAATATAACTGGTAATTAGTAATCTTTCTAAATGAATAAACAATTATAAATACCATTCTTTATATTGTCATTATATTTTCAACTTTAAATTCAATATTTTTCATCTCTAAAGCTTATGAGGAAACATTTAAACATTAATACTCTAAAAATACTTCAGGAAACTAATTTATAAAGTTTTAAAATACATTTTCACTAACCATTGAATAATGAGATTCAAATGGCTGAAATGCTTTAAAAGTATGCTATTATTTCTTCTCTAAACGCACTTATTCTTGTCTAGGATGTAATAAAATAATAAATTACACAAGTTATGCCGAATTTTGAATCTTATAACTTAGAACATAACTTAATGAATATTCATCCTATTCTTCTAATCTACTTTCATTGAAGATTAGTAATTCTTATCCATCTTTCACTCTTTCAAAATATGATGAAGACAATTAACGATATGTTTTATTCTTTTTTAAAGACTCTAGATTTGTCTAATTAATTATTAAAATATATATATACGTCAATATTAATGCAATCCATTTCATATAAACCTTTATATTTAATTAGAGTTAGATATTAAACTGAATATCCAACATATGTTTTGCCTTATTAAATTTCTTTTCTTCCTACTAAATAGAGATGACCCTCATTAATAAAATAAATAGGTTCATTAATAATTTTGCTTAAAGAATGTGGTTTGCCAGTTGATGCTGAGGATATAGAATAGGTTTATTTATTGAATGTATTTAGATTATTTCTGAAAGGTGGAATCTATTCAGTTTCTTATAATGAGTAATGTGTAATCTCAAAGAAGTCTTTAGGATTCATATATTATTAATATTAATATATTAATATATATTTTATTAATAACTATGAATAAATATATATATAAATATAAATATAAATATAAATAAATAAATAAAAGAGAGAGTACCAAAAAATTGCCTTTGCTAATATATATAAATTATTGATCATTAATTTAATAAGCTAAGAATACCAGGGATTTCCATAAGCATAGAGTGAACATCTTGTTTCTATTAGAATCCATTATTATTTTCTTCATCAGAAATAGGTTCTAATTCTTTCTTTTCTGTATGATTCAATTAAGTTTATTATTTTTTCTATTGCAATTTATGATTTTCAATAACTCTTTTAAATTGGATCTATTTTAAGACATTAATATATTAAACAGGTTAAGGTAAGATTGTATTGGCACATTCTTTGAAATCCTTAATATAATAAACAAAACATAAATGAGGTTTAAATTTCTCTAAGTTGTGATATTTAGTGAGGTTATCCATGACTAATTGATTGCTAGAAAATATAATAAAATAGATTACTCTAATTCTTCTTTCATTATAATCCATTTAGTTGTAGGTTTAAGTTTATTCAAATAATCATAGTAAATTAATGTTAATCCAATATCTCCTTATTTAGTACCAACACATTATTTAGATTATTTTAATTTATCAGCTAATTTAAATAAATCACCAGCAACATTTAAATCTTTAGAATATAACCAACCAATCATCATTCTAAATTATCCTGTTTTTCTTTATGTAAAATATTCCATCACATCTTTAACAGGTGAAAATGTTTCACAAGTAACAGTAATATTTTCAGTTTTAGGAAAGTGTTATGCCATGTGATGTTCATAAGTTAATAATTATGGTTTTATGATAAATGATTCTCTTGTATCATTTACTTTCTTCTTAATTTATAAATTTATCTCTCCTAAACTCATTAATTGATGTTTTGATTTCTTAGAGGGTGTTTCTATTTAACCATCTGGATTATATAATAAAACATCATTAGTAATTTATATTGGTTAAGCTATTATTGTAGGTTATTTAGGAGTTTCAGATTTCACTTTCTTTTCTACTTCAGGTTCACTTTTAATTGAATGTTAAGAGACTAGTTTTTAAGCACTAACCATTTAAGGAATTTACGGTTATTACTGTTTCTTTATAACTTTAATACTCTCTAATTATAATGCTTATTTATTATTTGTTTATTAATTATTTGATTTCTTTTAAATTAGATATTATTTATAAGCTTTTTTCATATCTTCATAATTAAGTCTAAAAATAATTAATTAAAATATTTACTCTATTAATTTATTTAATTTGATTACAATTTTTATCTTCTCAATTTCTTTGAGATACTTCTCTTTATCAAAACTCTATTCCATAAAAACTTGTGCTTCCAAATTTCTTATTTATTATTCAGTCACTTGTTTCCAATTAGAACATTTCTTAAAACATATTTAGAGATCAAGTCTTTAAGTTTATCTCATATCTTCAGTGATTCCTTCTAATACTTTTTAATTCTATTGCTTCTTCTTTTTAATTTTTTATTCTTTCTATTATTTTTTAGTTTCAATGCCAAAACTATCACTAATATTCTAACTACTCTCTTCCATCCATTTGATCCATTCAAAATCATCTGATAGACTCTATAATATATAATAACAAATTCTTACACAATCTATAAATTTAAAATCTGCACTATTAATATTGTCCTACTTACCTTTGTAAGTAAGACTCAACTTCTAAAACCACTCCTCTCCACCTAATGCAACAAGGAGATTGATTTCTTCAAGTCTTTATAATATCTATTCTGTTGGATTCAATTATTTTAAACATTTCAAAGATTATTATTTTATCATATTGTACATCAATTATACACAGAAATTCTTTACTTTTAAAAAACAACAACAATAATAAGTTCTTATCTTTTATAAATTTTAGATGTATAAACTATTATCTGGTTGTTTTTAAACTAAATCATTATATTATTATAAAACCTATCTTACTTCTTACAAATCCTCAGCTAAATCTTTTACTTTAAATATAGGATACTCTTTAGCTTGAATATAAATTTAATTAATCTATTCTGCATCAGGTTTGTTCTCCAAATATTTATAATAAGATTTATATGATTATAAATTATTGATCTATTCTCTACTCTTAACCCATAGAAATCTTTACTCTGAATACTCTTTCAATTTCCTACTAAGATCATCCATTATAAATAAGTGTTCCTTGACCTTCAATAGTAGAACATTGTTAGAATCTATATTTGCATATGTAGCACAAGAAATCAAAGTCTTATAAGCTTAAGGATTAGCTTTAGCCTATATAAATTCTTCAGCCTTTTACATCCATAACATTTAAATATAATATTACCATAATTTTGTTTATAAATTATTGTCCTAATATTAATTCTTATTTATTAATTTTATTAATTAATTAAAATGTGGAGCCACTTAACCTGCTAATTAATTCTCAAATTCTTATAAATTTATAATCCAACTCTCATATTCCTTCTTAATCTTCTAAAGTTATTAGCAATAAAATGGATCTTAAATCTATTAATCTGCATTCAACAAATTAATTATTTAATTTATATTATATTTTTTATTACTCCCCTACATACTCATTAGGTTTTATTAATCTAAGATTTATTAACATTCACATCTCCATTTAATTTATCTAAAATTCATTACTACTTATTTCATTTCATCACAAACAACTTCCGGAATAGTCACTTTATATAATAATTCATTATTGAAATCTAAATCTGATATATCTTTTACTTTCTAAATCATTTTAGGTAATGAATCATACGAATTGTAAACCAAATAATATAATTACTTCACAAAATCAATTTACTATTCTGTTTACTTTATATAAGTATCCAATTCAAGAGATTTTAATTTCTTATATTCATCCAAACAATCACATAAATTTGGTTATATATTTTGTATGATTTCTTATGCTTATTACAATTATTATCTCCTTTATTCAACATCCATATCAAATCCTAATTAAAAACATTCATGTTCGATTTCTTCCAATTATTCTAATGTTATTGATTCATTTAACTTTTTATAGAGTTCTCTAAATTTTATAAATTTCACTTTTTGAGTTTCAATATAAGTTGTTGTTAATTAACACTTTGACATTAAATCTAATATTTCATGACAAAATTAAATTGTTACTTTTTTTTAAGTTTAACATTTCTAATGAATTTCTTAAAGTTAATTATAAACACTTCTAATCACAATTGAATCTTTAGCAGCCTTTTAAATATTTTCATAAGTATACACTCCATTATATTCTTTTTCAGTTAATTTACAAAAACTTTCAATTTTTAATTCCAATTCTACTTTGAATTCATCAATAAATTCTTATTCAAAATAATTTTATAATTGATTAATAAGTATCTCGCTAGTAATAGGAAATTCAATGATTTTTTTAAAGGAATTCTAAATATTTTCTTATTCTAAAGAATTAAGTTCTTCTAATAATTTATCAATAATTTTAAGACATCCTAAAGTTACATTATTATGATTAGCCATTCTCTTTAATTCAAGTAATTTGATTTTATTTGGTTTATTTTTTTAATTTTTAATAAGAATCATTTATTTATAAACAGTAAGATCAAGTTGATTATCAATAATTGGATATTCAATTTACATTCTTTCTACTTCAAACAAAGATCTTAAATTAATTTTAATTTATTAAGCAATTTTATATCTATTGATAAGTTATACTAAATTATCATTTGGAGATTTAAATATTTTTTGATTATCAGTAACATTTTCATTGAGAATCTTAAAGGTGTCTTCCATCAAATATCCTTCAGAGATTCCTTTTTAAATTAATGCTTTAATATCTTTTCTGGATAGCACAAATGATTTAATAAGTTTATTATCACCTAATTCAAAATAATAACCTTTAAATTTAAATGATTTAACCAATTCTTCTGCAAATGATTCACTTTATTCTAATTAAGTAGGTATGATGGATTGCATTTTTTATTTTAATTCTTCTTATAGTTTTTCTTTTAATAAAATTTTATCTAATTAAATAACAGTTGATGGTTTAATAGGTAATGATGCTAAGAAGAGTTTATAGAATTTAATGTTTCTGTAATCGTTTTCATCTAAAGGAATAGATGGTAATCTTTTCATGATAGCTTCAATGTATAATAATAGAGGTAATAAATCTATTAAGTGTAAAATATAGACACTTTTAGGAACAACTAGATCTTCAAAGTTTAATAATTTAGGATCATCTAAATCAATTTTAGTTCTTTTAGCACTCCAACCTTTACATGCTTCACAGATATAAGAATCATCTTTAACATTTTTACGTTTGATACATCCAAAATGATACCATTCATAACAATGATCACATTATACCATTTATTTGTTATTTAAAGATTTACGACATATACAAAATAGACGATGACCTTCCATATGAACTTAACAATAACTCTCTATCTTATTTTAAGATGACCATTATTAATTGCATTATGGCAATGAATAATTATCAAAGATAGAATCAAGTGTATTTTTAATATGTTCCTTATATTATTATGTTTGATTCGCTCTTTTTTTTGATTTATCTTAATATTTATCAATAGCATTGTTAAAAGCATCTTGAATCTCTTTTAATTCACATTTAATTTCTCCTGATTCAACATCTAATTGATTTGGATCTTAATTATTAGCTTAAAATTTTAAATGGAATATCCATTATTCTGTTTCAATATCTTCTTATGCTTTTTCCACTTATTCAACAAATATACAATGAGGATGAGCATAAGCTTAACAATCTAGACATTAAATATTAGCACCACTTTTCCCACAATTTGAACATTTTTCCTTTGTTTTTTTATCTATTTAACTTTTAGTTGCGAATGTCATAGTATGATAGTTAATTACCTAGATATGAGATGCAAATATAGCACATGAAACATGAACATATACTCCACTCTAATCTGAAAGTCTTTTAAGTAAACCTTTCTATCCACAAATACAACATTATGGTTTCTTTGCTACATCTTAACAAGGATCACATATTCCATCTATATTGTTGTATCCATAACAGAATCGATGATATTTCTATTTACATTATTGACATTCCATTTACTAACATCCTTTATCTTTTCTCTCGAAATTTAATCCACAAACAGAGCAATTCATTTATTATTAATATTACTAACGATTAAAAATATGGGCATTTGTACTAGCAAACCAAAACCAACATAATAATAGAAACTAGAAGTAAGAATCAACACAATTACAAACACTTAACCAGATAGATAATTATCTTAACCATCCTTTTATCGTTCTATTGATCGAGGTTANTAAAGGAATAGATGGTAATCTTTTCATGATAGCTTCAATGTATAATAATAGAGGTAATAAATCTATTAAGTGTAAAATATAGACACTTTTAGGAACAACTAGATCTTCAAAGTTTAATAATTTAGGATCATCTAAATCAATTTTAGTTCTTTTAGCACTCCAACCTTTACATGCTTCACAGATATAAGAATCATCTTTAACATTTTTACGTTTGATACATCCAAAATGATACCATTCATAACAATGATCACATTATACCATTTATTTGTTATTTAAAGATTTACGACATATACAAAATAGACGATGACCTTCCATATGAACTTAACAATAACTCTCTATCTTATTTTAAGATGACCATTATTAATTGCATTATGGCAATGAATAATTATCAAAGATAGAATCAAGTGTATTTTTAATATGTTCCTTATATTATTATGTTTGATTCGCTCTTTTTTTTGATTTATCTTAATATTTATCAATAGCATTGTTAAAAGCATCTTGAATCTCTTTTAATTCACATTTAATTTCTCCTGATTCAACATCTAATTGATTTGGATCTTAATTATTAGCTTAAAATTTTAAATGGAATATCCATTATTCTGTTTCAATATCTTCTTATGCTTTTTCCACTTATTCAACAAATATACAATGAGGATGAGCATAAGCTTAACAATCTAGACATTAAATATTAGCACCACTTTTCCCACAATTTGAACATTTTTCCTTTGTTTTTTTATCTATTTAACTTTTAGTTGCGAATGTCATAGTATGATAGTTAATTACCTAGATATGAGATGCAAATATAGCACATGAAACATGAACATATACTCCACTCTAATCTGAAAGTCTTTTAAGTAAACCTTTCTATCCACAAATACAACATTATGGTTTCTTTGCTACATCTTAACAAGGATCACATATTCCATCTATATTGTTGTATCCATAACAGAATCGATGATATTTCTATTTACATTATTGACATTCCATTTACTAACATCCTTTATCTTTTCTCTCGAAATTTAATCCACAAACAGAGCAATTCATTTATTATTAATATTACTAACGATTAAAAATATGGGCATTTGTACTAGCAAACCAAAACCAACATAATAATAGAAACTAGAAGTAAGAATCAACACAATTACAAACACTTAACCAGATAGATAATTATCTTAACCATCCTTTTATCGTTCTATTGATCGAGGTTATTATATTGCACACGAACATGATGCATCTTGAAAATACTTTCCATCACACTTAATTAATGAGCTTTCAACTCTTACCTATATATCTATATATATATATATAAATCTATTCTTTTAACACTCATAATCTACATATTAAAATATTCAATCATTTTATTATTGTTTATACAATCTCTTCAATATCACTACAACCAGATCGAATTATACTGATCTTTATATTTAATTTCTCCTCAAAAAACTTAAATAATTTCATTTAATTATTACTTTCATCTTAAGAATATCTCCTCTCCTTAATTAATCTTATTAATAATGACTCACTCCATTACATTCAATACCTATCTATTTACTTGGAATATAAAAGTCTATTCTAAAAGGCAGTACTTCACTATAATCTCTTATATATTCCACTTTCTCTTTTTTTAAAATCTATTCAACTACACTCTCAATATAAGAAGGCATCTCTTATTTTGTTAAACTGTATTCCTTTATCAATTCTTATAATTTCAACAAGTATTACGATTCCTCATTGCTTAAAAATTAATGATATCTCAAACCCTAATAAAATTATATTAATGTTTAATTCGTCATTTAATTCACTGAAGATTTACCTATTATTTTATTTCTCAAAAACTTCTTATTACTCTATAATAACTCCTCAACAAATTTTTCTATCTCTATCTAATATGTCATAAATAAATAATTATAAAATTATTAATCCTCTAATAATGATGCTGTCAAAATACTAAAACTTAATAATCCTTTATCCAAACTATTAAACTCTTATGTTAAATAATTTCTTGTCTCCTTTATCTTCTCAATGATTCTCTCTTTCAACTTTTCATAATTTCTATTTGGAAACTATGCTATATCATAAAGAATTCTAATCAATAAAAATGGTCTTGTCTAATTTATTCTTCCCAAAAAATATTACTCATCATGTATTCCACATATCAATTATGCTGCAAAATAATAATACAATTAATTTTAAGCTAATTTCTCTCTAAAACTTATATGTACACTTTTAAACTTTTATAATAAATCCTACTCTAAATCTTTCAATGAACCTATCTATTATACTAAATGACACCATTCTCCAAAATTCTTTTATGTCACATTTACCATCTTTGCTGTCTCTGGCATAAATAAAACCTATGTTTATTTAATCTTATTTGCAACGAAATTAATTAAAGCATCATGATTCTAATTTAATGCTCCTTCTTTAATCCTTATCTCTATTTATTTTTCCAATGTAACCACTTCTTCTATATTCTAACAAACTCTTATAGATTTTATTATTAAAAACAATTAATTTGAATCCAATTTTTATAAATTTATAAGAAAATATCCACATTAAAATTTAAGCAACTCTATATTAAACTCTCCCAGCTATCTATATATTTATGAAAGATGAAAAAAATAAGAAACCATCTAACTCATATTTATTGCTTTATTCTTTAGAATATAATCAATAATCTATTTCTCATTTTATTTAAAATACTCTAAACTATTAGAATATGTAATTATGTATAATAACTAATTAATTTATGATTCCAACAAATTCTCTATCTTTATCTAATTCAATATATACATAAAAGAGATATTGCTTTTTTTAAAAAATGTAGAATTCTTTAAAATCACTAAATTACAATATCAAATTACTTTAATTAAGTTATGCTAACACTTTACCATCTTGCTTTGGCTCAACATTCAATTAATTTAGATACTGACTTAATATTTCAATATAATTTTATCTTAATCTGATGGGAAATTAATCAATCTATGGTAATATTATCATAATCTCCTCAACACTAGGCTACATAAAATGTTAATTGAGAATTTATTAATTTTACTTTATTTGTTTTCCATTTATTATTTAATTTAAAATTTACAAACGTTTTTCTGATTTCAATTCTTGCATATTCATATCTACTATATCTTATTAATTCTATTATTATTCTTACTCCTCCTACTTTTAATTTTCTCTTTGTTATATCATGTCTACATATATTTTTATATATTTTTTCTAAACCTCAGATTCCTTTAATTATATCTAACCCAACAATTATTTTATTTTTGGACCAATAATACTAATTTTCATGTTTTAAATCATATGTTAAATTAATTTATCTTTAAGCACAAAATTACCAAATTAATCTTGTAAAATCAAAGTTAAAAGTTGCTCCAATATTTAATCATCTTTCTTCATATCTAATTTATAAGCTATTCTTGAATAATCTTTTAAATCTGTAAATGTTTTAATGCTCTAAACAGGAGGAAGCACATCTTTTATCATTTAGCGAATTTCTAAATAATTTTGTTAATCCTTCAATGTAAACAACATTGAATTTAATGTTGCTAATTCCTTCTTTCTCAAGTATGCAGTAGATATCACTTCAGACTCAAATGATTTAACAGCCTATTTTATTTGAGTAAAAAATGAAATAACCTTTTATTAAAACATTATTTATTAAGCTTAATTAACTAATATTATTGATTATATTTATTAATATACAAAATCATATATATTTATACAATATTTGGAGAGACTAAGTTTTCTCCAACTTATCTATCCATTTTCTATTTTTCTTTACTTCCTAAAGAACTTATTCTTTTAAATTTGTATTTTCAATTAAAGCCAACAATAAATATATAGCTTTACTAATCAAAGTCACCTTTAAATTCTGAATCAAAAGGCTCTGTACTTTTTAACAATAATTCTCAATTACTTCTTTGAATTCATCTTACTAATTTTATTGACTCTATAATTACAGCTATCTATTATTATTAAATAAGACATTTAGCAATTCTTTGTGCTTCTGGTTATGTCAATATCCAATAATTTCCATTTTGTTCTAATTCTCTGCTAAAAATAGTATCAACTTTAAAATAAAGTAATTATTTTGTCTAAGTTTTAATAAAATCCAATCCTTAAACTTAAGAATACTTAATAATGTATTAAATAAAGTAACAAATAAATTAATTTATATTACTTTCAACTAAAATGCTTGTTTCACTTTATTATAAAGAATTTAAAATAGATTCAAAACAATAATCTTAAAGTTCTTTTACTCTAATTTCATCATCTTTCAAACTAACTGTATTTTATAAACCAATATTATCAAATTTTAAATCATCTCTAAGTTTTGGCTAATAAATAGATTGAATTATTTTAAAGACATGAACAGAATTCAACCATTCTGGTAATATTTCTTATAAAATTGATTTATTAACTTATTTAGTATCATCATATGTAAAAATCACTTTTTACAAAGCTAAATAAAATTAAGAATTTCTATGTAAGTGTTCCTATGATTACTACATGTAGGTTTATATGTTTTTTAAAAAGTTTTTCCTCTCTTTTTTATCTGTTACATTTAAAATAGCACAAAAAATCTAAAAATAGTTGTAATTAATACTGAAACACCATCTTTGTGTCTAAGATAATCAAGGTTTTCTAATTATTAAAAATATTCAATGACTTTCTATCTCTCTTCAGGAACTAGTTTAGGTAATGCCACTTTTAAAATTTATAAACTTAATAAATGATTATGTATTCCTTTTTCTATAATTTTCATTGCTAAATTATCAATTTTTTCATTATGATTTTAAAAAAGTGCTCTAACCTTATTAACTTATTGAGTAGTAGCTTCTCTTGTTAAGAATCTATCTAAAACAATACTTGCATCTCCTTAAGCTACATAATGATTAGCATTTTTTAATAGAATCTCATAAAATTAATTTCTGAATTCAGGAAGCATATTTCTAACCATTGTAATTCCAATATAATGACCATATTTTGATTATAATAATTCTCCAAATTGTTTATCATTCAATAATTTTTAAAATATTTATTTTCTTATATTTTGATCTGCACATTTAATTACTAATTAAATTGTTCTACCCCCAATTTTTGTTTAGGCAATTTAATATAAAATACCTTCAATTTTAGAATAAACTTCTTCAGCCTTTTGTTACTTTTATTCATTTTCTTAATTTCTATGTTAAATTAAAAATCTAATATCCTCTTTTAAAAATGAAATGAAATCAACATCTTTAGTTATTTTATTCTAATTTTTAACAATTTTTTTTTATTTTTTATTTTCTGCTTTTGCTTTCACCTCTTAGACTTCTTCTGGCTCTTCATTTTAAATTTCTTCTACAATTCTCTTTTTCCCCATATATTAATTTTATAATTTTTATTTAAAACATCTATATGAAGTATTTAAAAATTTAAATTTGACAACCATTTACTTCTTAAATTATGTTAAAAAATATTTCTTGAATAGTTTAAATTATTATTCAAGTAATTTTTGAATTAGAATTTTCTATCTAATTAGCTTAGCAAAGTTTATGAATTAATTGTATTTAAATGGCAACTTAGATAAAAAATTAGTTAAATATTTTTTATTTAATGGCAAAATTATCATAGTTAGACTCTCCCTATGCAAAAGCATTTTATCTTATTCAAGAATTTTAGACATACTAATATATTACTGAAAGTGAAAAATTTCATATTAAAGGTAAAATTATTTATAAATTATAGACTTAATAATTAAAAATGATCCTTCAGTTTACAACTTATTGTTATCAAAAAATGATTATGATTTTAAAGAAAATCTATTAAAATTAATAAAAAAAATTAGATTATAAATAGACTAATAATCTGAAGTTGATGAAGTATCAACTAGCAAAAGTCTTAAACTATTTTTAAGACTAAAATTAAAGTTGAATTTGAAAAATAGTAATTTCAATTTAGCAATGAATAAAGGATGAAATTCTAAAAATATATAAATGAATGCATAATATGTTTATATGATTACATATATATTGTTTACATTCTCATTTAACCTCATGGTTACAATTTTTATGACAATGTCTGATTGTTATAATTTTTATATAATTCTGTCCATTATGTAATTGGATCAATCTGACCTAAAAATTAAGATTAGATTGGAATTTAAATATTCATCAATTACTATTATTACAGAATTTCTAAAAAAGGATTAACATAATTAATTCTTGGGAATTAATTAATTGGATATGACATTTGCAATCTGTCAAATGAAGGCTATTTAAATTATTATAATGTAGTTAATTTATCTGAAATGTTTTATAAATTACTTTATGGATAAATGATAGCATTTTATTACTACGAAATCAATTAAGTATTGAAAATAAGTGGGTTCATAGAGTTAGGAATTATATTGATCTATGGAATGGCTTATTAAATAATGGGAGAAATATTATTAAAATTATCACATTTTAATTAATTTTCTTCCTTAATATTTATTTAATTTGCTTAAGGAGTACTATAACTTGATGAACTTACAATATTTTACAATCCTAAGATAAATTAAAGACAATAAGTACCTGAATTATTTTCATTATGTTAATCCTCATTAGGACTATCTTATTTTAAACTATCATCATTTTGTTTTTGTTTTTTTGATCTCGTTATTCTTTTGAAATTTTCTATGTTTTCTTCTTAAATCTAAACTTTTTTAATTTTTTATAGTTCTTTTAAACTCTTTTGAGGTTTTCTTTTTCTTTAAGTCTTGCTTTTATTTTCATCTGAAGAATTAAGAGATTCTTCTTCAAAATCTTCATCATCCGAATCTCCTAAGTCACATTAATATCTTCTTTTCAAGTTTGCATAGAATCGATTTTTAACCATATTTTCCTATTTATATATAAATAAAAATTACAGGTCTTCCATTTAAAAAACTTGAAATATAGCTCCATTTTGTTCCAAACTTCTTATATAATTTTAATATCAATTTATCTTCTTCTTCTGTCCATTTTTCTTAATTAATTGTTCCTTGTAATTAGTTTAAATAACGTTCTCTAACTTATTTCCCTGTTCTCCAATTCATTACTGTACAGATCTTACTCCATTTTTTACCAAATTTTTGCACTAATTCTTTCAATTATTCATCTTCTTCTTATGACCATAGTTATCTAGAAGGTCCCTTTGTTATATAGAATTTTATTACTTAATCTGGATGAAGTTATTGCCATTTGTACATACACTCTAAAGGTGTTGGACCATTTAGCAATGTACTAATTGATTTCCAGTTCCCTTATTGTAAAACATGAAGCTCTTTCAGTTTTTCTATAGTCTTTGTTGACCATGTAAATTTTGTCTAAGTTATATTAGTTATTAAATATTACTTCAATTGGAGTTTCTTTCAATTCGTTTTCTTGTTTAGAATTAGATGCAACACTCATTGTATTTGACAGAAAATATTTTTTTTTATATAATGAAAAAATCATACATCTTGTCTTACTTTTATACACAAAAATTGACGAATTATAAATCCTGTAACCCCATACAAGTGATATTTTAAAAATCTCAATTATCATACTTAGTGCATTATAAATATGCAACCTTTTTTGAAAAAAATAATAAACTATAACGTAAATCATCTTAATTATCATAATTCTTATTCATAACATTTATCATAGCCAATAATTTTTATATCAAACCCCTTAATATTTAATTACCTTATGATTTTATATTATTATCTTTATATGTATATTAGCGTTAACGATTTAAAAATTACTTATAATCATATTTGATTAAAAAGAAAATTTTGAAAAAAATGAACAAATTTTTTTTAAAATATAGATAACAAAGTTATTGAAAATCAGAAAAATTTATAGATTTTATTAATTATCGATAAAGTCTTGAAATAAAATAATGATAAAGTTTTGAAAAAAGTGAATTGACTAATAATTGCTCAATATTTTGATATAAAATTTTAATAATAATATAAACTGATAATGTGGGATAGCAAATAAAAGAACAATTAAGATCTTTTAGTTGTAAATGAATTATCAGAATATTCATCTGTTTCTTTAAAGAAAACATTATTGTAAGGTTCTTCTTAGAATCAAATTGAATTGATGCCATTAAAGCCTAAGCCTATTTAAGTAGCTCCTTTAAGTGAGGAATATGCTTATACTATGACTTAGCATATTCAATTGATAGGTGATTTGGCAGCAACAGAGAAAACAGCAGTTTGTACTTAGAATTGGAAAGACGTAATAAAATATTTAATAATTGATAGAGTGTTAGAAAATAATTCAATACTTAAACAATAACTTAATTTAAAACATCATATCAAATAAATAGAGAGATATAATTGATAAGTTAGATAAAAAGAACATATATGAATTTGATGCCAATAATTGATCCATAAAGTTCTTTTCTATCATATTGGAAGATTCCTGTTTTAATTATAACATTTGTGGTTTTCATAGAAGTGCCATTAATAATATTTTTTGGAGATGATTTCTATTATACGTTCCATAGCCCAACATATATCTTTTTTAGAAGTATAGTGATAGTACTAATTTAACATAAACATCATCTAGTTGATTTTCATGTTGGATATCTTCATAGAATTTCATGTGGCATTTTATAAGTATGGAGCATTAGTAAAAAACAGACGAAGAGTAGCATTACATTATTTAATGGGTTCATTTATATTTGATTTTGTTCCTCTTATAGAAATATTGATAACAACATTTTCTTATGCAATGGCAAATGTATATACATTTCATTTATTGTTTTTATTGAAAATGTATCCCGTTTATGAAATTGATTAAAGATATTAAGATAAATTATAAGTTTATCCAAAATGGAAAAGCATATATATGATAGTTAGAATGATAATTGAAATAGTATATTTAACACATTTTTTTGGTTGTATATTTTTTGGTACAGGAATGTATATGTTAAATCATTATGATAATCCTGATGAAGGTACATTTACTAATTCATGGTTAACATTTTCAAGTGGAAATTTTGGAACTATTTTATATTATGATTGGACAAAGAGATACATTTTATCAACATATTGGGCATTTGCAACTTTAACAACTGTAGCATATGGAGATATTACACCTATGAATGAATTTGAAATTATAGTTTCAGAAGTAGCTATGATTGCTGCTGTTTTTTTAGTAGCATTTAATGTTAATAATATATAATAAACATTTGTTGATTATTTTGATGAAAAAAGAAAATACAATAAAGAAATAGTTGCAATTACTAAATTTATGAGATCTAAAAATGTTTCAGAAAAAACTGAAAAAGAAATTAGAAACTTTTTAGAACATTATTTTAAAGAAAAAAGAAATAGAGATTAATATTTAGAAGATTAAGTTTTCTAAAAATTAGCTCCTTAATTAAAAAATAGATTAATGTATGAAGCTTATTAACCATATTTATATTAAATTCCATGGATTACTAATAATTTCTCTGATGATTTAATGAGAGAATTAAGTTAAGTTATGGAAGAAATTGATTATTCTAAAAAAGAAAATATCTTTTTAGATGGTGATGCAAATAGAGATGATAATGCTATTTATTTTGTTTAAATTGGACATATAGAAATCTTTGTTAATGTACCTGAAACAGATAAATAAGAAGTTATTATGGCTCATTTAAAATCAGGAGCACGATTTGGTGATTATGCTTTTGTTACAGGATTATAAAGAAAAGCATCAGCAAGATCTAAAAAATATTCTTAAGTTGTAAGATTATCAAGAACAGACTTTATGAATAAATTAAAATTATTTCCTTTAGATCATTAACGTTACTGTTTCTTAAGGGATGAAATCATATTTAATAATGCATATTATGAATTAGGTATTGAATGTTTTACTTGTGGTTCAACTGATCATATGAGTATAGATTGTTAATTAACACATTTAAGTATTAGTAAAGAAATCATCAAAAGTGTTAGAAAAAGCATTATTGAAAAAAAACTTAAAAAATTATCAATAAGTATTTCATTATTTTTATCATACAGATATTTAACAAAATAGAAATTACTAATTTCAAAGAACTAAAAAATAAAAAGTTAGAATTCTTAAAACTGCTCAACCACAATAAGCAGAAATAGAAGATTATCATTCAATAATTAATAAGAAAATATAATTTGAAGCATTTTACAGTGAAAATTAAATCATTATTGAATGTAATTACTAAATCATTATTCTTAGCCTTTACATTAGATAAAATTGATAATTTTGTTAATTATTACCCTAATTTTAATATTGATTTTCTAATTAGTAAAAATAGAAAAAAAGAAAAACTTGTTTTTGCTAGAGAAACTAGACAAAGGAGTGTTAGTTAAATTGTTAGAAAAAGTGAAGCCATCATTTGATTTTTTATGTTAAATAGTTTTATTCTATTGTTTTAACTAATTTAATTAGTAAATTATTAGGCCATAATAATTTATATAATCAATACTGTTGTTTATTATCTAATATTATTACTGCAAATTAATTTCATTATGAAATTGATTTAATTAATTTAATTATATCATAAATGGGGTGTGGAGCATAAAAGAATTCAACAGGTCTTAATGAAAAACTTAGAGCTAAAGCTTTGGTGATTTTTAAAAGAATTGACATAAATAATTCAGGTTCTATTGATAAAGATGAAACTTAAAAATTTTGGAAAACCAACTTTGCCAAAGTGAATACTTAAGCTTTATTCAATGCAGTTGATTTTGATAAAAGTGGATAAATATCAGAAGATGAATGGATGGCTTTCTGGGAAATAGTTAAAAAAAGTGGTTATACTGATAAAGAAATCTCTGAAGAAGTAAAGCATTTATTATACAAAAATAGCTAGACAATTTAATGGAAGGAAAAGCTTGGGTATAATTCAGAAAGGTTGATGAATTTGTTAAAAGAGATTAATTAAGAAAGAACAGTTAAGTTTAGTAAATTGTAAAATAGAATTCAAAGAGAAAGTCTCTTGTTTAATAATAATAAAGCTTTCATCAACAATGAAATTATTATGTATCTTCATTATTTAAAGTTACTTATAATATTAATGATGTAATTTTATGATATAAAATAATAGATAAGGGGGTATAGATGTAATTATATATAATTTTAGTTTATATTATTTATGACTAAATTGTTAAGATGCTTTTTTAAAACAAAAAGAGTACTATTTCAATCTTCTAAAAATTTTTCAGAGATTTAGGTCATTTATTATTGGATTGAATTGACCTGTTGTTAATTTATTTTCATTTTCTAAAAAAATAATATATAAATATATACTTTATAGATTTCTAATGATTTTGAATAATCATTATAAGCTTGTCTAAATCGACCTAATTCCTTATGACAATCAGCACAATTCTTTAATGTGATAGCTAAATTTCCATGCATTTCACCACATAATTATGTATAAATTTTTATAGATTCTTAAAAACAATTAACAGCTTCTTCGTATTATTTTCTTTCATAATATGATCTTCCAAAATTATTCAATATTATTGCAATGCTAGCATGACTTTAGCCATACAATTCTTATAAAATTACTTATGATTTTTTAAAATACTCTTCAAATTCATTCGAATTTTTGTTATAAGCTTTAATTTTTCCTAAAGAATGATAACAATCAGCAATATCTTAAGAAGATTTTCCCATAATTTTTATATTTATTTGGAGACTTTCAGTAATCAAATTTTCTGCTTTTTCTAAATCTAAAATTTTTAAATTAAAATATACTTTCTGTAGTACTTTTCATTCTTAGATATAAATTTCCTTTAAGATAAATTGATTTTGCAGTTTTGATATGTTCATAACTCAAAACATTGGTCCAAATAGCAATTGCTTAATTAATTTAAAACATGGCTTCTTCAATTTTCCCTTCATCTGAAAATAACTATGCTAATCCATGTAATGAATCAGCAACTTCCTAAAATATTTTTCAATTTTACTATAGAATCTCGAGAATATAACTCTTCTCTAATTTTTATGCTTTCATATAGCATTTATTCTGCCAAATCATCTTGAAACATGAACCTATAATAATTTCCCAATTATGTTAAAGTAAGTGCATAAACACCTGTATTAGTGAGATTATGTTGAATAAGTAATTATTGAGCATAATCTAAATATTTGAAAGTTTATTCATAATAACAGCAATAGAAACAGCATCTACCTTATTTTATTTCATTACATTAATTACCTATTTTTGCATAAGAATTACAAAGTCTTAGTATACTATTCTTATTATCTGATGCTTTACAAATTTCTTTCTCAATTTTAATCATTCTTATTAAGTATTACATTGCTTGATAAACTTAATTTATATCAATAAATATTGTAGCAAATCTTTCATATATATTGCTTTATAAAATCTTATAATTAATTATCTAATACTTTTTCATTTTCTGTCATTTCTTCAGGATTAATAATTCCCTCATTAAGTTGATTTTGAAGTTCTTATAATTTTTTTATGCTTTTCTAAAAGTTTTGCTTCTTGATGAGAATGTCAATTTTTTTTAGTTGATCTTCCATTTAGTGATTAAATAAATTTTATTAAATTTTATGTAGCCATATAACAATTGTAATTAAACTCTATTAATACATATAAAATATAATCAATTATTTCTATAATTATATAATTCTAAGTTTAGATTATCGATTTCTTATATTAAATTTTCAGAAAAGTTTGGCTTATCTGATACTTTATTTTATAATAATAATTTAAGGAGGAATGTCGAAATTTTTTGGTTGTGAATTTCTGTGATCAAATTCATTATTTTTTTATAATCATCTGAATAGCGAATATTTTTGCAATCCTCTATTTTTTGTGTTATCCTATTTCTAAAAAGATAATTACAATTAAAAAAATACTAATCCACAGTCAAAATTATCTTTATATGGACAAGAATTTCGACAAGTAAAAGTATTGAGATCTGTTTCATCCTTAGTAGTTTTTGAAAAATATGAATCATTAGAAGTAATAATCTGATTTCTTAACATAGATTTTTCGAAGTTAGTAACAGTTATCTAATTCATCAAAGAATCAAAATAAATATTTTCTAATTTGATATTTTAATGAGAGAATCCTTCAAATTGCATATATTATACAACACGAATCAGTTCCTGTATGATATCCTTTATTATACCTTCATAATTTAAATAATTTGTTGAACATCTAAAACCCTATTCTTAATGCAAATATCTAGTGGAGTTCCCTCTAAGAGATCATAAATAATATAATTATGATTCGCTTCAACGTAATATTCTCTAATTTTTGGCAAATTTTGATGTTTTAAATGTTAAAGGGCTTATACTTCATTTCTAAATTCCTACTTATATTTAATTGAATACTTCAATAAATTCTGGCCTGCCTTATTTATAAATTTTGCCTGTAACTAGTTCTTCATTATATAAATGTCTCATTTTTACTACCTACAAATTTGTAATATAGTATACAATTCCAGAATTTCCTTAGGAGATGATTTTTGCTATTTTGAATTGATTATCGATTCCTTAATAACACACTTTTCCATTTAAGAATTCCTTAAATAATATTCCCACGGAAGGATCTATCTTGTAGATTATACTCTACTATTTATCTAATAATTCAAATTATCCTATTTGAGAGATATTGCATTTTGCCCATTTCAATCTTGGTTCGAAGGAGTTAAATTTTATTATTTCAATTTCGTTTTCCTATATATTAAATTACTAATTACATGTTATAATTGAATCTCATCCTTTAACATAAAAATATTGTACTTTTAGGATGAAAGTAACTTAAGCTTGAAGCAGTACATTCAAATATTTTTATAATAAGATATTATATATATAATTTTTGATTTAGAACTTACAACATTGATGAGTCATTATATTTGATTAATTTCATTTTATCAGTATTTATTTGATTTTATTTTTGATTGAGATGATTAAACTTTTACTATTATTATTAGGAAAAAAAATAATTAACATTTACAGTTATGAATTAATGTATAATTTCTATTAAACCAATCTAATCAATAATAGCTTTTCTCTTATGATAGTTTTATAGAATTTAACAAATAGTATAAAATTTTCATTTATATTAATATAACGAGTTCTACAATTTTCTAATCATTGAGTCCCAAGTTTAATATCATATTTAAATTTAAGGCTATTATAAATATTAAATTTTTGATGAAATAGAATTGTAAGTTTATAAGAAATAATCTAATTTAATATCTGATTTAGAAAATAAACAGTAATCATACAACGATGTTATGAAAAGTTCTGTATTAAATATAATAATTAAATAAATTAAATGTGTTGTTCAAGGAAATAAAAAACAAACACCTAAAGAGAGGAAATAAATAAATTAGGAAAACTAACAAGACTGACAGAAACTGAATTGATAGAATTAAAAACTAGATTTGCTAGAATGTCATAGGGTTCTAATTTCGTAACTAAGTTTTAATTTCGAGATAATCTGGGTTTACTCGGTATGGGAACAATGCTTCATTTATCAGATAGAATCTTCCACATAATGGATGATGACAAGGATGGTAAGGTATGTTTTTAAATGAAAATCTATTTAGATTAGATTTGAAGATTTTGCTCTTTATTTTGATAAGGTTAGTCATGGAGACGCGAGAGAAAAGGCTGAGATAAGTTTTAAATTGATTGATAAGAATAAAGTTGGAAGCTTTACATCAGGTGAATTTAATGATACAATGTAAGGAGTAATTAATAGCTGGATAGCTATGACTGGATAAAATTTAACTAGCGAAACTAAGAAATAGATTGATTAAAGAATAAAATTAATTTTCTAAACTATGGATGTTGATAAAGCTGATAGAGTTACATTATAATAATATTAAGATTCTGTTGTAGCTGATCCAGCACTCTTAGAAATCTTTGATTTTGCTAGAAGAGGTGTTACACTTGAAACAATTGATTTTAGTATTTAATAATAATCTAGATACATTTAAAATATTGAAAAAAAACTTGATCATTTACTAGAATTTATGAAATAAGATAATAAAAAATAAGAAAAAGAACTTCCTCATTTTGTTAAAGGAACTACTGATCAAGAATAAAAATAAAGAAATAGTTAAGTTGAAAATCTTCATTCTCCTATTGTTAGTCTTTTTAAATATGAAAGTGAAGAAAATAATCATAATGATTTAAAAATTGAATAAGGAATAAATAAATTTTTTACTTAAGAACAATTTGCATCATTTAATTATAATCATTCTAATGAATTATCTATTGAACATTTAAAAAATGATTAAAATTAAGATTTTTCATTTTATGCACAGTCAAAACCTAAAACTAAATAAAAAGCATTATTTTAATAAGTTCCATAAAAATAAATTGAAGCTGATACTTTTGAACCTAGAGAAGAAGATTAATTTTATTAAACAGATTAAAGTTTTGAAATTGAAAATGATAAAAATCAATTTTATTAATTTGTAGATTAAATGAGCATTGATTAACTTAAAGATAAATATAAATCTATGATTGAATGTGTTTAAGATATTAGTAAAGAAGTTTAGAGATTGAGAGAATTAATTGATCAAAATTAAATAAAACAATAAAAAATGGATATTATTGATTAGATTAATGAATAAAGATTGCATACTATTATAAATATACCTAGAAAATAAACATCTATTAAAAATCAAAAATAAACTAAAAAACCAAAAATTAGTGTTTCATTTGGGCATGAAAATTTTAATTTAGTTTTAAATATGATGATTGGAATTTAAATGGCTGTAAGTAGTATTAATGTAGCAGATGATTATGAAGTTGGTCCTAAAGATTTTAAATTAAAATATTATTTTGAACTTCTACCAAGAAGAGCATAAGGTGATAAAAGTTCTTTTAAAGTATGTTAATTCTTTGATTATGCTCCAAGAGTATTCAATAGTATTAGAACTATATATGGATTAGATAATCATTAATATCTAAAAAGTATTGGTCCTGAATCTATTTTATAATCTTTAATTAAAGGAGATTTATCTTGTTTATAAGAATTAACATCGACAGGTAAAAGTGGCAGCTTTTTTTATTATACAGCTGATGGATAATTCACTTTAAAAACTATACATCATCAGGAGTTTAGATTTCTAAAATAAATTATGAGAAATTATTATTATCATCTAAAAAACTATCCAGAAACTCTTATTATAAAGTATTATAAACATTTAAAATAAGATTATTTGGGATGCATAAGATTGGTATAAAATTTTAGACTATGTTAAGAGAAAAGGTTATTTATTTTGTGATAATGAGTAATGTATTTTCAACAAATCATGAAATTAATATTAGATACGATTTAAAAGGTTCAACTTATGGAAGATATACTATTGATAAGTAAGATATTATTTAAAGTAAGCGATCCAACTGTTGCCAGAAAAGATTTAAATTTTCTTGCTGATAAAGAGAAAAATATAAAATTAAATATCAATAAGAACAAATCAATGCTATTTTTTAATTAATTAGAAAAAGATTGCAAATTTTTCGAAGAGAATGATATTATTGATTATAGTCTGTTATTAGGTCTACATGCTAAAGGAAATAAATAAATTGATAATGAATCTTCTGTTTATTCAGAAAATCCTTAATTTGATAATTTTAGTAAGATGGTAACTGTTGATAATTAATATACTTTATATATAGGCATTATTGATATCTTAACAAATTTCAGTACCAAAAAGAAACTTGAATTCTTATCTAAAAGAGTTATTTATGGACCAACAATATCAGCTATACCTCCAAGGGATTATGCTGAAAGATTTTTAAAGTTTTTAAAGGATCATTTATTTGCAAATTGAAAAAAATATTACTCATTCATTTAAACTGCCTATAACTCTACTTAAAACTTTTGATGTTTATCTTATTTTCTTTGATATCAACTATAAAGGTCCTAATTTTTATTCAATAGTTTCGATTTCATCATGAATTTAAAATCTTTGCATTGATAATGTTTATGCTGATAATTTTTACTCTTCATTAGGCATATTCATGGAATGCTAAATTTTAAGAATTTATTCGGATTCCTTTTAGATCTTTAGAAATTAAAAAATAACAATTACATTATCATTAATTCGATTTATTGAATGAATTTCATTTGATAATAAAAGATTATCAATCATATTAGTCAAATAAACTAAATCATCATAAAGAGATATATCAAATTTATCAACAATTTTATATTCTCCATTTATATATTAAATCTCTCTTACACAAGATAATTTGATGATATCGTAGAATTCTATCAATTCTTCTCCATTTTACTTTAATATAACTTTATTCAGATTTTTTTTTAATCCAATAAGTTATTTAATTACTTAAAACAATTTTCTATCATTGTTTATATATTTCTTTGATAAATATCAGATCATACTTTCAAGTTTTCTAAACTATAAACAAGTGCCCAAATCTATTCACTAAATTTGATATAAGATTGTGATTAAGGATTCTTACTATTTGATACAATGGCAACAGATTATTTGGTAGAGTTTTCTTTTACTTTTTTAAATTTGATATCACCATATTGTACTATTTCAGTTTCAGTTCTAACTTTCTTAAATTTATTTTATTTTTATATATTTTTCTAAATTCTCAATGTGTTTAAATGATCTAAATAATCTTTAATTGTTTTATCATCATTATAGGCTATTCTAATAGTTAAGTTTGGTTTACAAGTTTTTTCTTTTGGAGATGTTTTATTAATAACAGGAAAAGTAATATCAGTTTTATTTACTTACGTATCATTAGTTGGTTTATGCTTATCAAGACTCATTTTTTGAGTTGTCTAAGTTTTTTATATTGATCTTAAAGTTGTTATTGAGTTTGTTTTTTAATTTTTAAAAGGTATTGTTTCATTTAGTTTGAAATTTGGTAATATTAGATGATGCTTTAATATTAAGCTCATTAATTATATTAAAATGATTTTTGATTTTCCTGACAATCTAAATTCTAGTCAATAAATCATGCCTGAAAAACAAACTAAAGATTGGTATTCTGAATTGAAGTTTTTACATTATTTTCCTAAAAATAAATGTTTTGGAAAAGAAGAGCAAGAAATCACCAGAAATATTAAAAATATAGAAATGCATTATAAAGTATTTATCAAAAAATAAAAAGCAAAAAGTAACAGAAATGGTGTCATAATTATTAACAGATGAATAAGGCACATTGAATATCATCCCAAAAAAGGCAAATATTGATTTAAAAAGAGCAATCCAACCTAAATTAGATAAATTAAAAAAAAAAACAGAAAGAGCAATAGTAGATGTGTTGAGTATGTATTTGATATTATTTTAAGATGAAAAATTTTTTAAAAAAGAAGCTGAATAAAAAGAAGAAGTTGTTGAATCATAAACTTAAGCTACAGCAGAAGTTATAAAGAATATAGTTAATGTTTATGATAAAGAAATTGAATTGGATGATGAAGACTATGATGATGATTATGAAACATTATGATTAATATGATTAATTAAAATAATTCTAAAACACACATATCAGTTAATATTAGTCAAACCAATAAGCGAGTTCAATAATTTGCTTACTTTGATTTAAAAAGAATGAGAAGAAAGGCAAACAATTTGAATTTAAAAAATCTAAATGCAACCTATTTTTCTAAAACAACTATATCATAAGAATCCTCCTTTAGAGAAGAATTTTATGATGAAAACAAAAATATTAATTAAATTATAGAAGAAACTTATTAATTAAAAAGAAGGGAATTCGACTAAAATTCTTCGTAAAATAGTAGTAATATTTTACCAAGTGTTTAAAATTAAGATAAATCAGAAAAATCATTTTAAGAAAAAGATAAATCAAAGCTTAAAAAATAAACCAGCATAAATAAAATTCATCTAACTTAAAATGATGATTCAATTTTAAGTGATTTAAATCATTAATAAAAAACTCTTTCTTTTGTATAACGCAATAAGACAAAAATTTATTAAAAAATAAATGATCAGTTAAAGACATCTCCTAAAGTTAATTTTAAAAGTAAGTTTCTTTAAACTTAATTCTAAAATAGTAAATAAGATTAAGCCAATCGATTTCCATAAATTTGGTCTTAATAATCAAACACATTAATTTAAAATGAAAAATCTAAGACTAAAGCCTGTTTCTTAAAACTAGAAGAGTAATTTAAAAAAATGGAAAATGATAAAGTATTCGAACCTTTCTTAAAAGATTAAAAATAAAAAGTGAAGCTAATGACACCTTTAGTAATCAGAAAAGACAAGCCTTATTACGTTGCTGAAAATAAGGATAATAGTAATAAATTAATTGTATTGTTCTAGAAAATCTAATTGATAATATGAAAAATGAGAATACAAATTTTAGCAAAGATGAATATTTGATGGTTAGTTATGACAAAATTTTAGAATATATATGAGTTATAAATTTAATGAAATAATTGCCCTTTTTTTTTAATAATATATATGTATGCTGAAGCAAAGTCTTTATAATTTTACTTGTTCTAATAAATAATTTTAGGTAATATTTAAATAAGTATATTTCTATTTTGAAAAGTTTTCTTCTAATGGGATTCAAATTATTATAAATTTAAATCTTAAGCTAATATCTAATTACTCTCTTGCATCATAATAAGAACTTATCAATTCAATAAATGGAAGAATTTTAAAATGAATCTCTTAAAAAAATATTTATGTTAGGTTTCCAAAATAGAAAATTAGCAAAATTTCTATAAAAAAATAATCTTGATAATTGTTACAGTATTATTTGCATAAACAAAAAGAGAATACGTTATTTTTGAAATTCGTTAAAATTTTCTTTATATAAGAATATCTAGTCTTAATAAAGATTAAACACGGTTATTAGAGCGAATAAAAACTAATGTAGATAAATCTTAAATTAATAAAATATATACTAATAGCTTTGTTAGAAGAAAATAATTAAAAATTAATAGAGAAAGTTGATATACTTTTTATGATAATTATTTTTTTTTATTATTTTTATAAGTATTTATTAATACAAAGCCGATTTGAAACGAATAACTTTTCTAATTAGACGATAATTATTAATCGACATAATAGAATACTGAAGCAGGAATTATTCCAAGTTTTAATATTGAAAATTTTTGTATTTATTTGAGAATTTTTATTGATTTAATAGTATAAAATATTAATTTTTAACACATTAATGAATTATAATTTTCAAACCTAACTATATAGAAGATTTATGAATGATATAAAATAATAAATACAAGATATTTAAAATTTAGCTAATCAAAATAATTAGCACTAGTCTTAATCAGTGCTTTTAATTTATTATTGATAAGGTTGTTTATGATTGACGGTCGACATATTATTTTTTTATTTATGAAAATTGTAATTGAGTTTATGATATATTTGGATATTACCATATGTATCATAAAATGGTTTAACAAATTTGTAATGCTTAACTTTTTCATCAGGCATTTCCATATACTTTAAAATAGCTCTTTAAGCATAAGGACATTATTCTAAAACCTCATTCAAAATAGAGGCTACTTATATTTCTTTACCATCCCTAATGAAAAACTGCAACAATTCTAACTTTTTTTCAAGTCGATGAAGAGCTAAATATCTACAACTTCCTTTAATTGAATGAGCCAATTATTCAAATTTTAAATAAGCTGGTGTTCCAACTTGCTACCAACCTCCTTTTTCATATAAAATTATTAACTCATCAAATCCTTTTCCATCTTCAAAGTATTCTAAAAATAGCGTGATAGCCCCTTTTACCATTGTTTCATCTGGTAAGTATTCCAAAGCAGTTTGTAAATCAAAAATATCATAGCTTTCTTAAGGAAAATGATTTGACATTATTAAGGGATTTATTAATTATAATTAAAATTAATTATCAATAATCCACTTTATAGGTAAAGCCATAATATTATCTCAAACATAAATTCATTTTAAAATCTGAATTCTGCCAAAAGCTAGATCCATATATACTATTATACTTTTAAATTAGTATTATGGATATTATAAATATAAAAAAAAAAAAAATAAAATATTTAATTAAGATATTGTTAAATAATTTAGAAAAATTAAAGCTTAAGATAAAAATAATTTAGATATCTTCGAAATTGTAGATCAATAACAAATTAATCTATTTTTTCTTAAATCTATTTAATCTGCTTAGAAAAGTTATAAAGACATTAAAACTTTAATCCTATTTTCTTTCTCAATATTTTGAAATATATAAAATACATATATTTTTTATAGATGCTCGCACTTTCAATATTAAATATAATCCTTTTGTTTAAATGTAGTTATTTTTCCAGATAAAATAATTATATTATAAAGTTTTGGAATATATGAATGATTAGATATTGCATAAACTTAAAAATAATTATTATTATTTTAATGGGCTGTGTATATTATTTTTATAATTTAATTAATCCTAAATATAGATTATTTTATACCTTTAATTCTCAATTAGGTTAATGGATTTAACTAAATTGCATTCTTTATAAAAGGCTTTTTTAAATTTTGGTAATTTTGATATGATTTTCAAATACTTTTTTTATATAAGTTTTAAACAACAACTAAGTGATTTATATATATATAAAAATTAAATAATTTTTATGCAATTTAAACTCAACATAAACATTGAATTTAAGCTATTGAAATATATAGAATTATAATAATTTGGATATGATCTTAAGTTTAAATAAAATACTCAATTTAGATTATATGAAGTAGATTATAGTGAGGTTTATGGACTATTCTCATCATTTATTCACATAAGCATTAAAATTTTTTGAACCGATATTATATTAGTTCTATTAAAAATTTATTGATAATTGAAAAAGGTTTGATGTAGTTTTGAAATCAAATTTAAAAGATCTATAGTCTTTCATGAAAAAATTATTCAAAAAATAATTTATAATTTAAATTGAAATGAATTTACAAAATTTTGATTCCTTATGTAATGATTGTTGCTTCTCAAGAACATTAGAAGTATATTAATATATTAAGATTATAGAGTAAATAAATGGCAGAATAGACAATTTATTAGTTCATAGAAGATATAAGAAATATAGATATTTTATGCCAGATCATACAATAAACTTAATCAAGCTCTACATTATTTGTTATATCAGAATACATAGCAAAGATTGTTGTTTCTGAAAGGTCTTTTAAAGGATTATAATCTTCTGATTGTAGTTCATTAGAAGGCTAATCTATTTTGGGATAATGTTTAAACAAAGAAGAAAATGATGTGTTATTTAAAAAATGCAAAGTGTATGAAACTTTGGTTTCGCTATTTTGTATAAGTCTTTAAAAGCAATAAGAAAATCATGTGTAAAATTCAATCTGTAATTTGGTGGGTTTGTTGATTTAGTAAATAATGATGATGAGTAGCAACCAATTTGCAAAGTTCAAATTAGTTTTTAACTCTTTTTTCTCAGGGAGTCAATTTTACCTCCTTTCAATTGGGTTGAAATTAATTTAGAATGTTTTATAAAATATTCAACTTTATTCATCTTATGACTCTTATTTTTCATATAGAAAAATGATGTTTTAATTTTAAAATAGTGACATATTAGATTTTATGTAGACTGTTTGTACAGTTTTAAAATAGTGTAGTTCAAATCTTTATAAATAAGCATTAGCCTCACTTAAAGATATTTTAATGTTCAATTTTAATGTCAGTTACTTTGAATTAGAATCAGATTTTGATCCAAATGATTAAAATAACGTTAGTGTAAATTTAAATATTATACATTTAGTTTCCAGATAAATTTGCTGAATTTTTTAATGATAGGTAATTAATAGAATTACTTTTCAATATAATAGCATCATATAGTTCAACTGACTCATCGTTATCTTTATTAGCACTAAAATCATTAAAGAGAATGGCTTCTTCGAAAAAGAGAATATTTACTGAAAAAATAAAAAAAAGATTGTTTGCGAAAGAAATGTATTAAGGTTGCATTTTCCTTTTCGAAAAAGTTTAATAAGCAAATGAAGAAATCATAAGTGACATTCTTGAATTAAACACTAAATTAAATAATTGTTTTGGTTTGAGATAAGTTAGATTTGATTTTACATTTAGTTAACAATGGTTATTTTGTTTATAAACATTTTGTATATAAATTTTACAAAAATAAATGAAAATTAAAGATCCTCATATGTATTAGATGATAGAATTAATGAAAAAATTAGTGAAATTTATAACTGATTTTAAATTAGATGTTACATTTAAATAATCAATTTCTAAAACTATATCTGAAATAGGTAAAGCTATAATTCATTTATTATTGAATTCTAAAAATTCCTTTTTTTAGGGTTACACTCCTTAGAATCACAAAAAATTAAAGCATACTCTAAAAGAATTTTTTGAAAATCTTTTTCCTATTTTAGCAGTAGATTTAGCAAGTCATATCAAAATGATTTATTATTCTTTTAAAAATGCTGCTTAAGATTAAGAAAAATTTATAATTGAATTAAGTTTAATTAATTACATAGTAATAAATCCTTAAATATTAGAAAAAAATAGTGATGAAATAATTTAAATGATTTAAACTGTTATTAAAGATTCATTAAATTTTTTATAAGTTGCTACACATAATTTACCTCCTTTAGTTATTATGTCTGCAATGTCTTTAGCAGATAATTTATTTTAATTTGCTTTAAGTGAATCTGATGAATCAATTGGTAGACAAAAGTCCAACAAAGCATTTTTTGATATTTTCATTAAGCCAGTTCTAATTCAACCCTAACAAGCCACTAATCAATTGTTACAATTTATAATTTTATAATTACAGATTGAAAATAAAGAAATAATAGAATATGCCTTAGTAATTATGAAAGAAACAATAGTCAGACTAAAACATCACTTATATAATGAAGCTTTTTAATAATCTAATGTTGTATCATAAATCAAAGGGATTTTATTAAACTTAAAAAATACTGCCTTATAAAAAGAAACGTTTTTAAGTTGTCGAACCTTAGCCTCAGAAATTCTATCTATTTTATTGTTTGACACTGCCTATGAAAATTATATCGAATCAATAATATAATTAAACTAATTTTTAACAATATAACCAACATAATAATCAATTTTAATTTATCTATATGAAATGCTTGGCTATTTTAGACATGTTGATACAAGCAAAATATTTAGACTACTAATTAAATAGCATTTACTAAAAATAGCAGATTTGACTAGATTTATTTTAATAGACAATCCTCAACAATTTCAAATGTGTAAATTATGTTTGAAATTAATGGTGGCAATAACTGAGAACAAAAGTTTAAGATATTAATATCATAGTTCATCAATTGTATAAATTGAATTAGTTAGAACATTTTAAGGTTTTCTAACAAGTTATCTGTAACATCTTATAACTGCTATTTTAGATGAAAAAGTGAAATAGGAATATTCAGCTGAAATATGTAGATTAGTTGGATTAATATTTAAAATAATGAATAATATTTTGAAAGGAAAATACATACTTCAAACTTGCTAATTACTTTTTGCTGACAGAAAATATTTAGATTAATTAATAACAGTGTTAGAAATTACATCAAAAATTACAAATTATATCATAGTAATTTTATATATAAATTTAGATGTATAACAAAGCTTGTTTATAAGTTGTTTAAGTTTTATAAGTAGTGAGCTCGTCACAATTATAATTATTTGAATTAAATCCATCATCATTAACTACATTGATGATAATAATTGAAAGTTTATAGAAACATTTGTTAAGTTAATTATCTCAAGAATACAAAACTTAAACTATTTCTACATATCATTAACCTTTAGATAAAGTTACTTTAGATCATACAACAGATATAATTCTATCAATTCTAGGATTTGTATCAGAAGAATAACAATTAAGTTAGATGGGAATCTTAAAATCATTTATTTAACCATTAGATAGTATTATTGAACTTGTTTTAAAAGAACTTCTATTATGCTTAATCAAAGGTCAATGTTCACAATAAACAAATCTAAAAATTACAAGATAAGTCTTCGCTATAATGTGCACTTTTTAATAAGTTTTTGTTGGAATTTTAAGTAAAGTTTTACTGAGATCAGATCAATAAATTGAATCTTTATAACTTTAGATTTTAACATAAGATTTAGACCTCAGAATAAAACATTAAAATGAAGAATAATTTTAAAAAAATTTCAATCTATTTATGTAATAATTTGGAATTTGAGAATAATGATGTTTTTATTTTGTTATTAAATATAATCAAAAAAATGAGCAGAAGATTTATAACATAGTATCCCTTATCACCACCAATGAATGATGTTTCCAATTTATACAAAAGAATAAGAACATAAGAACAATTACAATTCTTAGAGGAAGTAATCAAAAAGGTTAAATTCAAAAGGCCAGTACCTCAATTCAAAAAAATTAAATTGCCTATTTCTGTTTCTGCAAAATTGATTTAATTATAAAGTGAACGATCCCTTTCTATTCGTTCACCAAGAATACTAGAATTACCTAAAAAATAAATACTGCCACATATTTCAAGATAAAAAGCATCTATTTCTGGCTGGGAAGTTAATACATCCAATGATTCATTTTTATATTATTAATGAGAAACAATAATAATTAATAATTCAAGTATGTCGCTATCTTATTTCCTAAATACAAAATAGATTCTGAAATCTATTAAACCCTTTCATCTTAACAATTTTTATCTATTAATCCATAAATCCAATTATTACCCAAAATTCAGCCTATGTAAATAAAATCATAGCCTAATTCTCCTGTTAAANACAATTATAATTATTTGAATTAAATCCATCATCATTAACTACATTGATGATAATAATTGAAAGTTTATAGAAACATTTGTTAAGTTAATTATCTCAAGAATACAAAACTTAAACTATTTCTACATATCATTAACCTTTAGATAAAGTTACTTTAGATCATACAACAGATATAATTCTATCAATTCTAGGATTTGTATCAGAAGAATAACAATTAAGTTAGATGGGAATCTTAAAATCATTTATTTAACCATTAGATAGTATTATTGAACTTGTTTTAAAAGAACTTCTATTATGCTTAATCAAAGGTCAATGTTCACAATAAACAAATCTAAAAATTACAAGATAAGTCTTCGCTATAATGTGCACTTTTTAATAAGTTTTTGTTGGAATTTTAAGTAAAGTTTTACTGAGATCAGATCAATAAATTGAATCTTTATAACTTTAGATTTTAACATAAGATTTAGACCTCAGAATAAAACATTAAAATGAAGAATAATTTTAAAAAAATTTCAATCTATTTATGTAATAATTTGGAATTTGAGAATAATGATGTTTTTATTTTGTTATTAAATATAATCAAAAAAATGAGCAGAAGATTTATAACATAGTATCCCTTATCACCACCAATGAATGATGTTTCCAATTTATACAAAAGAATAAGAACATAAGAACAATTACAATTCTTAGAGGAAGTAATCAAAAAGGTTAAATTCAAAAGGCCAGTACCTCAATTCAAAAAAATTAAATTGCCTATTTCTGTTTCTGCAAAATTGATTTAATTATAAAGTGAACGATCCCTTTCTATTCGTTCACCAAGAATACTAGAATTACCTAAAAAATAAATACTGCCACATATTTCAAGATAAAAAGCATCTATTTCTGGCTGGGAAGTTAATACATCCAATGATTCATTTTTATATTATTAATGAGAAACAATAATAATTAATAATTCAAGTATGTCGCTATCTTATTTCCTAAATACAAAATAGATTCTGAAATCTATTAAACCCTTTCATCTTAACAATTTTTATCTATTAATCCATAAATCCAATTATTACCCAAAATTCAGCCTATGTAAATAAAATCATAGCCTAATTCTCCTGTTAAAGTTAAATCAAAAATGTTAACTATCCTACTATTACAATTTAAAGATTAAATTGTTTTAATTATTACAATTTAAAGATTAAATTGTTTTAATAGAATAAATGCATTGAACTGTTCGATAAAAACATTGTGCTAAATTTTTAAATACTATAAACTAAATAAAATAAGATAATTTTAGTTAGACAACCCTTGATGAACTAAAACTACTCTAATATTTAGTTTCATATTTAATTTTAAAAATTTATTGTATTTAAAAGTGCCTCTTCATTTATTTTCTCTTATATAATTTCAAGTGTTTTTCTGACTAAATTAATTTCCATAGGAAAATAGTAGAGTTTAAAAATTAAACAAATACTTAATACTATAAAATTCTAAGACATAGCCAAATAAATTAGAAAGAAATATCTATAAAGATCAAATTTCTTGTACTTTTGAAAATGATTATAATATATAGTAAGAGAATAGTAAAAAAATAATTTCTTTTTTTTCATTATTAATATTATGAACATTTCTTTTAAAAAGAATTTTAGTAAATAAAAATTTTGCCCAAATTTAATTAAGATATAGGATGTTATACTATTATAATTTCTTTAATCATAATTGTTTTGGATTAATTTTTTATTTAATTCGCTTGATTCAAAAGCTGATTTTTAAATGATAAATTCTTACATGAATAATTAAGCTTTATTTGCATGGACCTATTCGAAATTTTTTAGCAAATTAACGAAATTTTGTTTTTAACATCTAATTATTTCACCTTAGCTTAAGTATTAAGTCTAATTTTTAATACTCTTGCATTTAAATGCATTTTATGAAAAATTTAAGTTTAATTGTATTCACAAGCTTAATTGATTGAACCATTTCTAGTTTGAGAATATCAATATGTAAATAGCACAAAAAAAATCTTGAATTGCAGACAAAAATTAATTTTTAAGCTGAAGAAATTCAATGTTTGTTGGAAATTCTATTTAATTTAAGAATTTCTAAATAAATTCTTAGATGTTTATTTATTAAATATATAGTAAATTAAAATACAAATTAATTCTGCATATGATCAAAAATAGAAGTACTAGGAGATTGTAGTAATTTACAATAATTTCCTATAATATTTTTTAATAATTAAAAAGAAAATTTCGTTCTTAATAAATAATAATTTATAAAAGAGAGAAATATAAATTTTGAATATCTCATTTGTTTTATTATTTGATTTATATTAAAGCCTTGTTCTATTACTTAATAATTTTGTATGACTAGAAAAGTTCTTAGAGGGTTGATTAATTATCGATATTTTTTAATTATTAGGCTGGATTAATTTACCATTTAGATTTTCAAAATTATATTAAAGCTTTATTTCTAAATATTCTTTAAGCAATTAAAATGCTTTTTAACATTCATGATTGGAACCATATTTGATGTATAAATATATTTAGCTTTACTTTAAATACTTCTAAATTTTAGTCGAAAAAATTACAATTTATCCAAAGTGACAAAATATTTTGATAATAAAATTTAAATCATTTAGTATATCATAAGTGATTAAAACTTAAATACAAATAGTATTTTAATGTAGTCTATCCAAAGCTTTATCAATTTTAGTTTCAATAGTTTTATTGATTTCTTCATCTATTTAATTGAGTTTAGATTTTATATCTATCATTTTTTCTTCTGAAAATTAAGTTTCCTCTTCATCATAAACCTCCTCTGTAGAATCGTTCTCAAATTAATAATCTTCCCATTCATTGATTTTAGTTATCTCTTCCTATTCACAATTAGTATCGACTTAATCATTAGTGCTAGAAGGAGGGTTAGTAAAATCAAGACCCTTAGTATATGGTACAATATCAAGCTTTAGTTATTTCAATCTAGAATGATTAACATTGCATGAAATTTAATTAAAGATTTTTGTGTTATTCAGAAATCTACATTAAAAGCTAATCCTTACTTGATGGCATCAATAGCTGAATCAACTTCATCATATTCTATAAATACTTTTGTTTAAAGCTAACCTCTTTCGAATATTAAAATCTATTATATTATATTTCATTATTTTGGAATACTTTTGAAATAGAGCCATGCTTGGAAAAAAATTTTAATAAAGATTGATTATTGATTTAGATATTATTCTATGTCGTCTTCAAGCAGACCAAGCAACTCTATTAGGTCTTACTTCCCTTTTTTTTTTCTTTTAGGACATTTTTTATAACTAAAATAATTAATGTTATCCTAAAATTCAAGTATATTTAAAGGAGATAGAATGAATTAAATTAAGAAGAACATATGAATTTTGCCAAAAATAACTACTTGAGGAAAATTTTCACATTATCCAACACCTCTTAATATCCTAATTTTATAAATATTAGGTTTCATATTTATAAATGTACAAAAATGTAAGCAAAGAACTTTGGCTTAATTTTTTCTAATTTAAATGAAATTAAAAAAATTTAGTTTTTGAAATTAGAATTAGGCTTTCTCTAGGAAGAGTATTAACATAAATAGGATAAAGATGTATTGTATTTAAAATGATAGTATGTATGTTAGATTCAATAATTGGTTATAATTGAAAGGGGAAAGAGGTTAATTTAAATATATTTATTATCAAAAGTTCCAACAAACCACAATAAAAAATATTATTATTATTATGCATAAATTATAGGTAAAACTTATTTTGTGTAATTGAGATTTTTGATAATGTTATTTTTAAGAAAATGAATAAAAACCAAATTAAATTATTATTAACGTCCTCATTTCATCGTGGTCGATAAATTCAAATAAAATTATTTCGAATGAAAAATTTTTAATATATTAATTTTCGATCTATGTGCAGCATTAGATTAATGGAAAATTAAGATTGAAATATTGCCAATATCAAAATTAATTATAGCTCAGCTATTTTATAAAAATAGATTGTAAGCAATAGAATTTGTTAATTTAAAAAATAAGAATATTTTTAATGAAATAGAAATTATTGTTATTCTTATAAAAATTACTGATACTAAATTTATTATTAATATTTTTCGAATTTTTTAAAGTTTTCTTATAAATTGATCAAAAAAGCACAATAAAATTATATCTTAGTAATGATTTTAATCAAATTCAAATGTTTAAGAAAAGACCAAAATTCTAAAGTGAAGTAATAATTTATTGATTATAAAGATTGGACTCAAAAAGGTGAAACTTAAAGAAGTGTCATTAGAAAAATATCAATAGAGCTTAAGAAGTGAAATATCTGAAAGTATAAGTTCTTTTATATTAAGGTAAAATAAATACGTGAAAACTCATTTAAATTAAAATAAATCAATCTATATTGTTCAAAATTAACCTTAAATATTAAACAAATGAGTTCATATGATGGATTTAGTTGGTTTTTAAAAGCTCTAATTTTGGTAAAGTTCGTTTTAAGTGATAATAGTTTTTTTGATATGCTAAGTTAATTCTGTTTTTTATATAAGCCTATAGTCAAAAGTTTGCTTTTAGTGTTTGAAAACATAAAATAATTCCTAGCTATCCTTTTATAGTAGTTTAGTTCTTAAATGTTGGGTTTAACAGTTGTTATTGGTTTCCTGAAGAAATTAAGATGTAAAAATAACTTAATTGTAATAGTAGTGATGTTTTTGGTTATAGAATCATTTAGGATTCATTATTAAGTATTATTTGGTGTTGTCGAGTTAGTAATTTGATTTTCTTTTAAGGATACAGATGAGAGTACTGAGAGATTTGGATTGTTGGAGTAAAAATAGAATAAAAAGATAATGAATAATGTTTATTCACTAAGAGAAAATTATATTAATGAATAAGTAGAGATATAAATTTATATATTAATTAATTTACGTGTTATTATTTAAGAAATGATAATAGTTCTATGTCTGTTGATTTTAAGTGTGTATGGGTAGAATGAAGTGAAGGTTTCATTTAATGAACTGGAATCTCCAGTGTCTAATATTTATTGGTGTGGATCATCTGTTGTTTTTACAAAAGATGATGAAACAATAGAATAAACTCATTAGGAGAGCAGAAAAGTCTTATTCATTCTAACAGATAAGGGGAAAATATGGAGATCAGCAGATTATGGATAAACATGGTTAGATGAGACTAAGAGTTGGGAAAAGATGGAACCAGAGAATAAATAATTATAATTCGAAAGTATTCATATTTCACCAGCTGATTCAAGGGTTATATTCTTTTTTGGTTCAAACGGTATTAGTTATAAATCTAAGAACTGTGGAAGAACATATACTAGGTTTACACATTCGGAAGATCTCTATGATTTTAAATTAAATAAGATGGATCCATAATGGATTATGGCTTTCAAAGACAAACCTTGTGGAAAAAATGATATCAATTGTAAAGACTTTTATAAAAAATCGATATATGTAACTGAAGATGGAGGAGAAACTTGGAAATCAGCATTAAATTATGTGAGAGATGCAGCATGGGATAAATTACTATAATATCAATTAATACCTGATTAAAGAATAATAGTATGTCACATGTAGGAGGGAAAATCAGTTATTTCATATTCTGATGATTACTTTACTACAATAGAAACAATGTAAGAAAATGCTTTAGGATTCTTTCAGACTTCCCATTATATTTTTGTGTTAACAACAGGAGAAGATGGTGAAACTGGATATGAATTGCTAATTGCACCAGCCTATTTAGATAAATTCTAACCTTAACCTGTATAGTTGCCGATTCCTTTGAATTAGCATACTTTTACGATTCTTGATACCTCAGAAGGATAAATATTTCTATCTGTTTCCCACAAAGAAGAAAATTAAAGATTAACTAATGTATATGTAAGTGATTTTAGAGGGTTTAAATTTACTCTATCGTTATTACATAATGTAAGATCACTTGATACAGGAAATTGTGATTTTGAGAGAATGTTAGGCATGGAAGGAGTATATGTATCTAATGTCTTTGATCATTAAGAGGTAGAAAAATCAAAATCAAGAAGTTCTATAACACCAGCAACTTTAGAATTATATAAAAAAACTGTAAAATTTAATATATATAGATTTTTAGTTCATTTCTTATGATAGAGGTGGTTAATGGCATCCATTAAAGGCTCCAGAGATTGACTCAAAAGGATAGGAGATTTTATGTTCTGGAGATTGTTCTTTACATTTGAAAGGAAGAACAGAAGCCAATCAAAATCCTCTTTATTCTAGTTAAAATGCTCCAGGACTTAGTATTGGTGTTGGAAATACTGGTTTATATTTAACTTAGAAGGATCATGAAATCAATACTTATCTTACTAGAGATGGAGGACATGAATGGTTTGAAATTAGGAAGGGATCTCATATGTATGAAATTGGAGATAGAGGAGGTCTTATTGTTATGGCACAAGATGATAAACCTATCAATCAAATCATCTATTCTTGGGATTAAGGGTTTTCTTGGGATGAAGTTAAAATTGCTGATAAAGAGTTTGAAATTTAAAATATAGTCACAGAACCTTCGAATATGGAGCAAAAGTTCATTGTTTATGGATAAAGCAGATCCAAAGAAAATTAATTAAAAGGATATGTTGTAGCATTGAACTTCTAAACTCTTCATTAAAGAGTCTGCTCTGGTGCTTGGGATCCTACTATGCCAGAGTCAGATTATGAATTTTGGATTCCAAAAAACTTTGAATCTGGCAAATGTTTATTTGGTAGAAAAATCAAATACATAAGGAGAAAACGAGAGGCCTAATGTTTCAATCAAGAAGAAATTGATAAAAAGTTTTATATCGAAACTTGTTCTTGCATTGAAGATGATTGGGAATGTGATTTTGGATTCTACAGAAAAATCGAAGGAGGACCTTGTGTTCCTATTGCTGATAATTTTGAAGAAGATGATACTCCTGATTTATTAAAGCCACCTACTAATTGCAAAAAGACATATATGAAAACTTAAGGTTATAGAAAGGTCTCAGGAGATTATTGTTAAGGAGGCATTGATCTATCACCAGTTGAAACACCTTGTCCAGATTCACAAACTAATAATACTTCATTTAATGATACTTAAATACCAATTATTGATCATTAATAACCTACAATAAGTAAACCACCAATAAAAAACTCTACAACTTTACCAGGTAATTCATCTAAGATTAATTCTTATTTTTGGTACTTCGTAGTCTTTTTAGGAGTTATCGTAATTATATTATTTAAGGATAAAATAATCAAGTATTTTCTTTAATTTATCAATTATAGTCTATTTAACAGCAAAGCTCCAAAGAAGTCCTCTTCTTATATGGAAAAAAGAAATTATGAACAACTTAAATTATTTAATGGAAATGATGATGATGATGAGGCTGGCCTTTGATTTTTTATTTTTATATATTCATCTGATTTGATTAATAATTAATGAATGAACTTAATTTTCAATTTTCGCACTCCATTCAAGATCTCAATTAGACTTAAATAAATCAAGTATAGTTTTTCATACATATTAAAAGGTTGAATCTTTAATTTAAAACTTACCTGATATCAAAAATGATTCACAAATGTTCCCATAAGATTTAATCATTGAAAAAAAAGATCATCAATACTACTTTGGATTTGAACTTTAAGCAAAATCCTTGCTATCCAATAAGTCTTAAATATGCTTAATGTAAGAAATTGGGTATCCTTATCACTATTCTAAGCATTTATTGAGGTTATTAATCAAACTTTAAAAATACAAGTAAAATTTTAAATTCTACAACTAGCATTTATTTACCTACCTTAAAATAAGATAGTTTTATAAACATTGATCAAGGAAATTAACTTTCTTAATAACACTCCAATGAATCACCAATCAAGGTATAGCAATTTGTCTTATATTAATTTGGTTTGGAAAAATTGGAATAAAATTCACAAGCTCTTATTAGTAATTATTGCTTATCTCCTGAATTTAAAGAGGCTCTTAATTGTGAAAATAATTATAATAAGATTCACTTTACTGAAAAAATGGCCATATTCAATACTGGATGTATACTATTTGAATTGTATACAAAACATTAATTGTACGATAAAGAGACTTCTAAATATAACTTAACTAAGTATATGTTTAAGAAATTAGAATATGAAAGCTTTCTTTTCGGATAATTAGTTTAAAAATGCACTTTAGTAGATGAATAAGAATCTAATAAAAGGTTAACATTCTAAGAAGCATTATCTTAATTGAATTACATAGATTAATGCGTATAGATTATTAAAATAGCTGAAAAATAATAAAAATAGATAGATTTTGATCTTTTTTTTTCTTTAGATTCAAGTTTGTATGAGTAATTAAATCTTTTTTTAAAGTACAAATGTCATCATTAAATGACTGGTAGATTATTTATTATGTAAAATCTTAGCATAATTAAATTCATTTATATTTTATTTAAGGAGGAAGATCACTTCTATTTTAGAAATTTCCTTATTTTGAAATTAATTATGAAAGAACTTTTAGAACTCAAAGAACTTAAGGATACACCTTATGAACATTACAAATCAGAAAATACAATCCTTAATTTTAATGATTCTGAAGATGAAATCAGGGAATTCTTATAAAATTACTCCTAAAAATACACAGAACTTTTATACTAGTTAATAATTGGTATCTTAGAGAAAGAAAAATAAAATAGAAATAAAGAATAAGCAAAAAGAGTTTTTAAAAAATAATTTAGTCAAAGTTAATTGCAGGATTTTTAGTAAGAATTTCATGCAAACTTGTTTCCAGAAAAAACTCCATAATAATAATTACATAAATTATGCTTAGCAAATATTTAAAAAGTATTTAATTATAACAATTTGATGCATAATTTTTAACCAATATTTTTACAATTAATAAGAGACCATCATTGTTATGAAATTTACGATCATTTATTAAAGGTTTTATTCCAAGATGTTAATCAACATTAAATCTAAAAAATTATTGCAGCAATTAGAAACAATGTGAACAATTGAACATTTATTTTTAATTGAGATATTATCATAAATTGAAAATAATCAGATCATCTTTTATAATAATAACTATTTATATAATAATTAAAATAAATTATCAAAATATTGTTTTTATAATAAATTTGTCTTAATTTTTATTTAATATCAGGATGAATAATCTGCCATAATTATTTGAGCAATTAGTTAGTCAAGAGAAAAAATAAGATATATTTAGAATATTTATCAGGAATTAATTAAATATTAATTCAAACGTATTGATTCATTTAAAGTTACTTTAAATAGTAATGAATTTTTAATTAATCTAGATCAATTATTATGAAAATGTCGAAAATAAAAAACGGTCAAAAAATATTCCTTTCTAAACATTAATTTATTTTTTTATCCCTTAAAAGAAGTTGGAATTGATTTAATATACAATAATATAGTATCATTAAATGATATACTATTTTTAAAAGGGTTCATCTATTGATAATGAAATTTTGAAAAAGTCATTTGATTTAATGAAGGGGGATTATAAAAATTAATTATCTTTTTTACAAGGTTTAGAAGTCATAAATAGAATTGAAACCAGCTTTTCTTCATAATTTAATTTTAGAAAACTAACATTAATTTGAAGAAAAAAAAATTAGCCATCTTTAATTAATTTCTTAAAAATTATGTAAAACATTGAAATATCTCTTTGAAATTATTTAAAACTTTGGAATACTAAACAAATAAATTTTAGAGTGCTATTATGACTCAGATACAAGAAATATATTAGAACTTGCAAAGAGAATTATTCAACAGTTTCAAAATTTAAATAGTTTTAAAAATGTTCAAATAATAGTGAAGAGATTTCTCTAACAAAAAATTAATTAATTGTATATTTGAAGAAAAAAAGTAATGTTGTTTAATAAAATTCATCTTTATTATATCAAATTTTTAGTATTTTATAATTTTATTGTTTTATAATCTTTTTAGAAAATTTACGTGAGAGGAATTTGATTGAATTTTAATAGAAAAAAGGATGTAGAGTAGAGTAATAAAAAAAATGGAAGAAAAATTTTTTTAAAGATTTTTTAAATGAAAAAAAAAGATGGTTGAAAGTTTGAAATTTGATAATGCGCAACATATTTGAATAATCATTAATTACTGATTAGATTTGATTGTCATGGTTATATAAATGACGTAGTTAATGATTCTGATGATAAAAGTGCTTTACATCATAAAATTAACCGATCGCACTATGATTTATTGTTATATGGATAATATAAGGGTAAGATGATAGAGTGTTAGAAATGTAAAAATTAGAAAATGAAAATTTTAGACGAGATCAAGAAATAAGTAGAAATGGAAATGTAAAAAATAAAGAAAGTATAACCAACTCGCATTCATCAGCCTTTAAATTCTTAATAAAAAAGAGAGCTGATCATTCTGATTAATAAAGGTGTTTAATTAAAAGATGCGGCTCGAGAATTGAAAATCACATATCATGAAGCGAAGATCGCTTATAATGAGTATCGTCGTAAGGCTCTCAGTAGCCAAAGTGAGACAGAATCTACAATTCCTGAAATTCGAACAGCTGGTGTGAGTTTGTTGAGAGTACCTCCTCATCATTTTGTTGTATAAAGTGTAGTTGAGAATACTATTACCTCTGTTCGTAAATTGTACAATGTAATAGTTTAAAATCCATTGCTCAACTCAAATATATGATGATATTTAATTTGTTATTTCTTCTTTTAACACATTCTGCGTCATAAATGTTATGTACTTAAAAAAATATTTAATAATATCAAAACAACTCTAATGTACCTTATTCTTTTTCTTTCTTTAAGGTTTCAAAATATCCATAGATGATGGTTACAGATAATAAAATACCAGTTCCTTGAGAAATTAATAATAATTATTACCTGAACCAATAGCACCCAAGAAATCAGCAAGAATTGTAAGTGCTCCAATACACATACCTCCAAATGAAGCAGCAATTGGTATATATCTCTTTAATACTTCTTTCATAGAAGAATCTCTGTATCCAACTATTTACATGTCTTATTCTTTAAGTTATTTGGCAACCTAAAAATAATAAAACGAATAATACATCTTTTGGTGAAGATCCTGAGACATCAATCCAAGTTTTTGAGAATAAAGCACAAGTACCAAGAATAAATGCAGTATATAAAATTGTGTGGATAGGATCAAATATTGCTTCTGATATTGATCTTGGAGGTGATACATAATAAACTAATCCTCCAACTGGAACTGTTTGTCCATTTTCTAATTCTTACCAATATCCTAATAATCTAATTAAAAAGTTTCCTTTAAAATTTCTATATAGGATTTAAGAGAGGAAATAAAGGTTTGAAACTAATGCAGTTTAGAGAATAATTGGAATATTGGAAGTGTAGAATAATTTAATTGGATATGATGTTAATCCTCCTCTTACTTTATTATTTTTTATTGGAATATCAACTTTAAATCCTTAGAAATAAATGACAATCAAAAACACTAATACTGTTGCTAATAAATTAGTTAAGTTTGGTAATGAGTCTCTTAAAATAGCTGATTAAAGGGCACTTATTTTATCACTTTGAATGAATAAACCATGTAATAAAGCTATTACAGCACCTTCATATTCTAATCCCAATTCAGTTTTATGAGTAATAGGTGAAAATGCTTTCCACATTATATTCTCACAAATATTTATAGCTATAAATAATGATGTTCCTGAATTTCCAATTCCATATCCTTTTGATAATAATTCATCAATCATTATCATAACAATTGCTGAAAATACCAATTATATTATTATTAAAATTGCATTTCCAGCACCCAATTTATCCAAATCACCATACATTCCTGACCATACATATGCAAAAGCTTCACCAAATGCTATCAGAATTCCTAACACTATAAATTAGATAATAATTTATACATTTTTATGCTCCTGAATACAGTTATTTATCTTCCTTTACATTTTAATCAACATCTATTAATTTTGCACCTGCCAACAGTTACATAATCATTGATGCTGTGACCATTGGAGAAATACCCAATTCCATTAAAGTACCTCTATTAGATGCCAATATCACTCTCATCCAATAAAATGGATCACCTGCTGATGATTTGTAAATTCCATAAAGAGGAATCTATGAACAAATCAAATATAACAATGTTGCTATGGCTGTCCATAATGCTCTATATTTAAATAATATCTAAATTTCATATTTATTTTTATACTCTTCTTTCTGGCTCTGCAACATCTGGAATGATAGCCATTGCTGGTCTCATATAGTTAAGAATCTTTGTTTTGTTTGTCATTTTTATTATTGATTTTTATCTTCATTTTTCCCCTTTTAATTCCTCTCACACACGTGGGAATTATAATTTAGAATTTTTTATTATTTATTACATATTTTTCATTGTCATCTACTATCTTTCAAACTATTCTAATTGAATATGATATTATTTAAATGATCTATATGTATTCAAATCTCTTTTTACTCCAAAAATTCTCTCAGCTCAAATTTCTATTCCATTTTTATTTTAGTATTTTCAAATTCATTAAATTACAATCACTTTTTCAATGGAATTCATCAAATTTTGGAATTAGTAAGAGTTGATATCTAAAATTTGGTTTCGTACAAATTTTTGATTAAAAAATATTGAGAACCTTTTAATATGTTGTAAATAAAAGACATTTTCAATTTAAAAGGATGTATAATTTAATTATAACATTTATAAAATTTATTAGTTTAACAATCCATTTACTTATCATTTCAATGTCCCTTTTGGAAAATTGTAAAACATAGTTGTCATATAATACCCAGAATTCCAAAGTGTTTTCATAGTTGTGGTAACCAATTCAATTTAACTACCAAAATCTTTTATTTCTGACATTCTCCTACAATAATATATTAATTTTCTCACCTTTCTAAGAAATCCCAAGTCATAAAAAAGTTTGGTGATTTATCAGTTAACATAAATAATTCTGTTGAAATGTAGATATATAAAAACATCATTCTTTTAGTATAATGATTATAATCTTATGATTTATCCCCAGCTAAATACCAACAATCATCAGCGAATTACCATAAAATAGCTCTTGTTTAATCAGCATTCTAAACTCCTAAAGCCATTGCTTCATTCCATCTTCCCATATATGGACTTTATAATTATAATCTATGCTTAATTAAATTTTTGATTTTATTGCTGACTGTAAATTGTTTGAAATTTTCATCAAAAGTCATTGTGTCTATAATTTCACGATTCCATTTTCTCATTGAATAATGTATTAAATCTATAGGTTAAATGACAGTTGATGCAGCACTAGAGATATTAAGATCAAAACAAGCTTATTGAAGTGCTTTATTGTTAAATCCATGATTTATTGCATGTATAAGACTCAGGTTGAACAGTTTATTTCTTATATCACAAAAGTGAAATTTAGAAATGAATCTATACATAAAAAATAATTAAATTATTTCTAAATTAAAATTTTTTTAAAGTATTAGAAATAATGATATTCTTTATTATACTAATGTGTAATTATAAAATATCAAGATAAAATGAATATAATTTACATTGTAATTTTTAAATTGAATTAATTCTTATTGATATTAATGGATAAAAATATATTTTTGGAAGGTTTTGATGATATTCGAAATGAATATTTTAAAAGAACTGAATGGAAACTATTAGATTATAATGGATGTTTTACTTAATGAAGTTGAATATTTGTTGAGATGATAAATATAATTAATTAAGAAATTTATTTTTTATTAAAGGATCTGGTCATAAATTAATATCTTATTTATCTGTAATAGATGAAATATAACCCTAGTGTTTTGAAAATAATAAAGTTGAATGAGATTATTAAGTTTTTTTTCTAGTTTTTGTTTGTTTGAGAATGTCGTTGAGATAAGATTCTATAATGAATTAGATTTTCCAATTAATTTCTAAAGATGTAAGTAACAATCTCTTATGTATTTGCTTCAAATTTTTATTACTACATAATATAAGTAATGATAAAACTCTCACATAAATCATTGATGATTGCGCTGAACAATATAAGAGTTTATAGATGTGTATATTGATTATGCATAATTAAGTGTCTTTTATTTAAATCAGTATTTTAAGATCATAGAAAAGAATAAGTAAATATGAGTTAGTGTTTTAGTTAGGTATAATTGCAGTACATATAAATTAGAAATATCTATTGATGTGAAACATTGATTATCAAAATAGAGTTATTCATTATAATAATAATCAAGCAAAATAGAGATGTGCTGTTGTTGTGAAATCAAACTTCTTGAATCTATGTTAAGGTGTCTTAGGTCCTGTGCTAATTGTTGTTGTTTCTGTACGAATTCGAAATCTCTATTATGATGGTGAGTTCCCTCGAGAAACTGAACGCACTATATGATGGAGTTCTGCATTGGTTAGAAATGTAGATTCACACATTTCATTTAACTTTATCTTTAAGTCTAAGACTTCTTTGTCTTTCTTATAATAGTAAAGTGCCTTTCTCAACTTTATAGTAGACACTACTCTTTAGGGAGTTAATTATTTTGATTTCATTAATTTTAATGCTGAATCATTTCTAAAACAATCTTGAATTTAAGATTATCCTATAATTATTGACAAGTCTGTAAAATCATTTCTTCCTTTCTATCAAAACTCAAAACCTTCTTATTACATTATTTCTAAATTACAGTTTTATCAATTTGCTTTTCTCTTTGAATAAATATTAAATTATATCCACACCTAGTTAATAGACATTATTAATTGCAAAATGCAACAGATACTATTTCTTGTTTTACTATTAAATATAAAAATATTAAATAAAGAAATAAAGAAATAGAGGTGATAGAATTTATTTTTTATTATTTTAAACTAAGAAACAAAGTTTAAACTACTTTTTCTATTATATATTAATCAGAAGTTTTAAATAAATATCTTTTTTTAAACTTAAATTCATGTTATTATAGAAAGTTAATATAAAAACCTTGAAGTTGTTAATATTTATAAAAAATATCTATATGACAGTAAAATTGCTTAATTTTATAGATTTTCAAAATCTAATTATTACAATATATGATTTATTAGACATAGAAGGAAAAAAGATGACAGTCTTTTATTTTTTTGGTTTTATTTAAAGATTTATTTAAAAAAAGTATTATAAAATACTAATTAAAAGCTTTAGTGGATTTGATTCGAACCGCTACCTTGATCATCAATAACATTGAGGATATTATTATTAAAAACAGAAATGCAAAATGTATTAGTATTTGATTTTGCTATGATTGTAGCTAATTGTATATATTTAGCTCCATTAATTTATATATTAGATTCTGTAAATACTCTAACTTAAATAAACTATTTGTCTAAAATTGTTTAGGTATATGATATTTTTTGGCATAAATAGAATAGCAATAAAAAGAAAGTTATAAAAAAAAATAAAAATTTCATTAAATTTAGTGATATCAAAAGAAGAACACTATTTGAAAATGGTAACTTAATTATATTAAATTGTTTTGGACTAAGATAATTAGAAAAGAGATAATTCCTTAGAAATAGAATTTATATAATTTGAAATCTCAGTGTAATTCATATTTAAAACAATAAAAAGGGTTATACTTAAATCTAGTATGGATAATTTAATATTGATCCTTTAAGTGAAAATTGGTTGGTTTTAGTCGATCTCCACAATTAAATTAATAGAAAGTCTAGGAATATGATTATCAATAACTCTAGTGATTATTCAACAGAATTGTAGGAAGTAGAAAATTATTATTCTAACATCACATATTTAAAAACAAATTAAGAGGCTGTTAATAAATATCTAAAAGAAAGAGATTTTTAAGACTAATATTCGTATATTCTGATTTAAAAATAAAATAATACACTCATATTTATTATTAAATTTTTATCCACTTGGTTAATTAAAATAAAAATAACTAGAATATTATGGGTTAATCTAAGAAAACTTGAAACGGCATTTTTATAATTTCTTACATATTTCCTTATTCCAAACTCAAAACAAAAATAATATTTTAATCAAAAAATTTTGACTAAATTTTTAAAATTAATCAATATCTATCATATTTGTGAGAATCTTAAGATTATTAAATACCTAATAATTGAATTAATTTTTTTTTAAATCTACATAAAAGAGCAAGATAGTAAATTTTTTTTTTCGTGATGCAATATTATTGAGATTGTCTTTATAAACTGTGAAAAATATTTAAATTATATAAAATAAATTAATAATTAATTCTAATAATTCTTTCTGAGAATTTTGTTTTTAATTTTCTAAAGAAATTAATCTGTGATATCTTTTTCCATCTAATTGTTTTATCTTTCTTAAAACACTTTGCTCCTCATCAATGGAATCCATTTAAGCTTAAGTTTCTTATTCCTCTATAATAACATTAAAGTTATAATTATAATGATATTATTTCATCATTTATAAATGTGGGTATACTATATCTTTTTCTGAATAGCCACAAATGTTTAATATTTTCCGAAATATTTATTTGTATTTTTCATAATCTTAAGGATAATCACTAACAGATGATTATTTGACTCCATTATAAAATTAAATGAATACATAAGGAGCTCCTTTAAAAGAAAGCTTTGGTAACAAAGTTAGTTTAATGTGTTCCAATTTTTTAATTTTAAGTCCTCTATTCTCTTCTTTAATATCTAAAACAGAAGCAAATCCTGCATAATAAATTATTATTAAGGCTAGAGATTCTAAATCATCTTTTGGAGAAGAAACTAGACATTAATATTTAAAATTCATACCTTATTCTAAATGTTGATTTAAGCTTGAAAATATATTTAAAAATTATTTATTTGAAGAACTACGTAAATTATTATTGACAATAATGTTCTTTTATTATTTCCTAAATCTACATGCATACTTAAAATCAGTCAACAAAATTTCTGATCCACTTTAAGAAATTAACAATTTTAAGGTCTAATATTACGATGTATAATCAATTATTTATGGATCTATTCTAAACAAGTTAGCTTTTATTACTATAAATATTTACACTCTAGATTGCCATAAGACAAAGTATTGTTATTGGAATATTTTTAGATAAGAAATTATAAATTAATTTTAAAGATGGACCATGACGTTCCATAACTTAATAATAATATAGTTATTCCTTTATTGTCTATTCTCCCATAGATAATATTCTTGTAGTGCATTTACCTAAATATCAATTTAATATACTTTCTTTTAATTTATCCAAGAAGTACTACTCGTAATTCTATTCTGCAGCATTAGTTCTTTTATAAATGAAATAAGCTACCTTCTCATTTTGATTAATACAAACTTGTTTTAATCATCTGAATAGTTTTCTTTTACAGCTAGCTAGGCTTTGAATCTCTACCTATGTATAAATTGTAGGTGTTTCCTTTATATCTGTTTTTCACTATTATGTATTCACCCTCAATTACAACATAATTAGGTATTTCATTTGTTGATCTACTCTATGAAGTATTTAACATTATTTATTTAATATAAATATCTTAAATAAGATTATTTTTTTTTATCATTTAGTATCATTTTGGAATTTTACAATATGGTATC